TCGACGACCATCACCACCATCACCTCGTTCTCGGACAAGGAACTGCGCGCCAAAGCGGATCAGTACGTTTTGGGGAGAGACGTTCTGCAAAAACCAACATTTATCCATAAACTTGTCGGCGAACAAATGTGGATAACACCGGTCTCCAGCAAGTGCGCCCCGCCGAATAGAGCGATACAATGGCGCGAAATTCGAATTTTAACAGCAAAATTTGTGTTTTTTGCCAGATTAGCCACGAAAAATGGATAATTTCTCATTTGTCTCTCGATAGACCGATTGTATAGGCTATTACGAATTTTTTAAGCGCAAGAGCGTCAAATTTGGTCAAGTTGCAAATCACATTTATCCGTTTGAAGGTTTTTAGCTAAAACTGCGTGAATTTCAGTTGCTTTTCGGTAATTTTCGCGGTTCGAGCGCTCAAAATGCTTGTATTTACGTGATTTATCATTCTCAAAACCAATTCTGTAGGAAAACGGTCAAGAAAGCGCAAAATGAGAAGTGCAGTTTTTAGGCGGTGATCGGCGGCGAAAAATGCGCCAAAACGTCATTAATTCTGAGAATTAGTGTGTTTTCATGCCGAACAATCATTTTTCATCGCCTTTGACCACAAAAATCAGAGAAAACGTGCTCAATTCATGAAAACGCTCTGGAGACCGTGTATACAACAATAAGAACAATTTCAGATCGAAATGAGCGGCCGGCGATGGAGCGAGACGACGATATTGTACGTGTCATCATGCGGAAGAAGGGCATTTTCATCTTGCTCTCGACGTTTTTTAAATTCCTCTTTTTCTGTGTTGCGCCTGCCGCCAAAATAAAGTGTCTCAATTGCCGCTATTCTCCGCTCTGCATGAGAGGGCAAATGTGAGCGCCGGTTGGTGCACGCAGATTGCAACGGGCGAAATATGGGCCACCGATGTGCGAACCGATGGGCGACTGAGGAACAACCAAAGACCTCTAGAATGGCCCATCGGTGACCCATCGTACGCCGATCCGGCTTCAGTGGTCGCTCGTCCGCTCCCTTCACCCATCGATGGCCCATTACTTTTCATAAAATCACGGCTGATAGAAATACCACATTTATTGAAGTAAAACTATAAAATACAATCAAAATACCGAAAATATGAGAAATTCTGAAGAAGGCGATGTCCTCGTGGAATTGTTGATGGATGGGGTTGCTCGTTGTTGCTTGACGAACTGTGCTCATGTCGTTAGTGCTGAGCTGCGTACTTGTGTGGATTGTTGCTCGACTTTAGGTGATGAATTCCAAACTTTTTCCTGAAAATGCAGTTAATACTGTTTGTTTTTCGGAAGCATTTTACTTACTTTGTCAAAACGAAGTTGTCTTTTTTCGATCATGCTTGTCCCCGGAAATCAGCTTCACTTTGAAGAATGTTCTGAAAACAGCTTTTTATTTTTAGTGTTTAAAAATCATTTTTTGACAAATCACTCACTTCAAGTAACTATGTTTTGTAAGACGCCATTCAGTGTCTTTGTAGAGTGCTTCCAAGGTATCGAGTTCTGAATTTGAGATATTTTTCGCGAATTTCAAGATTTTCAATAATCAATGCGAAAAGCATCCACAAAAATTGAAAGAAAAAGCGGAGAAACACTTGAGAAACACGAGTGAAAACAAATGTGGAGCGCGCATTCCACGTGACGTTCATCCGATAGATCAAGCCTGGCCCATCGATGACCCATCAGCTCGAGCATCGATGGACAATCATGCAGCATTCATGCTTGTTCGCCCATTCTACGCCCATTCCGGCCGATGTCTCAGCGATGGACGAAGCGTGGCCCATCGATGACCCATCGGTTCGGACATCGATGGGCCAAGCTTCGCCCATCACCCTTTGGCCCATTTTACGCCCATTTTCTCCGATGGATGAAGCGATGGGCGAACAATGGCTCATCGATGGACCATTTTTGACCCACATCCATTTTTGGCCCATATTTCGTCCGTTGCAATCTACGTCGGGCGCATAGCCTAGTGGCTACCGCTTTGGTTTCTCGTTTTTGAGCGCACACAAGTTCGAGTCCGTGGTCCATTGAAACTCGTTTGCTCTTGTGCTTTGTCTTTTGCATAATAGTAATAATGATGAGGCGGCTCTGATAAGCCCAGGTTCGACCTCTGCTGGCGGAAAATAGTTTTTTTGCCTCGCTGTTTGAATAGCAAACATCGTAAAACGGTTCATAAACGTCTCCACACACACACATCATTTTTCGCTTCACAAATCCTTCAGTCAGTCAGAAATGGCGCGAATCCTCTCCTCCGAAACGTTTTCCGTCGCCTCGTGCCGCTGGTATTCGGAATCACGGATTTTATACGAAAAGGTATGTATATATATATATATTATCAATGTTTATGTTTATGCTATGCATTAACGACTACGACGATGATACATGTGGAAACGGATTAGAAGAAGCGTTCCCTATGGAACGGTGCCGCGCGCAGATATTGTCCGATTCTCTCGAGATGACTGACCTCTCGGTGTTTGCACAAAGAGCCCCCGGGGGTTTGTGTGGAACAACTGTACGCGAAAAGGTGTACAGCCCCCTTATTATTGTTATGCAGAAGAAGAAGAAGAAGAAGGGAGAGAGAGAGAGAGAGAAATGTGCTAGACGAGTATTGTCTTTCTCCAAAACGTGTTGCGTGGGCGGTCGGGCGGGTAATTGGGTTCGGGTTTGTATTGTTTTTCTACTTTGCAAGATGTTTACAAGTTGTTAGAGACCATTGACATTGAAAACGATGAAACAAAGTTTGAATGGATATTGTAGAATTAGCAGAGATTGTACAGCTCTGCAATTAATTTTTGCTAATTTTTGACGTCTAGTAGAGCATTTTTGTAGTTGACCACTTTTTTGTGTGGCCACTCCTTGGCGTACTGTGGCTCTTTGAAGTTGGGGCTATTTGAAGATGCTGAAATTTAGTCTTAACTTCCAAGAGCTACAGTGCTCTTGGGAGTGGTTTTACAAAAAAGTTGTCAACTAAACAAATTTAGCTCATAGCTATTACTGTATTTTTGTAGTTGACACCATTTTCGTACCACCACTCCGAAGCCTACTGTAGCGCTTGGAAGTTTAGGCCCCAAATCAATTTCAGTGCGAACTTCCAAGCGCTACAGTACCCCAGGGAGTGGTTTTGCAAAAAACTCGCCAACTACAAAAATAGCGTACTAGATGTAAAGATTTCACAAAAACGTTTTTACGGTCATACGTCGTCTCATAACTCTACAATACTCGTTCAAAGTTTGCCTGTCAATCCAATAAAACTGTGAACTTGCACTTTTTGTTTGTTCAAACAACTTTATCATCTTTATCGTTTTTTTGTGCGTTTACAAAGCATTTTGTTTCAAAAAACATTTCAAAAACCTTCTGGAACAAGGCAGTTTTGTCCAGTGCTCCCTGTTATTCATATATTATCGGAACAAGAAACGCAGACGGCAAAACAATGTCTCTCTCTCTCTCTCTCTCTCTCTCTCTCTCTTTCCGATTGTTGACGACTATAGTCTCTTCACTCGCGATTAGGTCAATTTATAAGTGAACAACTTTAGAATCATTGCTCTGCTTTATCGCTATTTTCATCAAAATTGTTTCATTTTCGGCCGAACGAAATGCTATTGTTCACATCTTCAAAAGAACAACATTTCTTTCCGCTTCTTCCTCTTCTTCTCCTCCATTTCATCACAATCCTGGTATCGTACAGCCAAAATTGTCACTGCTTTGCCCGATTTTTCATTCACAGACACTACGCCACCGGATTTTTGAGTGCCGCATAGTTCAGCTCGTTTCATTCTTGCTTCCAGAGTTGAGCGGAAGAGTTCAACGAAAAAACACGGAAGAATTTGTATCTTTTTTAGAAATTTTTTTCATGAAATGTGATCAACTGACGAAATGTAGAGCAAAATGAACTCTGCTCATAGAAAAATAATTGGAAATTTAACTTTTCATACAAAAAAGTTATTCGAGTTGTTCCGTGAAAAAGGAGGGCTAACGGAACAACTCGAATAACTTTTTTGTATGAAAAGCTAAATTTACAATTATTTTTCTATGAGCAGGGTTCACTTTGCTCTACATTTCGTCAGTTGATCACATTTCATGAAAAAAATTTCTAAAAAAGATAAAAATTCTTCCGTTTTCTTCCGCTCAACTCTGCTTGCTACTGCTGAACGTTGACAAAATAAGTGAGATGCAGACAAATCATTCGTTAACCTCGTTATCTCTAGGCATTCCAAATTCCTAAAAGAGAGGAAATGACTTCTGTTGTTAACCATAAACGGAACCGGAAAGTTAGACTGGCTAGGATAGTGCAGAGCAAAATTTTCGACTAGTTTTTATTATAGGGGCACCGGACAGGAAGGGCGCGTTGTTCGCAATCTGGCCGAATTTCTAGGCCGCGAAGTAATTTTCCACTCAAAACGTGGCCTAACTTTTCAAAATCGGCCCCGAGGTCGCTCAGCGCCATTTCTGTGCGGTGCCCCAATAATATATACAGATTCTACAATCCGGGTACTCTAAAAACAGGTATACAGCAGTGTTGAGCGGAATTCCGACTTCCGACTTCCGTCTTCCGTCTTCCGTTGATTTTTGTTTCGTCTTCCGTCTTCCGGGATTTTTTCTTCTTACCGTAAAAGAGTAATAGCCATTTTATAGCCCCGAAGAAGGCGAATTTCCACGAGCAGTGACCCAGATCCAACATTTTTGTTGCTTTAGTTATTTTTTTCAAAAAAAAAACCGGAGAAAAAGGTTCTGCATTGACGATTTTTTTTGTTCCGTCTTCCGTTTTCCGTGTTCCGGATTTAAAAATTCCATTTCCGCTCTCAACTCTGGTATACAGTATCGGTAATCAGCCAATGTCATCCCTCACAAGCGAAAAAGACGGAAAGGGTGCACTCCACACCTGTTCCTTCCTTCTCTCTCTCTCTCTCTCTCTCTCTCTCTCTCTCTCTCTCTCTCTCTCACCATCGGTGCCCCGAGACAGTGTGCAAGTGTGAGAGAGAGAGCGCAGAGAAGTGAGACAGATTGTACTGCCACCACCACCAGACCCTCTCTGCACACACCAACCAACCCTTATTGTCAATGGTGTGTGTGTGTGTGAGTGTGTGGCCTTGCCTAGGCTCCGCCCACTATTGGCACAGTGCCAACTGACCGACAGACCGCCATTCGACCCGTCCCGACACTCTCTCTCTCTCTCGTAATTTGCATAGTTTTTCGATTTTCGCAATTTTAGAACCCTCAAACTCACTGCCAAGCAGTTCAAATTCGTGAAATAGGACGAGAGGAAGCAGCAGACGCCCAAAAAGTGCTTGCAATCGAAATGGTGAGTTGATTCGTTGGAAAATAATTCGAGAAAATCCTATAATATATTCTTCTCCTTCTTCTCCCATTTCACTCCCATTTTCCCGTTGCCACGACGTCATATCGTTCAAATTCCTGATGTCATTATTATCATTTCATGGGTCTCGAAGCGAGCGAATTCAAATTTCCCGTCCGCTATCATCGAAATCGAGCTGTGTTATCACCCCCACTTCTTTTTCAAATTTTGCCAAAAGTTTTCCGGCCGCGACATAACACACCCCCCGCGCGCGCGCGCGCGTGGCCTTTCGCACTGCCTCCCAAGGTCTCTTCTCAACCGAAAGGGACTTGGCAAGCTGCCAAGTAGCCTTTCGCCTGCTCTTCGCCTCAGCGCACTGGACCGAACGGGACCGACTCGGGTCAACTGGGACCACCGGACGGTCGCACGGCACTCCGAGCAGATCTGAGAAGGAACGGTGCGCAGTGGGACGTCGGTTGCGTCAAGTGGCACATGGTTTTGGGTTGCGAAAGGGGCTAGAGACGTCACGGACCGTTTTTGGGTCTCATTTTTTCTATAACGCTTTTCCCGACGAACCCGCGCGGTCTAGGTGCTCTAAACGGGTGAAAATTTCCCAAATAACTGATATTTTCCGTTTTGAAACTTGGCGCTTGGGTCTCGACACGAAAACTTTTTGATTTGCTGACAAGTAAGATAAATGGGTCGGTGCAAAGGTCGTTTGTAAAGTTAAAGGGCTAGAGAACAACTGACATGAGGTGAAGTCGGATCAAACTTTTTCTCCTCGCGTGGGTCTCGAGACGAAGATTGATTACCGACAATTGAGGTGTGCGCCTTTAAGGCACAGTACCTCCGGCGCGGGTGACATTTTTGATGGATTTACTCGCAAATTTTTCGAGACCCAACGAAAAAAATCGTTTTGAAGGACTTTCTTTGTTTCTCTTGATGGTCATCTTTCGAAATAATTCCAAAAAAAAATTCAAAAATCCTTTACCATTCGTATGGTAATTGGCACATCTGTTTGCCTATTCAGATGACAGATGGCTCTTTGCCGAAGCTTGGCTCATTCACTGGCTCCGCTGCACAACATCTTGAACGCGAATTTTCTCGACGTCAAACACGCGAATTTTTTTGGTGATTTTCCTTCAAAAAAGTCTGCAAATTCGCGTGGCGTGTACGCAGCGAATCTCACGCACAATTGCAGAAATGGCATTTTCTTTCGACTTTGGCGGCAAATTTGTTCGCATTTTCCGGAAGAGTTTTGTCGAAAAAATTTGTCGCTTGACAGTTTTTGAGTGAAAAAGGCGCTCAAAATCAACTCCCTCCCCTGATTTTCCAGCTTTTTTGTGTAGAAATCGAAAAAATCAGATTTTACATGAAATTTCAAAAAATTTGATAAAGTAATGTTTTTCCTGCTAGATTTTCGGTATTTTCACTCGCCTCACTCTTAAAAAATCGCGATTTTTAATTCACTGGTTTTTCGGCAAAAAATCGCTCAAAAATCACAATTTTCTCGGTCGAAAAAAGTCGCGTTTTGCGCTGCAATTTCGCGCGGCAATCTTTGAACGCTCTCACTCTCTTTCTCCGTTCCGTCTCCTCGACGGTCATCATCATGATCTGCCGGCCGCCGTCAATTATCTGCCCTTTTACCAATCCAATCAAATCTAGGTCATTCCCAACCTATCCGTACCCTCTTTTTCTCTCCATTTCTCTCGATTTTCTGCGAGATTTGCGCTTTTTCCATACAAATAATATCATTATTTCGAAAGAGAAGACGTTTTTTTTTTTCCAAATGATCAATCAATAAATTGTTTGCAGGCGCCTAAACTCCGTGCCCGTTCATCGTCGCGCTCGCGCACTTCCGAAGGATCAGCAGCGAGAATGCCGCAGACGCCCGCCAAACTAGCCGTCGTCGCCACGTCAACGCCGTCGAAATCGCCGGCGCGTGGGCGTGGCCGGCCGAAAAAGCCGACGACGGCGTCCGCCGTCAAAAACGAGCGTCAGGCGTCGAAATCGGCGACGCCACGCAAAGCGGTAATAGTTTTGAGCGAGTTTTCGAGCAGAATAACACGGAATCGTTTTCAAAAAATGATGAGAACAATTCCGTTTCATTCCGCCAATTTGTTCCCAGGGAGGGGGCGAGAGAAGCAAAGAAAACGTCGAGCCACAACAACAACAACAACGAGAACGACGGCAGAAGAAGATCCGTTCGAGCGGGAATGGCTAATTGAGCAGCTGCTCGCTCGGAGCACGAAGCCCTAACTGTCAACAACCGAATCTCGAGAATTTTGTTTCTCGGCTCGTTTTCGGTCATTTCTAGGCAAAATTTTCCTTTCGTTTGCGGAATTTCATCAAGTTTGCACAATTTAGACAATTCAAGTGTTTCACTCATTGGAATATTCTAGAACATTCCAGAACATTCCGAAAAATCCTGCCTCTTTCCTTTCCGCTATAATAGCGCATCCGCATAGGTCAGACTTGTTGAAAAATACATAAAAGGCAACCATATCCAAACTTTTCAAGGCTTCTACTCCCCCTTTCTCCTAAAATTCCTCCCGAATCCTCTCATTCCAATCGGTTTATTTTTGCAGAACTCGCGTGCCGCCTCCCGTTCGCGGTCCCGTTCCCGCGGTCGTCCGGCCGGCTCGGCCACCGCCCCCGCATCCGCATCCTCTTCTTCCTTTTCCGGTCTTTCCTCGTCGTACCGTCGCGGCGCGAAGCAGCGGAATACGATCGAATCGACGCACGAGGTGGCCGACGAGGACGAGGAGCCCGTGAGCACGCCCCGCCTACGCACCCGCACCGCACGCAGTCTCACTCAGGATCCTGTCGCTGTGAGTTTGGCGTGAAAAATACACTAAGAATTGGTTGTTGGAAATCTTTGTTGTCAAGGAAAATTGGAGAGTTTCACTAGAGAATCACTAGAGTTGAAAGGCTGTTTTTCTGAAATGTTCAATGGAATGTTTTCCATTCTGAAACTGCTAGAACAACATTCGTTTTACAGGAAAATTGACTTTCCAAGAATATCTGTTCAAAAATCCCACTTCTCCCCTAAAAAACCGCTCATTTTCTTGCAGAGAACTCCCCGATCGCTCCAGAACACTCCGCAAAAGACGATTCCGGACCGCGTCTCCTCCGACGCTTCTGGCTCTTCGTGTGCCCTCCGCGGAAGACTGTGCGGCGTGGCGACGGGCGTCAAGAACGGAATTGTCAGAGTGGCCCAGCGGGTGCAGTCGGTGATCGTGGCCGCCTTCGCACTGCTCCTCTCGCTGCTCGCCTTGCCGTTCTCGTACGTGCGCGCCGGCTGGAAGAAGGTGGCTCCGCGCGACGCGAAGACGGAACGTTGTCTGCTCGTCGCCCTTTTCGTCGTCGCCGTCGCCGCCGTCATCTACGCGAATCCGCGATTCGTCCGCTCCACGAAGCTCTACTTCACCGAGCGCTTCTGGCCGGAAGTGCTCGTGGTGCACAACGATCTGATGATCGTCCTGCAGGTCCTCTACCGCGATTTCGACCGATCCATCGCAATGTTCAAGAACGCCGGCGTGCGCATTTGGAAGTGGGTGGCGGACGGAAAAACGGTCGACGTTTGAGAGAGCCATTCCCATTTGAATTCACCGCCCAAATTCCATCTTAATCCACACCATTTCCCCCTCTTTTTAATGTAATTTTACGTTGTGAGACTTGATCTTTCCGGAAATTCTCAAGTCTTACAACCTAAAAAAAAATGCCATTTCCCCTCCAATTCGTCTTAGCTTTGCCCCTTTCCTCCGAAAAATGACGAGAGTGCCGTTCCGTTTGGCGCTTGTCCCTCTAGTTGAAACTGTTTCGTTACCCAGTGAAACTAACAAGTTGTAGCCTTTTTTATGTTTAATTTCAACTTATTCTATCGTCTTCTATTGGCCACGCCCCTTTTCATTATTATTATTATTATTATTGATATTATCCATCTCTAGGCAACTTTGTTTTTTACGTCACAGCTTCAACTCTCGCGCCTCCGGCATCTCTTTTGATCATTTTTCGCGGGGCGCGGAGCAATTAGAATTCCCGCCCAATCTCTTTCCCTTTCTCCCTCCCTCTCTCTCTCTCTCTCCCTCTCTCTCTCTCTATCTCACTCTCTCACTACAAACCAATGCTTTTCGACCCCGTCTGACATGCATTTCATATGGTTACACACTCTTGAAACTTCTCATTCTAAGCCCGCCCACCAAATTTTTCAAAATTTAATCTGATTGTAACGTAAAAGCCATTTAAAAATTGACAACGATTCAAAAATCAATCACATTCATTCATTCATTATATTTTTGGCTGTACATTGAATAAATTTGAAGACAAAAAGAGACGAGTAAACGAATTTATTGCACAAATTCACACGACTTGACGATGATTTTTAACCGAATTTGAGTTGAGTTTGACGGTGAGTACACAGCTGAAAAGTTCCCAGTTGGCGTGGGTTTATCACTGCCCTCCGGCACAACGCTCAAAACGCTGCCGGTGGCGCAGGCGGTATCCCTTTTGTCCGCCGCTCCCCAAAAACCTATGGGTTCGAACCCCACCGCCCGGAATCGTCTTTTGTGCACTCGCCTCTTCACACTCCGATCGCATTTCCAAACTTGGGAAAGATGATTTGCGCGGAGAAGGGAGTCAATGCGCGCACGCGGCCGTCCGTGATCTCCATGATGAGCCCGTTGTTCATGCACTCTTGCAGCTCCGTCAGGTGCACGTACGCGCGACGAGCCGCCTGAAATCATATCCGCATTATTGTCAATTTATGAAAATCCCCAACAACGACAAAAAATAGATGCACCTGAACAATGGTATCATCGGATCTTCCGTCGGCGAAAACGATGAGATCGAAACGGTCGGCGACGCGTTTCTCGTCGATCGCCTCGCTCAAAAGGCTCGACAAATGGGCGCAGAACGACTTGACGCGGCTGAAATCGCGAAAAAAAAGATGGTATGGATTTGCAAGAGGGGTACCTGCGCGGAATGCGTCCGAACATGAAAGAGGAGAGAAAACGGACGGTCTCCTGCACTTCGACGAACATTCTGATCGTTCGTTCTGGGACAGGCGACGAGTGAAGAGGATCTTCCACTTCTTCTGTCTTTTCTTCTTCTTTTTCTTCTTCTTCGCCGACGGCAACGACGACGGCAACGACGACGACGACGACGAGGAGGAGGAGGTGGAGGAGGTGGAGGAGGAAGGACGGAGGGACGGAATGAACGGCGGGAGAAAGAGGGAGAGCATTGGAACGGAAACGGGAACGGACGGGAGCACACAGATGCACGTGATGATAGGGGAGGGCTGCCACGTGTCACGGCTACTTTCGACAATCGAGAAAGTTTTATCGTGTTTGTGCATTTCGGAGAACTCTGCCAGAGTATGAGAACTGCTGAATGAAAAGTTCGATGTCATCAAAGAAACTGCTAATACTGTTGAGAAAAAAAAAATGATTCGACATTGGAATCGAAGCTGGCAGCGTGCAAAGGCCCGGCCTCCCAAACGCATATGCTGCGCGCGATTGTTGCAACATTGCCGCACGCTTTATTGTTCTTCGTCTTTGTCTTTATTTTTCGGCTAAAAATCAGCAGAAACTTCGGTTTTTCTCATTTTTTACCCGAATTTATTCATTTCAATCGTTTTTTGCTATAAAAAATCAACTTTGAAAACAGATTTATCGATTTTTAGCTTGAATTTTCGAACATTTCTCGATTTCGCTGAATTTGAGAATTTTCAGGATTTCCACCTACCGAAAAGTCGAACAAGCAACAAAAGGGCACGGATTTCTTCTTTTCGTGTTAGTTTTTGACGTAACAATAATTTTCTCTCCGATCAACGTTTACAGACCGTCTTCTCCACTCCTCCGCCGTCAGCACACAACGGTATACAAAAACTTGTCGTATTAGTTTGAAGAGGAACGAAAATATTTTCTCTCCGACCGTTTTCTCAAAGTCCGTGGACATTGCTTCAATCCGGAAAAAAGGAGAAGAAAATTGAATATCACTGATACTAAAATTCTTACACTTGCCATGTCATTTAATTTACTGGAAAACGTAATAAATAAATCAAAAATAATTGTTATTAGTGCAAATTCATCCAACGGGAGATGCTTCTTCAACTTTCCGTTGTGTGCTGACGGCGGAGGAGTGGAGAAGACGGTCTGTAAACGTTGATCGGAGAGAAAATTATTGTTACGTCAAAAACTAACACGAAAAGAAGAAATCCGTGCCCTTTTGTTGCTTGTTCGACTTTTCCGAAGGTGGAAATCCTGAAAATTCTCAAATTCAGCGAAATCGAGAAATGTTCGAAAATTCAAGCTAAAAATCGATAAATCTGTTTTCAAAGTTGATTTTTTATAGCAAAAGACGATTGAAATGAATAAATACGGGGAAAAAATGAGAAAAACCAAAATTCTGCTGATTTTTAGCCGAAAAATAAAGACAAAGAGGAGGCCGCGCCTTGGCACGCTGCCAGCTTCGATTCCAATGTCGAATCATTCCTTTTCAACAATAGTAAACTGTGAACCACTCCAACATGAAAACTTTGATTCTGTTCATCCAATTAAACTTTTCGAATGCTTTTGAAGGGTTCGTTCTTTGTCAGTGCGGTCCCGCCCATCCTCAAATTTATCTTCTTCATACCATCCATTTACACTCCTCCGCCGGCCAAACTTTCTCTTTCTCTCCGCAATTCGTCTCCTTCTCCGTCTGATTCTCTTCCTATTTCTCCGTGCGATAACCCAAATTTTTGTGGCGCTCGACATTCTTATCAAATTGGAAATTCCGTACAGTTTGCATGCAATCCCTATGGTTCTCTTCATTTATTGATTTTTATGTGAACCTTTGGTCTTTTGACCTAGTTGCAATAATCCGATGGGGACCAACATTTGCAGGGTTCTTCGATTCTCGGAAAACCCGGTTTTTGTCGCGCTATAAAACACGATTTTCGCTCGCGAACTTGACCATCCGATCTACAGTAATCCGATCCGCATTCCACACCCTTTTCTCTTTTTGCCCCTCGCGAATTCTTTGTTCCGAGCCGTCAAACACGGCTCCGAACACCACACTTTTTGTTTGTTTCCTTCTTCTCTCTCTCTCTCTCTCTCACTTTCTCTTTGCGTTCAGCTCTGACTCCCCCGCATTTTCGTACTGTCCGGCTGTCAAAATGACCGAATTTTTCTCGCAAAAACAGATTGATGGTGAGTTGTTGTTTTCCGAGAGTTGTTGAATCAAAACCCGACCCCACGTTCTAGACAGTATATCTCGGTGTCCGGTGGAGATAGCAAAATGTTGTCAACTAATAAAATGTTCACTAAGAAATTTTGCACATTCTATCAGTTGACAACTTTTTGATAACTCTACTCGCAATTGAGATACATCCTTCCAGAAATCCGCGAATGCTTCAACTTCTACTCGACCGGCGGCGTTCTGATTTCGGCGTCGCAGCTCCGATGTGCTCTGCGAAGCCTCGGATACTCGCCGACCGCCGCCAAGACTCAAGAGTACTACAAAAAGCAGAATAGTGAGTTTTTACGAGACGTTCACCGCCAAAACCGTAATCAGCGTCCAATTTTGAGCCGCTGAGCCAGTTTTCGGCTCAATCGGAGCTCAGAGCGCTGGCTCGAGCCGCACGTGGGGCGAAGCTCTTTTGATTCGCATTGTCGCCCGAAAAAGTTCAATTTTTGTCAGGAAAATCGATCGAATTCGTCACATTTCTGAATATTTGCAAAGATGAGCAGAATAGTCCGGACCCGCTGACCGAGGTTATCAAAGCGTTGAGCGGATTGGACAGGTAGGCCCTTATTTGTTATGGGGCTGAAAAAATGATTGTTTTCCGTTTTTTTTCCCTATTCAGCGATGTCAAAAACTGGAAAAAAACGGAAAGAAATGCATCGCTCGCAGCGTTTTTTTTCCGGCGGGTCTCGCAGCGATTTCCCGGACGCGATGCATGCGGCTACTGTCAGAGACGTTTTATGAGTGGATTTACGAAAATTTTTCTAATTTTTCAGCGAAATTGCCACGTTTTCCCGCTAAAAAGCTCAATGTTTTGAACGATATGACGAGGCACTCGAAACTATCCAACAAAAAAAAAAGAATTCAAGCGAAGTCGGTCGAAAATAGCGGTAAACGTGGCAATTTCGCATCAGTTACCATAACAGATAAATAATAACTGAAATTCCGTTGAAAATCGGTTGAAAATAGCGGGAAAACGTGGCAATTTCGCTGAAAAATTAGAAAAATTATCGTAAATCCACTCATAAAACGTCTCTGACAGTAGCCGCATGCATCGCGTCCGGGAAATCACTGCGAGACCCGCCGGAAAAAAACGCTGCGAGCGATGCATTTCTTTCCGTTTTTTTTCATTTTTTGACATCGCTGAATAGGGAAAAAAAAACGGAAAACAATCATTTTTTCATCCCCCTGAATAGCCCCATTAGGAAACACGCAAATCAACAATCTTATTAGGACCAAGAACCGTTCGATGCCCTCTCGCGAGCTCTCCGCGATTCTGAGTCAGGTCGGCGAGCGAATGAGCTCCGAGGAAATCGATTATTTGTTGTCGAAAGTGGAGGTGAACGGGATGGTTCCGCATCAGAAACTGATCGAATATATCTCGCGATAAATTTAGAAACGGTCAAAGTTTTGAAACTTTTTTTGGTGTTGATAATATCATAAATGCTCTAATCTGATCACCCATGAAAGTGTCCTTCATCTTTCGGATAGCAACCCCAACAAGTTGTTGTTCCTATATCTTTTCTCTATCGGATGTCTGAGTGCGATTGTTAAAAATGCTTGAAATATTGTGCATCGACCAAATGACACGGGACTTGGAAACATTTTGGCGCCGCTATCGGGCAGATACGGGCTCGTTCGTGAGCCAGTGAGATGACCGAAGTAAGTTGAAAGCAAATCGTGCGAATCGGTGCAAGTCAAACGGATTTCAGAGCACCTCACAATTAGTGGTCGTTATTGGCTACAAAGCAGGGCTGGCCAATTGACCGGCACGGGATTTCGTCCACTTTTGAGCCACTTGCAATCATCCGATCGGGCCCGAAGCTTACTGGGACCAAGTTTCAGCCCGATCGGATCGTCGGGTCCCGAGATATGTGGATCATTTTTCCAAAAAGCCCGGGCTTCCGGCCAATTTCGGCCAATGGTCCACATATCTCGGGACCGGATGATCCGATCGGGCTGAAACTTGGTCCCAATGGGCCTCAATCCAAGTCCAACAATCCTGCAAAGTTTCGGTCTTATCGGAATATTCGTTTCTTTTCTTCAAAAAGTTGAAAACGGTAACAATTGAAATGCGTCGTTCTCTATCACAATATCTACAGTAGCCGAGGTGCCGAAATTTGAAAACTATTCTCTAGCTTCCTCGTTCCACACGTTTGTGGATGCAAATTCGAATCAATTCCAAACTCCCAAATTCCATATTGATGCCCTGATATTATGCAAATAACTAGCCTCTAGTTTTAGCAAGCTTTGCTCTTTTCATATGTATTGAAAACATGAAATTTCTCAACATTTCGTTGGTTTTATCGACACTCCGCACCATTGAGACTTGTCTGAAAGTGTCGAAAGTGAACGGAAGCCATTTTCATCTCGATAAAGTTCATTTTGAGCTCGATTTCAGAGTGCGCATGTTTCGATTATAAACTGATGAACCGCAATCGGATCGCCTTCGTCGATGAGGATTTGGCGAAGGAAATCGAGCGAGGACAACTTTGAAAACCGTCATTTTTGTACGAGAACTGCACCTACATCCACATTTCGTGTCCGATCTTCAACGAAACCGAATACGTGCGGCTGATTCGGACGAGTTGGCTTTACGCGTGTTTTGTAGGCTTCGAAATTGATTGTTTGTTTTGAAAAAATTTGTGTGAATTCTTGACGTCTAGTAGAGCATTTTTGTAGTTGACAACTTTTTTCGACGACTACTCCCCGGAGTACTGTAGGCCTCGGAAATTGGGAGAGAAATGTTTGTGCTCTCAGTTCGTCTTGACTTCCAAGCGTTACACTAACTCAGGGAGTGGTTGTGGACAAAAGTTGTCAACTACAAAATTCTAGTTCACATTGAGCACTGTACTTTTGCTGTTGACAATTTTCCTCCACGGCAGCTGTCTGAAGTACTGTAGCGCTTCAAACTTTACCCGGAACTTTGAAATGTGTCCAAAAAGAGGTGATACAATCTTCTAGCGTACAATATTCATTTTTCCAGAGCTTCGATATGCGTAAACTGGGGACGACCTCGTCGTTGTGGTTCAAAGCGAGATGCGACACGAAGACGCGCGAATGGAGGTACACGGAAGTGGATGACGACCGCGACGAAATTGCCACCGAATCGATAATTTGTCATTCTGATCACGTGATTTGAGCATAAATGTATTTCATCTTACATGCATCAAAGTTGCGTCAAGGCGCTGGAAATGCGTCAATTGTTTTGGTCTTCTGGTTTTCATCATCAGATGCACAACAGAGTTGAGCGGAAGAACTCAACGGAAGAATTTTTATCTGCTTTAGAAAATTTTTTCATGAAATGTGATCAACTGACGAAATGTAGAGCAAAGTGAACTCTGCTCATAGAAAAATAATTGTAATTTTAGCTTTTCATACAAAAAAGTTATGTCCTTCCGTCTTCCGTTAGCCCTCCTTTTTTCCCGGAACAACTCGAATAACTTTTTTGTATGAAAAGCTAAATTTACAATTATTTTTCTATGAGCAGAGTTCACTTTGCTCTACATTTCGTCAGTTGATCACATTTCATGAAAAAATTTTCTAAAAAAGATAAAAATTTTTCCGTGTTCTTCCGTTGAGTTCTTCCGCTCAACTCTGATGCACACGGAAACGCCGGGGCACTGGAAAAGCGTCAACAGTTTTGCTTCGAAGGTGTGGAAGTTGTCAAGAGTTGAAGGAAAGCCCAAAGACACTGGAAATGCGCCAATACACGGAAAATGTGACAAAGGAGTAAGGCACCAGTAATGCGTCAGCATTGTTCCCATCGAAATCATCGGAACACCAGAATCAATCAGTCCGGCGTGCTCCTCCTATTCTGTTCGTGATCTATCCCCTCCTCTCGCCCCGCGACCACCCCCTCTCTGATTTGAAATTAAAATCGTGAGAAAGCGTTTCTGTATATAATCGTCCGTTTTTCGAGTCGTCCAAGCCGTACTTTGTCCGCAATGAACCGCCTCTTCCTCTCTCTCGCTTCCCTATTCGCTCTTCCGATCGGTGTGCTGCTGGCCGACGGAACCGGGTGTCAGATCTATAACGGTAGGCTCAGCGCGTGTACAAAGTGCCTATTCGATTCCAGAGTGCGGCTGCATCCATCGTGGCATTTTCGACAGTGCGTGGCTGAACGCCACGTGGCCCAGCGTGGCGCAAACTTTCAAAAACGTGACATTCTCCGCGCCGAACGTCACCTATCCGAGCTGTTCGGCGATCGTCGCCACGTGTCCGTCGGGCTCCGTCATGTCGAGCATCGACGCGAGCGGAAAGTTGACGACGAACAAGGCCTACGTGAGAGAGAGAGAGAGAGAGTCGGATAAGACTTGCGAATGAATAACTAATGTTTCAGTTGCCCAACCCGTCGATCATCGACAATATCGTCTGTGATGCGGCGCAACACGTGTGGTACACCGCCGGCTACTCGGAGGAACTCGACACCAACCTCAAGTCGTCGAACCTCTCGTGCGCCACGCCCCTCTGATTTCGTTTCGTACTTCTCTAATGAACTTGCTTCTCTCAAACTTTGCCGCTGAAACATAGGAGCAGGAACAATGGAACCTGAAACTGAAAAAGGTCCGCTCACCGTTTCCACACCTTCCGACACCACAATCCCCATACAATATATTGTGTACTCGTGAAAAAATCACGTATCAGCAAAGGCCACGATTGACAGAAATTTAAATGGCATATACCATTAAATGCCATAAGGCACAGGAGGGAACGAATGAAAAAAAAAGAAAGTGAACGAGTTGAGAAGTGACTACTTTCGCTTTCCCGACTTCTTGCCGGGCTTGCTTTTCGAGTCCTTCGAGTGTTTGCTCATGAGTCCTTTTCGCGAGTCGTCGATCGATGCCGTGCTCGGTTTTCTGGACGTCCCCGGAGTGCGCATCTTCCTTTGCGGAACACCTTTTCTCGAGTCATCCGACGCCTCACTGCTGGGCCGCTTCTTCGATTTCTTCGGGGCCGCCGTCGACGAATTTCCAGAGCTTTTGGATGTGTCGCGGAGCAACGGGGCTGTGGCGGACGCCGTATTTCGAATCTTCGGCGTCCTTGAAACGGTAGGCTTCTTCGATGAAATCGTGCCTTTCGAGGCTGCCGAACTCGAAGATTTGTCGGTCTCCTTCGCCTCCTTCACTTTTTTATCAGCGGCGAGCGTCTCATCGTCGACCGTTAATTCGTCCCTCTTGACACTGCCGTTTCCGTCGTTGACAGGCTTTTCGAAATAGGCAAAGCTGGTTCGACCTTTCTCAATGTATGCAGCAGACGCTTTGTTAATCTGAAATACAACATCCACTTTGCATCGTTTCCATCCGACCCTCAACTCACGCCGCCATGATAGTTGGTCGCCGAGAACAGATTGGCACAGAGTCCGCCAACAGTCGACTCCAGACCGTCCTGTTCTACGTGCCCGTGAAGCATCATAGCCAGACCGTTAGCACCGAGAGCTATGCGTACCAATTCCGCGTTGAACATATGTAATTCCGCGTTGAACATATATATTTTTGCCTGTCCCATTGCCAGCTTTCTATCTTCCCCTTTCTCCCTCCCCCCTTTCGCCCCCGCTCATCCAGAATATTTCGTCCATTTCGCCCTCTTCCACGCCCCCCCAACACTTCCCACTTACCTTACATTTCTCTTTCTCTGTCTAATGTCCGAGGCACCGCTAATTTGACCAAAATCCGCGCGCTCTGTGACTTCTTCCGTTTTTTTCTGAACACCACATCCTCGCACTTACTGAAACTTTCCTCGACGATACTGTTCCTTCAACTCTATTCTCTCTCCACCAAATCTCCATCCTCCGTTGTGACCGATACCAAACCGCCAACTCTAAAGCTCGTGGAGGGGGCGTCGCTCTTCTCTACAAGCATCCTATCTCTCTTAGTAAACTCTCCATCAATTTCGAGTCCTTTTACTCCTCCCACCGCTCCGAAATCCTTGCCTGCTCTCTCCACTCTCCGCATCTCAACTCCCCCATTCACCTTACTCTTGTCTATCGTCCACCGGACACCTCTTCAATCGAAACCTCCGCCTTGATCTCCCATCTTTCCGCCTTTCTCCCTCTCTCTTCCTCTATAGTTCTAGGGGATTTTAACTTCCCCCTCCTTAACTCTTCTCACCAATTCTCCCAATTCCTCATCACTCGCAACGCCTCTCAACTAGTCTCCTTTCCCACCCGCACTTCCCCAACCTCCTCTACCACTCTTGATTTAATCATCGCCTCTCATGATCTTCCCCTCTATGATCTTCGTCCCTTCCCCCCGCTCCTTAACTCTGACCATCTCTGTGTAAATTTCTCCATTCTGGCCTCCAAATCCCCCCTCACCGCCCTGTCACTCCCGCCCTCCATCTCTCCGACCCAACTCAATTACCGTAAGACGGACTTCAAATCTCTCAATCACCGTCTCGCGACCATTGACTGGGCCGCCCTCCTTCCTGACTCTCTCTCGGCCTCTGCCTTATATGACAAATTTCTCCAAATTCTTAACGACCTGATCCGTCTCCACACTCCCCCTAACCCCCCTAAAAAGACTCTCGGTCCCCAAATCCTATCCGTAGACTCCGCCGATTACGTGCCACTCTCTCTAGGCTTCTTACAGTAACCCCCTCCCGCACCGCTTCTCTCGCCCGACTTCTTAGCAAGCAACGCTTACTTATTAAGCACACCCGACGCCGCGCCGCTGCTCAGGATAAAGCTCTACTCTCCGATCACAATTCTTCCTCGGCCAGGCTCCTCATTCGGAAACGCCTTAAACACCACCATACCATACCCCCTCTCTCAATCAACGGTTCTATTGTCCACGAAGACGCCAAGATCGCCTCCTCATTCGCCGAAATCTTTGCCCGCAACTTCTCCTCGCCTTCCCATTTGCCTAAACTTTCTCCCGCACACCCTCCCTCTCCTTCCAACTCTTTCCCACCCCCTATTACTGCCCAGGATCTCTTCCCCCCCCTACATTATCGAACTCACTCTACAAAAACTACCGCCCAGGTGCGGATACTCCCCCCACCTTGCCAACTATCTAATTTTAAAACGCTGCTCCACCTCACTAGCTCTTCCCCTCTCTCTCATCTTCTCTAAATCATTCCCTTCCTCTTCTCTTCCCTTATGTTGGAAACATTCGGTTGTCATTCCTGTCCCAAAAAAAGGTAACCTCTCCGACCCCTCCAATTACCGCCCAATCTCTTTAACTGACCCTATCTCCCGTGTTATGGAACGCATCATCTGTCGTCGCCTTCTTTCTGACCACTTCTCCAAATTCCATCCTAATCAGCACGGCTTCCTCCCCTCTCGGTCTTGCACTTCCTCGCTTCTTGACTCCATCTCTACCTACAGACATTTACTTTCCTCTCATAAAACTTTGGACATCATTTACTTTGATTTCCAAAAAGCTTTTGACAAAGTTGACCACAATCTCCTCCTTCGTAAACTGGACATCTTTGGAATTCCTCCCCTTTTCTGCAGATGGTTTGAAGACTTCCTCTCCCATCGATCCTTCTCCATCAAAATCAATTCCCATGTCCAGCCCTCTAGAACCCCAATACCTTCGGGAGTTCCACAAGGCTCCGTCTCTGGCCCCTTTCTCTTTCTTATATTCCTTAACGACTTACTCGACAGCCTTCCTCCCTCTGTTCACTTCGCCGTTTTTGCTGATGACCTAAAAATTTACCACCCTGCCCCTCTCCTCCTATTATACAATCTGCCATTGACTCCGTGCTTTCCTGGTCCACCCTCAATCTCCTCCCTCTCGCCGAAACTAAAACCTCTCTTCTGAGGCTTGGTTCCCGCAATCCCGAGTTTCCCTACACAATTAACAACACCTTTATCTCCTCATCCGCCTCTGTCCGTGACCTTGGGCTTCTCACGGATCCCTCTCTCAAATTCGAGCTTTACATAAATCAGAAAGTTGCCCTCTGTCTCCTCCGTTCCCACCAGCTCCTCAAATCCTTTCGCTCAACTAATCCATCTTTCTACGCCTCCCTATTTAAAACCTACATTCTCCCGATTCTTGAGTACTGCTCCCCAATCTTCTCCCCTCCTCCTGCATCCAAACTCGCCTTAAAACTTGAACGTCCTCTCCGACACTTCTCGAAAATTGCTCTCCAACGCTGTAACATCCCGTTCTCCTCTTACCACCACCGTCTTGCCATCCTTAACATGTCTTCAATCCGTCACCGCCGCCTCAAATCTCAGTTAACACTCCTCTATCGTCTAATTACCGGTGCCTCATACTTCCCCCATCTAAGTCATTTTATCTCTCTTACCACCTCTCCCCGTAGACCCATGCTCATCCGCGTCCTAAAACCTCGTGTAAAAGACTTCTTCTCTCTGACCGTTCCCATATGGAACTCTATACTCTCTAACACCTCCACCTTCCTCTCCCCTCTCCAGTCCGAACTATCTATCGACTCCTCCATTACCCGTTTCTAACTCTCTCTCCTTCTTGCCCTACTTCCCCTCTACCATATAACCCCTCCTTATCTCCCCTAATCCCTAGGTACGTCTCGTGAGGGACTGTCCTTTCCACCATTCGTCCTCCCCTCTCACGTGTTGTATCTTTCTTTCTCTTACATTGATAAATAAACGAATGAAACCAAAAAAAAAATGCCATAAGGCACAGGAGGGAACGAATGAAAAAAAAGAAAGTGAACGAGTTGAGAAGTGACTACTTTCGCGTTCCCGACTTCTTGCCGGGCTTGCTTTTCGAGTCCTTCGAGTGTTTGCTCATGAGTCCTTTTCGCGAGTCGTCGATCGATGCCGTGCTCGGTTTTCTGGACGTCCCCGGAGTGCGCCGCTTCTTCGATTTCTTCGGGGCCGCCGTCGACGAATTTCCAGAGCTTTTGGATGTGTCGCGGAGCAACGGGGCTGTGGCGGACGCCGTATTTCGAAACTTCGGCGTCCTTGAAACGGTAGGTTTCTTCGATGAAATCGTGCCTTTCGAGGCTGCCGAACTCGAAGATTTGTCGGTCTCCTTCGCCTCCTTCACTTTTTTATCAGCGGCGAGCGTCTCATCGTCGACCGTTAATTCGTCCCTCTTGACACTGCCGTTTCCGTCGTTGACAGGCTTTTCGAAATAGGCAAAGCTGGTTCGACCTTTCTCAATGTATGCAGCAGACGCTTTGTTAATCTGAAATACAACATCCACTTTGCATCGTTTCCATCCGACCCTCAACTCACGCCGCCATGATAGTTGGTCGCCGAGAACAGATTGGCACAGAGTCCGCCAACAGTCGACACCAGACCGTCCTGTTCTACGTGCCCGTGAAGCACCATAGCCAGACCGTTAGCACCGAGAGCTATGCGTACCAATTCCGCGTTGAACATCTGACAAATGACATTTCGACGGGCAAACGAGCATGAGACCACAGGAAGGCTGAAAAACGTGCTGTTTTGTCGGATTGCAGTTAGGTCAACTCACAACTCGCTATTTTTCACGGAAAATTTGACTATATCGCGGAAGTCAGCCCAAGTAATATCCACCAGCGTCTTTCCTTCCACGACAGTTCGAGGAAAACGTTTGACGTACTAAAACGAGCATTTTTGAAACACAGCACTCATTGATGAACCGTCTCACTTTCTGAAGGCCGCCCGGCTCGAGAAGCCACGAGGAAATTCCTCCGTGAACGCACAAAATCTGTTTGTCGATTGTTGCAGCCAGCGGAATAAGGCCTGTCATCTTGTTGAACAATTGATGGCATAGCTGGGCCTTTTCCTTGCCAAATAGTTTCTTCAGTTCCCCCTACAATCACTTTTGCACGTGGATAGCATGGTTGCTGACTAGCACTCACGTAGAACCCGTTTGTCCTGTTGATTCGCGCCTCTTCGTGATTTCCTTTGATGTAAAACATACCATCGGGGAAGGCGCACATGTGAACGCACATCAACACGACGCTGTCGACACTTCTCTCTCCACGATCAACGACGTCACCGAGTACAACCCTGGAAGAAGAAGCAAGTGATGAGGCGCTTGTCAGTCAGCCCCTCCCGACTACACTCACATCTTTTTATACACAAAGCCTTCGCACAAAATAGCGTAACGTTGGAGATCGTCAAAGTTTCCGTGAGTGTCAGCAACTACCCAAACGCCATTGTAGGAGGAGACATTGACGACATCTTTCCCTCGCTTTTCTAGTAATTTGATCGTCGCTTCGATCAACATGATGAATGCGGCTGCTGGGATCGCCTTCACCCGATTTTCGATGGATTGAGGTTTCGCGTATGCGTCACTCATTATGAATTGAAGTGCACGGGCAAGCGAAATTTTTCCGTCCTTCGTAATCTGACTTTCCACCACTTCGACGTTCTCCGAACCACCGTCCACACGATCGGTCTCCGCTTCAGCTTGTTCCGCGGGCTCTTTGCTCTCTCCCGTCGATGTTTCTGCCGGCTCCTGCAATTTTTGGTTATCTCCGCTTTCAAAAATGTGTCCGATTAGAAACACGGATCTATCTACACGAGAATCGGATACCTGACTCTGAGCTGCATCAACCTCAGTCTTCGTCTTCTCTTCCTGGGTGGATTGTTTGGTTTGAGACTGAAAAGCAAGGGTCAACAGTGTACGAATACTTGTTTCATACCGGAGCGGTACGCAAATCATGAGTGGAGGTTTTTCCGTCCTTCGTAATCTGACTTTCCACCACTTCGACGGTCTCCGAACCACCGTCCACACGATCGGTCTCCGCTTTAGCTTGTTCCGCGGGCTCTTTGCTCTCTCCCGTCGATGTTTTTGCCGGCTCCTGCAATTTTTGGTTATCTCCGCTTTCAAAAATGTGCCCGATAAGAAACACGGATCTATCTACACGAAAATCGGATACCTGACTCTGAGCTGCATCAACCTCAGTCTTCGTCTTCTCTTCCTGGGTGGATTGTTTAGTTTGAGACTGAAAAGCAAGGGTCAACAGTGTACGAATACTTGTTTCATACCGGAGCGGTACGCAAATCATGAGTGGAGGCGGCTGCAGTGACGAGTACGTCGGAAGTGGACGAAATATTGTTGGCGGTTTTGCACGAGGCATCCGGTAAATTCAAAGCCGCATCGCCAAACGGCGGATTCTCCTGTAATCATTGCATCTTTTTGTTTCGTTCCATCCTTCCTCCCACTCACCGTAATTATCTCATTACCCTCCCCGACGAGAAAATAATGCGTTATTCCGAGCATTTCATGCTGATAGGACTCTTCGACTTGACCGTTTTTATCGGCAGCAACCTGCGCAGACAAAGCGATACAGTATTGCCACTGAACATAGATATTGAAATTTAATTTGTCACAGTTCGTTAAGTCTTACTTCTTCTTCTGTGCCGTTGCGAGGCCTCTCGAATGGCTGTTTCTGCACATCCGGCCGAACCGTCATGATATCTTTATCGATTTTCTGAAAAAGGTGAGAAGTGCTAACCAAAACAGTTTTCGATACGCACAGCATCGTGAGCAATTTTCGCTCTTGCAGTTGCTTCGGCTTTCGCAATTTGTTCTTGCGATTGGCCTTCAGTGTCAACGAGCATTCCTTTCGGGTCGGGATCAACTAGCGTTTTTTTGCCGCAAACTGGTCTCATATGTCGCATATCATTGTAACGTTTATAGAATCCTTCGTCCATCTTTTTAGTGTTATCGTTTACTTCTTTGTCGAGGTTTTCGAGCTCAGCGACCGCGATCTTTTTCTCTTTCCCCTCCTTCGTTTTCGTCTCATGCAACAGAATCGCTCTCCTGGTCTTCAACTGTTCGATTTCTTTATGGAGACGAATGAACTCGGTCGCCGCTGCCTCGCGTTCTTTTTTTTCTTTTTCAGACTCGCCCTCCACTGGCACGAAAGGATCGTCTTTGACCACACACGTTTTGAGAGGCTCATCGGACAATGCTGAAAAGAGGTTCACTCGAACGACGTTGGCCCGCTTCAAACTCACTCTCTTTTGACGGCTCGTTTGACGGCTCTTTCTTAGTTTCTTTTTTCTTAGCTGCCTCTTTCTCAGCTCGTTTCTTGTACCATGGCCATGCCCATCTCATGCCGCCAAAAGTGGCGAGACAACCAAGCACAAAACCAGCCACTCTGAAAAAATTTAATCGGCGTCTATAAAAATGCACATTTTCAACTCACCCGCATAGAAGAAGATACCACCACTTCGAGGAACATTCGTTGTCCTTCTGTAATTTCATCACAATCATTTCAACAAAACGTTCTCTCAAACAACTCACTGTCGACGTTTCCACATCACTTGGCGTCGAACGGTTTTGTTCGAAAAGATCGTCCAGAAACTCGTGCATCGGTTTGAGCGACTTGGAGCACGCGTTCATCGAATCGGCCGCTTGCAAAAATTCCAAATCGATGCCACTTGTGCTCCTAAGCGATTTTTGGAATGCATAGTCGGTTTTGAAGGCGGGATAAGGAAGGATGAGTTTGTAAAAGTAATTGAAGAGGTCGTGATTGTGAGAGATTGAAAGTGAGCTAAAATCAACCGAGCCCTCGACTTTTGTGAAGACTACTCGGTAGTCGGTCACACTCTTCTGAGTTATTTCAATCGAGCCCTCCAGTTGGTCCAATTTTCCCGGCAGCTCCTTCAACGTCTTCTTCGTTTTGTCGTTCCACACCTCCGCGATCATTCCTTTCGCAGTCACGTCCGTAATGTTTTGGATGATCGCGTCGATCGTCTGCTCGGCAGTCATCACCGCCTTCATATCGTTTTTTGTCTGGTACGCCTCGTTCAAATCCCGGATAATCTTGATACCGTCCGCCAACGACCTCGACGTTTCGAGAGCATCTTTGAACTGGGGCTGCGTGGCTATGGCGTTAGTCTTTCTTGGCTTCGCTGCCATTTTCGACTGAACACCCGCGTAAGCGCCGAGCGCCACTTTCAAATCACCGGCAGAAGTGGAGACCGTCGTCAAGTCAGAGTCGCCTTCGTTCAGCTTCAGAAGAGATTGAGGAAGAGAAAAGACTGTGATGGCTTGCAAAGCGAGCTGATCTTTTCTGAGACAACTTCCCGCGTCGCCAACTCCACTGTCCTTCAACCATTTGGAAATTTCCCCGACTGGCAGGGTCGGCAAAGACTTGTCCAGTCCCGTTTTCATAAGGTCCGCGAGAGCTTGATTAAACGAAGTCAACTCACTTTTTAATTTGTCAAGGTTTTTATAGGATTTAAAGTCATCAGATTTCTTCGAGACGTCTATTTGAGCTACGATTGCGTAGAGAGCGTAAAATTCTTTCAGATCCGCGTGCAACGCGTTTGACGACTTCAACTTCTCGGCAAACGACGTTAGCTTCTGATCGAGGGTCCCGACCTTGAGATCAGCTATCTTTTGAGCCGGAAATGTGGTCCCGAGTTTCACTGTCTCGATACACTTTTTCAAAGAATCCAGGTGAGAAAACCCGGCGAACTGGTCCGCAACAGCTTCCAACGTGGCTCGAACCGTTTCTATACTCGTACCGGCCTTATCGAAATGTTCCGTCCAATTCCAGCTATTCTGAAGTGGCGACAGCACCTTGTTCAACTCGAGCACAGGCTTCAGAAGGGACTTGAGCGCATCCGTATTCTTTCCCTGGGCCATGATTTGCTTGACTACGTTTGTGGAAAGGTCTTTGGAAAGTCTGTTCAGATCGTCGAATCTATCGAAGAAGCCTCGCGTCAGCGCTCTTTCGTTGGATGGGAGTCCTCGGAAACTAATCGACGCCATTAGGCGAACTTTTTCCAGCGCTTTGGAGATTGGGAGTTGAGAGAGTTTCTCTGACTTCGCCCGAATAGTTGGAAGTTCGGAAATCAGAGAGTTGACTGCCGTTTGCTTACTCTGATTGGTAAATTGGATGAAGTCAGAAATCACAGCAGTTAGTTGGTCTTGTTTACGATTCTGCACAAAATATGTGATATTTTCAAAGGCTTCTTTGGAATTCCTTATTTTGGTGCAACTGGTTTCAGCTTCAGTGAGCGAGCCGATAGTCACTGTTCCGCTTGACATGCTTTCCATCGCATTAATCAACGTGGAAATCGCTCCGGGCACGTCGGCTAGTGTCTTGTAATGCGCTTGGAACTCACTGAACGCCGCGAGCTCTTCCGTTCTCAGTCTTGCAATCGTCTCGACCAACGCGACTCCGTCTGCCATCTTCTGCTCGTTCCAGCATCCTCCAGCTCCTCCGCATTCGCTTTTCACCGCCGCCGAAATCGCTTTCAAGTCCGTTTCCAATCCGGCCACGTCATCCGTCGAAAGCGTCTCCAATGTGACGTTGTGTCCGATGTAGACGAGTTCCTCGAGCACACTCTTCTCGGTGATGTTTCCGTTGTCAATTTCTTGCGCGAGTGCGATTCCGTTCGCGATTCTCGCAATTATGCTCAGATCCTTGCTCACCGTAGCCAGTTTTCCTGCAATTTTTCAGTGGTTCACACCCGTGCTATGCCTTGGATTTGACTCTTTCAGCACAAAACTCGAGATTCGTCTCAACTTTTGGACTTCTCAATGATATCTGTTCGCCAAAATGTGTGCAACTTTCGAATTCACTGGTATACGATAGGTAGGCTGCAGAGTTGAGCGGAAGAACTCAACGGAAGAACACGGAAGAATTTTTATATTTTTTAGAAAATTTTTTCATGAAATGTGATCAACTGACGAAATGTAGAGCAAAGCGAACTCTGCTCATCGAAAAATATTTGTAAATTTAACTTTTCATACAAAAAACATCACATTTCATGAAAAAATGTTCTAAAACAGATAAAAATTCTTCCGTGTTCTTCCTTTGAGTTCTTCCGCTCAACTCTCCTACTAGGCTGGTCGAACAGACGATTTCAGGCGCCTGCGCCTGTTTTCTCAACGCAGGGACGCGGCGGCCCGTTGAAAAAACAGGCTCTTGTTCGACCAGCCTAACGATAAGAAACTGCGGAAATCGTGCAGAATATATAGTGCTCCGTCCCCTCCCCGCTCACCTTTCGTAGTTTTTGCTAAAGCGACAGTAGTCGAGAGCGCCAGGAAAACGAAAAGTCGTAGGGTCCAAAGATTGCCTGAAAAAGCTCGGTTCCGGCTGGATTCGCTGCGAAATAATATGGAACTTACGAGGATTCATCGCCGACGTAATCGATAGCTGAATCAGAAGCTCTTGCCTATGGATACGATCAAAGTGTATTGATTTTCCGGAAACTTCCGATAAGGATTATCGGGTGCCCCACTGGCCCCATTCCACAGTTCCTCGTTCACGTGTTTCTAGAGCACGTGCGTTCACGTGTTTCTAGAACACGTGCGTGTCGTTTTTAAAAATGATGACGTGCCAGAAACGCCGTTCGTTCTTTTGTCAAGCTGTCGTTGGAACAATCAAAAAGTGGTAAAAAATGCACATTTTCTTAGTTGACAACTTTTGTCAAATTAAATTGAACCAGACGAAAAGTTGCTATACTGTTGAGCCTCGGCAAAAAAAGTTATTTCTATGAAATTTTTCCAAAAAATGCGTATTTGCTAACTGTAATGGGGCTATTCAGACTGTGAAAAAAATGATTGTTTTCCGTTTTTTTCGTTTTTTTACGTCAAAAAATCCAATTCAGCGATGTAAAGAAACAAAAAAAACGGAAAACAAACATACGCTGAATAGCCCCATTAGAAGTCTGCCAAATTTGGAAGGCACATTCCATGGAGTTTTCTCTAATTTTTCCCGAAAATTCCGACAAATCGATATTCTTCGAGTTAGTCGATCCCTGAGAACGTCACGGCGAAGTCCTCATTATTCCGCAGAGGTCCAATGTGCGATGGTCTCGCCAAATCGGGGAGGCTTGCCACTATAAGCTTCTGAAAGAAACGATTTTTCAGTAGTTTTCGAATATATAGACCTCAGACTTACTGAATTTTTCCGAAAAAAAAATTTCTTCAAATTTTCAAATTAAAAAGAATAGAATTCATGAAATTCACCTCTCATCGACCAATTTCGGTCCGAACCTCGTAGACGACACACACAACTGCTTCCAAGAACTTCGCCACCACAGAATCATCTGAAATTATGAATTAGCATTCGATAAAAAGCAAAATTATCTCACCATCCTGTTTTATTCGGTTTCCGATCGCACAACCCGATGTATTCGAGCATTTTTCGTTCCGAGCGGTTCAAAACATGAGGTAGCTGAAAAGAAAACAACATTTTCGCTGAAATATTTGAGAAATCACATGAAAAAAACGTAAGAAAGCTTCGCCCCTTCACGGAACCCCAGCATTCCAAGCAAGTTGTCAATGGGGCGCGCTTGCATCCACCGTCGGCTCGGAGTTTCTTTTTTCAATTGAAACCCAGAATTCTTTCGTTTTTCTTTTAATAAACACTCAAATTTTGTTCTTTGCGAACCGTGGGGCGATTGTGTGAGTTAAAATCATCGATTTAAGCGCGAAACGGAGCAGATTCGTTCAGAATTGACCTAATTGAGGGATTTTGTCGAAATCTACTGAAAAAACGGAGTTTTAACGATCATTTGCCGAATCGAGTTCGGACACTGGCATTCGAACCGTCCAGTCAACAAAGAGTTTATTGCGCATCTTTTAAGCGCTCAACCGTCGAAAAATATACAGAATTGAGATAATTGAGGCAAATTTTCGATTCCAACAGGAAAAAAATTCTGTAATTTTCACATAAAACGTTTCGAAATTGATGACAAAGCAGTTGAAATTTTATTTTTGATTCATTTCTAATCATTATCATAAGTTTTGACACTGATTGGTTCTGAAAAGATGGGAATAATGCAAAAAAAGGGAAAATTGGAATGAGAAACTCTACAACGACGCTCCGAAATTACGCGTTACGCGCCTTGTTTAGCGCACCTGAATTGCGCCTAGGGAATTTTTTATTGGAAGGCTGGGGTTCCGTGGCCCTTCGATAATCGACCCAAAATTTTGTCAGTTATCGTGTCGACACGGCACTCTATTAGAAACATAGAATAGACCTGAAAAGTTGGAGAAAATGAGTGACTCAGCGATTTGAAATGAGGAAACAGCGGCGGAGCGGTGACGAAACAGCGGCGGAGCGGTGACGAAACAGCGGCGGAGCGGTGACGAAACAGCGGCGGAGCGGTGACGAAACAGCGGCGGAGCGGTGACGAAACAGCGGCGGAAATCGGGAGGAACTTTTCGGTTAAATTTTTTCTGTAGATTTCCAGTTGATAAAGAAATTATGGCAATAAAATTGGAGATTCTTTCCATTTAGTTTTTTTTTCATAATTTGAGATGACATGACGGCTAGACCGTATTTTCTCTCATGTCAATTTTCAACTATCAAAAGTAAAAGGTTCCGGTAATCTTCCAGTGAATTTGATAGATAAACCGATAGATAATTTTACGAGAAACTTACTGGCAAGCATGCTGGCGCGTGAGCAGTCCAAGTTCCAGACCGATCAGATTATTTATTATAGGGGCACCTCACAGAAATGGCGCTCTGTTGAGAAACTCTTTTTACAGTGCAAATTGAGTGAGCTCGGGGCCGAGTTTGAAAAGTTAGGCCACGTTTTCAGTGGAAAATTACATCGCGGCCTAGAAATTCGGTCAGATTGCGAACAGAGCACCATCGAACGCTCAAAGTATTTGTATTTACCAGACTTGCCAAATTACGGGCCGGAGAAGTGCCGGCCCGGCTCAAAAGGCGCGAATTCAAATTTTTGGGGGAAATCTATTTTTTCGTTTTTTTTGCGGGGATCAAAATTAAAACTTTTGCTTTGATGCCAATAAAAACTATTTTTGAGAACTACATTTCTTTTTTATGCTCGATACTTGCAAAATTCGTTAGTTCTACGAAAAACAATAGTTCAAAATTTGGATTCCCGCTTTTTGAACCGGGCCGGGCCGGGCCTGAGTTTTGAAAATTTTGGCCCGGCCCGTGGCAACTCTGGTATTTACGTACTATTTCTCGCAAGAAATAATTCCTCTCCAAATATATTTTTTCAGCTATCTTTAACTTAAAAATCGCAAAAAAAAGTGATGAATTCGCGCCTCAACAGAGACCACGCCCCTTTTCCACTTCTGGACGTAGGATTACGTAGGAGGAGTGAGAAATTTTGCCTTTTTTCTCCATGTCTCAACACCGAAAAGCTAAAAAAAAAATCAAATTCATTCACATGAGGATAACATAGAAACGCCGTGAGTCACTTCTGAGAGCAGCCCACATTATCGGTTGGCATCTGCTCGAAAGACATCGAGTTGACTGACGATCAGCGCGGCTCTAGTTTTCGCGAGCGCGCTTTGTTGTTTTTGGCGACTTTTTATCAGTGCTTGGTTTGACGATCGCTTTGCTCTCCTTGGCAATCGTCGTCTTTCCGTCCTTCTCCGACTTCGTGTTCTTCTTTCTGTCCTTCTTCTCCGACTTCGTGTTCTTCTTTCTGTCCTTCTTCTCCGACTTCGTGTTCTTCTTTCTGTCCTTCTTCTCCGACTTCGTGTTCTTCTTTCCGTCCTTCTTCTCCGACTTCGTGTTCTTCTTTCCGTCCTTCTTCTCCGGCTGTGCCTTCTTCTTTGCATCCGCCGGCTGCGCGGCATTCGTGTCAGTCTTGTCTTTTTGAGGAGCATCATGTTCAATGCTCTTCTCGTCGAGCGTGATTTCATCCGACTTTTGCTCTTCAACGAATTCTTCCGAATCGTGGAAAAGAATGATTTGCGCCACATTGTTCTCAATCAACATAAAAGAACTGTCATTGTTCTGGAAAGCAGAAGAGACATTTCGAGCTTTTCCGCCTGTTTTCCTTACCGAACCGGCACAGTTAGTCGAAGAGAAAAGAGAATGGAGCCTCTTTCTTACAGCGTATCGATTGCCTCGAATGATCAACTTAAATTGTAGACGATTAATCGGATATTCCGTGTCACGAAATAGTCTCACCTGATGGGCGCGAACCAACAGGTTGCAGTTCAAGTTCCTCAACATATGGAGGATAGCAGTTTCGTTGTAATCGAAGCAAACGTCGCACTTTCTCGACGAATCCGTCAAAACTGGCTTGTCTCTGAATTTGGTGAAGTTCGACTACCAGTTAACCTCAATTTCATACTCTAAGTGCTCTGGCACAAGGACCTCGTCCGACCACGTGGAATCTTGTAATGCTGTGAATTGCACACGATTAGTGGGGAATCGTTTGAGCTGAAATTTAGTTTTCAAAACTATTTAAATTCGATAGAATACCGTATTGTCAATGTTCTCGGCAGTAACAACGCTCGAAGGACCTCCATGACAACAGTACACTTGCTTGTGACGGATGGCGGCCAGTGGGAGACATTTGAAAACATCACAAAACTTGTCAAACAACTTTTCTCCATTTTTCTCTCCAAATACACGAAGAAGTTCGGTCTGAAAGCTCCAAATTTTGATTGTGAGCTCTTCGACGAATGCGTTCTTACGTGGAATCCGTATTTCAGGCAGATCCTCCGGCTCTCGTGATTGCCTTGCAAGAGGAAAATGTAATCGGGGCAGTGCTCGTAGAGGCAGAAGAGCAGCATGAGCACATCGAATCCTCGCTCTCCTCGATCCACATAGTCGCCCAGACACAATCTGAAATAGTCGAATTACTGTTGGAGGGGCGCATTTATGCAACAAACAGAGCGTGGCTCCAGGCATCGACGGACAACGCCCGAATCAACGCCAAAAAGTTGCCATGAAGATCGCCGAGAATTTTGATTCTTGCTACATCAATTTTCACGTAATCGGGTCCAGCACGCATCTTCTTTTCAATAATACCCAAAAATTCCATGATCTCGTTCACTTTATTATAATACGGGTGCTGTAAGTGTTCAGTTCTGCATGGTTCTAACCAATTTGTAACCTCACCTCCCCTTCCTCAAACTGTTCTTTGAGCACAAGCTCTTTGCTGAAACTGTTGACGATGTAGTTCACTGGATCCAGTTGCCCACTTTCGTTGAGAAGCTTCTCTGGAACTTTCATCGGAACGACGTCAACCACATTCTCGCCAGCTTTCATGCGGTTAGACAAGCAGGTACCCAGGCAGGAGCCCAGGAAAGAGCCCAGTCTCCGGAAAATGCCGCCAGACTTAGTCTCATCTTTATCCGTAACCAAAAGAGGCTCGATGGAACTGGCGTTCGCATTGTCGTTCGGAAGCGATTCATCAATCCTGTCTTCCTCCATTTCGACGATGTCAGCTAAATAACTTGCGCATTGACTGGATTCACTCGTCGATTTCCCGGCATTGGTTCGCGAAATTGATCCGATGAGGGTGTCCTGAAGAAAATGATTAGTGATCTCGAAAATAGAAATTTCATGATTTCGGTACTTTTTCTCTGATTTTCGTCATTCACAGAAGCACGCGAATGTTCAGAGCAATGGCTCAAATCTGAGAATTTTCAGTGTAAAACTGCAAATCGATTCGTCTTTTTGATCTCTAAACGGGCCCCAGGGTAGAAAATTTTCGAATTTCAAATAGTGTTTTTTGAAGTTTTCAGTAAGTTTTTGGCGTTTTTCATTTCAATTTGTGGTAGGGTTGTTAAAATGACACAGATAGGCCATTGTCTACCTAATAATGGTAGAATTTGAGGAAGAGTGCGAGAAAGTACGGTCGTCAGATAAGATCCGGGTCTTAAAATCACAACTATGGTTGAAACTAACAGTTGACTCAGACTTCGTGGCCGTTTGCGTGTGATCTTCCGTCTTCGTGCTCTTTGAAGACGCTGCCTTCATCTTTGACAATTCGGCTGCTTTTGAAGACGTTGACTGCTGAGTTTTTGCTGAGCAATCCCTTTGGGTTTCCGCTTCGATTTCATCAGGGCGGACGCATACGAATTTATCGTAGATACGAGTGACTCCCGCAAATTGAATAAGTTCTACATTGGAAAATTTGCATGCGTCTCTCAAACGCTCCGAAATCTTCAAAACCTGAAATTATAACTGAAAGAGATAAGCGAATAAGTTAGAACTCTCACATAGTTTTTGCTGACGTCCACGATTACGGATAACTCGATGCGTTGTGCAGAACCGATTTCGGTGTTATAATCATGATTCAAACGCTGGAAAACGAAGAAAACTGGCCGAATAACTTTACAGGTGCACTTGCCTGCGCTCTAATCGCTTCCTCCTCCCTTTCAGCTTTTTCTTTTGCCTCGCCATGCAGATCGTTGGTGAATTTATGATCAAGAGGTGTTTCGTGATATGTAAATCCATCCCCCCTCTCTCGTTTTAGATTTTTAGCTGCAACCGAACTAAGTTAAGAGCGATAAAACGTATACGATAACAAGATTCTTGGAACCCGGGCCCGCTTCATTTTTACAACTATTTGAAAGTTCACGTGTTCATCTCTCACACACACACACGGTGTCCAGAGCTGACAATATGGGCGTGGCCTCGGCGGCCAAATGGCGTTTTAATTCATGAATTGAGCACGTTTTCTCTGATTTTTGTGGTCAAAGGCGATGAAAAATGATTGTTCGACATGAAAACACACTAATTCTCAGAATTAATGACGTTTTGGCGCATTTTTCGCCGACTTTGCTTTTTCGCCTTCGCCGCCGATCGCCGCCTACAAAGCGCACTTCTCATTTTGCGCTTTCTTGACCGTTTTCAGACAGAATTGGTTTTGCGAATGATAAATCACGTAAATACAAGCATTTTGAGCGCTCGAACCGCGAAAATTACCGAAAAGCAACTGAAATTCGCGCAGTTTTTGCCAAAATCTTCAAACGGATAAATGTGATTTGCGACTTGACCAAATTTAACGCTCTTGCGCTTAAAAAATTCGTAATCGCCTATACAATCGGTCTATTGAGAGACAAATGAGAAATTATCGGTTTTTCGTGGCTAATCTGGCAAAAAACACAACTTTTGCTGTTAAAATTTGAATTTCGCGCCAATGTATCGCTCTATTGGGCGGGGCGCACGCCCATTGCCAGCTCTGGAGAGAAACCAGAGAACCCGTCGAGCGCTCAGAACAACGGAATTCGTTTGGAGATACAAAACGCGACAATATCTCACCAGTTCCATGATCACGTAAAGCGGTTCCTGTCCGGCTCCCACCCCATAGAATTTGACCACGTTTGGGTGCTGCAAGAAGTTTTTTCTCCGAAACGTTATTTGAGAACAAACTCACTTCCAAATGTTTCTGGACACGTGCCTCGCGCATAATTTCCTTGATTTGCTGCTACCAATAAAGGCTTGCTAGCATTTAATAGGTTTATTCAGAACGGGTTCGGTGAGAGGGGAAAAGACCTAGTAACAGCGAGATGTCGACCATCGACACTTTGATCGACTCAATGCCCAGAAGATGCCAGGCAGTTATTGATGCCAAGGGCTTTGCAACGAAGTACTAGATCCCAAATATTGTTTTATCACTGTTTTTTGTTAAAAAACTTTGTTTTCGTTGAGCCAAGATAATTTTAATGAAAATACCAAAAATTCGATTTTTTCAAAAATTCGATTTTTTCTCGAAATATTTTTTTCTATTGAGCTAGTGGCCTAAAAAATTGCCAGAACACGCCTAACCCTTCCAGGAAAGTATGGAAAAAAATTTGGACCGATACCATATCTTAAAATAAATTTATCACCAAAAAACCAAAACTTAATATACTTTTGAGCGGTACTGTACAGGGTGGTCCACCGTTACCCGTACAAAATAAAAGTTGCGTAATTCCAAAACTAGAAGTCAGAAAGACGTGAGACTTAACAAAATGTTTATTAAGGTGTTTCACAATATTTATAAGCTAATAGTGTTGCACCCGACCTCCTTTCCTAACAATGACAGCCCAAAGACTTCCGAAGTAACAGTTTGCCGCGGCACGCGGGAAGTCCGTGAACAAATTGACCCCCTACCTGGCAAGGAATTTTTTTATCACTCCCCTACTTGTCTGGGGCTTAGCCTTCATATTAGCCTGTAAGACCCCACCAACGAATAGTCCAACAAAAAATGGTCCGGCGAGAAATCAGACCATTCTTCCTTCTTGATGAACGCTGCCAAATTAGCCTGGAACCACTGCTAAATGATCTTGGCCGTGTGAGCAGGCGTATTATCCTAATCTAACACCCAATGTTGTTCTCCAAAGTATTTGTGAGACCGAAGAACAAGTTTCTTTGTTGACGTTTCATCTACATAACGTACTTTTCTGATTTTGTCACCATAATCGATGAAAACGCGTTGAGATTGGCATGTTCAGCTGATGGGACAAGAAATCATGGCACGGACTCAGCTTGCATTTTAGAGTGATTTACACGGATATTGGACTCAATTCCACATCACATTTCATGATGGTTTGTCTGCTCACCCCTCAGTGAAAAAGCGTACTATGGGAACGGAGTGCAGACTAATCGGTGCTATTCGGCTGAAACAAATCCGTTTGGTCTGAGACTCGGCCAAATAGTTAAGAACATGATAATATACAAAATTTTGAATTAGGGCCACACCAGAATTGCGTCAGTACCTACGCGCGCCGCGTGAAACTTTTGTACGGGTAACGGTGGACCACCCTGTATATTTATCAGTCACGGAGGAGCTGGATCGGCCGGAAGTCGAGGGGCGTTGGTGGCGTGATCGGATGTTGGCTCGACGGTCGGCTCTGGAAGCATTCCGTTCTAGAGACTGTGACGAGAACCGAGGCGCAGCGTGCGGGGGCTCGCGACGCGTCTAATGGATTCGCTCTGACTGCAGCTTCCTGGTTCAGGAATGCGAGTCAAGGGCAAAGTGCGACCGGGAAAGCGCCATGGGAATGGGTTATTCTAACGCGCCTAATAAGGGATGACCTATCCCTTACATTGTTCAGCAACTCCAGTTTCGCCTAATAATTCTATTTTTGAGAAATTGTATGCTACGCATTCCCGCAGGCGCATTGCTCTGAGAATAAAACGGAATGCGTTCCCAGCGACCACGGCCAATTCCCAGAAAAGCATGGCACGTACCGATTTAACGGCGCAATCCTCGACCTTGCCGTTCTTGAGCGTGATCTTGCCCTTCCAGACCTCGACGCACTCGACGGCAATAGCGGCTCAATCCGCGACCTGAAGAACGCGAGAAAAGTGTAAAAAATGTTAACCCTGGCGTCGTCGGCCTCCTGATTCTGAATCGCCGAGAGCACGTACTGTCGCGGTTCGCCCGCCTTCGGCTCCGTACCGCCGATCGCCGCCTAAAAAGCGCACTTCTCATTTTGCGCTTTCTTGACCGTTTTCAGACAGAATTGGTTTTGAGAATGATAAATCACGTAAATACAAGCATTTTGAGCGCTCGAACCGCGAAAATTATCGAAAAGCAACTGAAATTCACGCAGTTTTAGCCAAAAACCTTCAAACGGATAAATGTTATTTGCGACTTGACCAAATTTGACGCTCTAGCGCTTAAAAAGTTCGTAATGGCCTATACAATCGGTCTATCGAGAGACAAATAAGAAATTATCGGTTTTTCGTTCAAATGGGGCCCCGCCCCTTCAGCGTTCAATTCTTGCAAGTAGCGCGCGCAGTTTTCGCAACGGTGCCGCACGTTTTTTTTTTCTGAGAAGAAGATGCAACAAGGCGAAAGAATAGGTTTTAATAACAAAAAGAATAATTTTCTGCTTTAATTTTCAAGAATTCGGTGTTCAGAGCAATGTGTGCGGCAGCGTTGCGGAAACTGCGCGCGCTACTTGCAAGAATTGAACGCTGAAGAGGCGGCACCGTTAGAATTACCGTTCGTATTGAACACCACAATGACGAGAGCCACAGCGACGCCAACAACTCCGTAAACGATGTATCTGTAAACAAATATTAGCAGTTACGCAAATTTGTTTTTCTCACATTGCAACGGAATCATCACCGTCTTTCTCTTCTTTGGAAGACGCCGCACTGTTCATGCTCCGCGATTGTCCCGCCCTCGAGATTTCAAAGATCCCATCGAAATAGGATTGAAGATTGGAGAGAGAATCGACCGACGAGACCAGTCCTTTTTTGGCAGATGCGAATTGCAGATCGAGAGCTCCGAACGCGGCGACAGTCTGCTGAACCCCGGCCGGTGTCCTGACGAATCCAAGGGTTTGACTCATAGAAAAGGAGTCCAATTCTGGTAGATTAATCGTTCCAGCTTCTTCGAAAACTTTCTTGAAATCACTGATCTGATTCTGATCGACGTTCATCGCCTTTTCCAGAGAATCGATACTGTTAGGAAGTTCCTTGATGGCTTTCTTGTTATTCGTATTCCACAGAGTCTTGATCGCCTTTTCCTGATCAACGTCCTTCAATCCCTTCACTTCCGCGTCGATATCTTTCTCGAAAGCCATTAACTTCTGAATGACGTCCGGCGACTTTTGAACATTGGCCAATCCTTGCAAAACAACGGCACCACTGGCAAACTGTTTGGAAGTCTTCAATGCGTCTCGCATTTCAATCTTATTTTCAGTCTCCCGACGTCTTCTGGTTGGTCTCTTCTTGCTACTCAGTTTATTCCATTGGGCAACTGTTTCGATGAGCGTGGCCACTCCGTCGGAAACCTGTTTGACATTCGGATTATCAGCCTTCAGATTGAGAAGAGTCTTGGGATCCTCTGCTTCTCGGACTCTCTGAACTAGGTTGTTTTTGGCGAGGCAGGTGGAAACATCAGTTATCTTCGTGTCGTCCATCCACTTTTTTGTTTTTGTGATGAGATCCTCGGTCAACTCAGTCGACCAGTTTTTCAGTTCGGTGGTAATGCAATCTGCTCGTTTTTTCGATTCTTCCAATTTCTTTCTGAGAGCGGCTCTGTCGAACGCCTTCAGTCTGTCCAACGATTCTGGTAGCTTAGTCATATCGATCAACTTAATGAAACTGGCAATATCCGTCTTCAGATCATCCACTGAGAATTCCGATGGGAACTTTTGGTTGTAGTTGGCAACGGCAGCATCCAGAAATTTAGCACGGTCCTTTTCCGAATTCCATTGTTTGAAGTCCATCGAATTTGCGGAAGTGGCTGCCGAAATGCAATCGTGAGCGGAAATCAGGTCGTAAAGTGATTCGGTCTCCTTGAGAGCCGCTTCCACATCCGTCCGAAGAGCTTTGATGACGTTGTCCTCCGGAATACTGATCGATTGGCAGGCGGTGCCCAGTGGTTCCATGGCTTTCGCCAGACTGGAAATCGGCGCCAGACGAGTCTTCAATGGCTCGATGCTCGCTCCGTTGGCGAGAATCTTCTTCACGAAACTTTTCTGCAGATCCTTGTCTATCTGGCCGAGATCCTTGATTCCTCTGATGAATCCCGACGTTACACTTCTCTGCTCGAACGGAGCAGCGGAAACGGAGCGTGTTTGAATCAGGAAATCCATCTTCTTGTTCATCTTCCCGACGATGTCCCGTGTCAGACACTTCTTCAGATTATTTGACTTCGTAGTGATGGCCGTCAACTCGTCCTTCGTCAGCGACTTTCCGGATTGATGAGACGAGATGCTATCCAGTTTAAGCACAGACAATACCATCTTCTCCGCTGCCGTTCCCTTCAGAATCGTGATCAGTTTCGTGGCGTCATAAATTGTGCGGAGAGCTTTTCCGGCATCATCCAAATACAATGAAGCTCGGTTGAAAAACTTGGAATCTGCATCAGCGTCCGCCACAGTGTCTATTTCAATGATGATATCAATCGCTTTTTTAACTTCGACTGAACTGGAAGTAAGCTTGTCGATTATATCTTTCATCTTCGCAACGGCCGGAAGATACTTTTCCTCCGTGAGATACGTTCCCGCCTCGGCAGCTTCCAAATACATCAGCACTCCGTTCTTTATCTCGCTTTTCCAGCACGCTCCAGTCCCGGTGCATTCACTTTCGACGGCCTTCCAGATACATTCCAGATCGTTCTTCAATCCGACCACGTCTTCCGCGATCAGCTCTTCGAACGTGAATTTGCCTCCAAACCGGAAGAACTCTCCGGCCACGGCGGCGCTCGTCACACTTCCGTCGCTCAGACCCTGCGACACGGCCACTGCGTTCACGACTCGGGCACAAACCACCACTTTCGAAGCCACTTTCGACACGTTTTCTGAAATTGTTAGGGTTAACACTGTGGTAATTACAGAGGGCGGTCTTCAAAAAAAAATTTCCAAAATTGTGCCCTTCTCTAACTTTGAGTTTGCAAATAACGTTTTCCAGCTGGCTAGCTCATTTAAATGGAAACAGCGCGTTTCAGAGCAAAAAAAAACAGAAATCGGCCATTCTTGCCAAAATTGTTGCCTTTTCCATCAATTTCCGACAGTTCTGCGAAAAGTACGCTCGAATCACCTTTCTGCCGAAGCTATTATAGTGGCACCGGACAGGAAGGGCGCGTTGTTCGCAATCTGGCCGAATTTCTAGGCCGCTAAGTAATTTTCTTCTGAAAATGTGGCCTAACTTTTCAAACTCGGCTCCGAGGTCGCTCAATTTGCACTGCAAAAAGAGTTTCTCCACAGGTGATTCGCGATCGGTCTATTGAGAACGTGGACCAGTGATAGGCCTATAATATGCCTATCACGAAGAAAAAGTTCGCCGATGGACGCATTGTACTCTGGCATTTCGTTATTAATCTAATTAACGTGTTTACTATCATTTTAAAGGACCAGGGAACCCAAAAATTTTTTGATGTTTTTGTGAAATGTTTTTGTGACTGTTTGAATTGTCTCTTATTGCCTCATACACTGGTGAAATGCTGCCTCTCAAAAATGCCAATGAACGAAACGGCATGCAGTTCACGGGCCGGCAATTCATACATTGGCCGAGAAAATTTTGCGCCTTGCGAAACTTCGGCCACGTGTGTTTTTTCAACACACGAACTGGATTATCTGCTATAAAAGATTCTCTGGCAGTTTTAAGTGATTCATTCGTGTTTTGTCATTGAAGTTAATACACTTCTTTACTTTGACTTCCGTTTTTATTAATTTTCACAGGTTTTCCATCGAAGTTTTTGTAACATTCGCTAAACATTGAGATTTCCGCTCCGTGACGTTTTCAGAAACCTTACATCGATCGGAGTCCTGGCTCAAATTATCGGATACAATAGTGAGAAACTTTTGGCAAAAAATCAGAGCCCTCTGTGATCAAAATCTCAACTTTTTTTATCGAAGTTTTTGTAAAATTCACTAAAAATCGACAATTCTGCTCCGTGACGTCTTCAGAAACCTTACATCGATCGGAGTCCTGGCTCAAATTATCGGATACAATAGTGAGAAACTTTTGGCAAAAAATCAGAGCCCTCTGTGATCAAAATCTCAACTTTTTTTTCGGTTTTTCATGAATTTCCCGAGATATAAGGGTGTGAGGCCGAAAAGGCCGCAATGTTCGCAAAAATTAATCTTTTCCAGCCTCTAAGCTTGGATCAAAGATGTTTCAAGCCAAGTCCAAGAAGCCTGCAAGGTATGGACCCGATCCGGTTATTGCGTGGAGTCAACACTCTCATCAACAAGTCAGAACGCTGATTATCGTCAATTCAAAACGCTAGCATGTGAATGCTCTACATCGAAAGGATATGCGCCGGAAACTCTCCTCTCATATATAATAAAAATTTGAAGACACAATTCTCCACGAATTAATAAATTTAGGGCTAATTATGGCTAGGGCCACTCCGTTCATGAATTCGCTTCGAGTTCCGCCGGCGTTTCCAACGAATCTCCGCTAATATTTTGATGTCATTCGTAGTTTTCATTCTTTTATTATATACTTTTAACATTTTTTACACATAGAACGTCTAGAGATACCGAAAAATGTATTTTTGGAAGTGTAACTGCCGAGAAATGAAAAAATCAATTCTAGTCGAACATTTCTGCAATTACTGTCAAAATCACGTTTTCTTGTATACTTTCGACGTTTCCCTATACTTTCGATGAGATTAGCACATTTTTCCGTCTTTCTTCGGCTTTTTCTGTACTTTCAATAAATTTTTTTTTAATTAGCCGCATATTTTTGGGTTACGGTATGCTGAATCTGCATACACCGTTGTACGCAAGTCCACAGCAGCGAAATCGCTGGGCTGAGTATTTAATCCACGCATTTTTCTCGGCCACTGTATGAATTGCCGGGCCGTGCAGTTGAAGTTGTGGCCGTGGCCTAGCGCCAATGGCCGAAAAATATATAAAAATATATGCGCTTCTCGGCCATTTTATTTTTTCCGCTTTTTTACCGGTTTTTTTCCAAAAATTCACGGTTTCTCCCATTTTGGCACTTCATATCGACTGAATGAAAACAATGTTTTAGCAGTAAAAAAATAAGTAAGTGCCGAACAAATGTCAATCAACTGAAAAAAATGGGAGAAACCGTGAATTTTTTTGGAAAAACCGGTAAAAAGCGGAAAAAAATAAAATGGCCGAGAAGCGTATTTATTTATATATTTTTTTCGGCCATTGGCGCTAGGCCACGGCCACAACTTCAACTGCATGCCGTTTCGTTCATTGGCATTTTTGAGAGGCAGCATTTCACCAGTGTATGAGGCAATAAGAGACAATTCAAACAGTCACAAAAACATTTCACAAAAGCATCAAAAAATTTTTGGGTTCCCTGGTCCTTTAACAGTGTTTGTATTTCCAGTTGCTTAAATTAGCTTTTCATTAGGATCAGTAGTATTTTTCGGTGTTCTGTACGTAGGTTTCTTTTTTTTGTGTTAAGCCTATGCGGTATGCCTCGATCATTGTTGAATCAGTTTGCTCAATTACAAACCTCAGAAGGTAGGTTGCTGTTTCAGATAAACTTGATTCTAACGCCTGTTTTCAGAGCGGAACGGTGTCAGCAGTGAAGAAGATATTCCGGACTACGATCCGTTTGTTCCAGACGACGCAGAAGATCGTTCGGAATTTTGTGAGGACCAGGAGGAATATGAGGAGAGTGAGGGTTTGGATCTTTCCGAAAATTCATCGAAAATTCAGAATTGACTAGAAATAGCTCTTTTCATGGAGATTTATCAAAAATTTTGGTCCGCGTGAACATTGATGTTCTAAAATTCGTTCTCTCTGCATGCATGAGTCGGCTTTCGAACGCTGGTCGGTGAAGACGAATATTGAAACAAATCTATCTTTTTTTTAAAGAATTTGAGCGGTTTCTTTGTTGTCAATCGGATGATTTCTCGGAGTCGGCGCGAAAGTTTGGACTTATAAAAAGAAATGTTTTTCGATTCACCACGTATGTAATTCGTGTGGCGCACTACTAACTACTTTTCAGTCAAAATGGTAATAGCACTGAAATACTTACTTGTAAAAAGATAGCTATTTAGTGGAAAGTGTCCGAAAAGTGTGGTCGCAAAGTTTGTACGCGTTGGCGGGTTTCAACAGATTCAGGAAATTATTGAGCACTATTTTGACGATATTCTGAACGTTCGTCGACAGATAAAGAGTGGATCACCTTCCGCTCACAACTTGGCCAGTCCGTTTTTTTGTGAACTTTGGAAAAATGAGCAGGATAACAAACTTGACTTTTCGTGCTTGCTGTCTGTCGACGGCGTCTCCATCTCAGGCAATTCTAAGTTCGGAATCAGAAATACGTCCAATTTAAAACTTTCTCTCAGAAAAATTTGGCCAGTTTCTCTAGTTATTGTTGATCTGTCTTTATCCAAAATGCAACGCTCTACAAACATTTTAATGGAAGGTGTAATTGAATGCTCTGAGAATCCGACGACTTCGACTTGGAATGCCCTCATTCCAATGATTTTTTGTGATATCGAGAGCCACGTGGGTAAAGTTCGCGGCTATTCATTTCAATGTCACGTTACTTCTATCAGTGCGGATCAACCGGTATGTGGAAAGCTACCGTTATCGAATAGTAACCAATTTTTCAGGCGAAAAGATCATTTTTTGGGTTAAAAGGTCATAGTTCTAGTTTATCCTGCCTTTTTTGCCTTTCGCCTGCCACTCTTTATAAACAACGAGGACCCAGTCGTAGGGAAAATCGGCCAGGCGAGCTTTCATTGTACGACACCATTCTAAAAGGTAAAACATCCAGTAATCACTTTTTAATTTACTTATACAGAGCTCCTTTTGACATGTGAAAAATGCGAACGAAAATCGGATGCTTTTCTAGTCCCCCAAGTAAAACTCCGTCGCTCATTGAGCACTATCAGGCTTCCGCGTAAATATATAAGCGTTTCTCAATGCCGCAACGGGTCCGACAAGTTGACACTGTAACTCGGAATTATAGACTTTCTGTCAGTCACAATCTCAGTATTTCCGAGTTACGTTACTGTCTTATCTGATGACAGCCTTTCGCCAAAAGGACGGATCATCATTGCATCTATCGCATTACTCGCCAACAAAATGTACACCGGTTCGGATGGATCCCTTCTTTTTGAAGAGCGATGCTGCGCCACGGCCAGATGGTTTCTCACAGATGCTAGCGAACGGTATATGGTCATCAAATCGCATGTATGTAATAATCTATCCCCACGTAATGGAGTTTACAGTTTAGGAACTCTTTTTTCATCTGCCAGAAGTTGTCAGTGCTAGGAAACTGTGCTCCACTATCCACTTTCTCTTTCGAAAGCTTTTACAAGTTTGCTTTGGTTGGATACAGTTCGTCTGTCACCCGGTACTTTCTTGAAAACGCTACAACCCGGTCAGCTATAGCAGATTTCAAATGTGAAATCAGATAACTCGTTTTAGATTTTTACTTCATACATCTTTACGGGGAGAAATCGCTAAGCGCGTTAAACAGGTTCCGTCGCAGTCACTGGACAAGTTTCTCGCGAAGACTCCTGGAATTGTCCGTCCTTCGAGTTCTTGGAAAAGTCCCAATAATGATTCACGGATCTCCGACCGCATCGACGGCATAGACAGTTTCGACCACTTCAACACTTTCACTTCCGCAGCTGGAACGTTGGATTCCGAATATACTACCGGGACATGCAATTCGTCGATATTCTTCGCGGGAAAAGCTGTTACAGATTCGTTTGCGCAGCCGTCAAGTTGCAATCGGTTATGATTCTTTGCGAACCATTCATTGGTGATGACGATGATGAGCATTTTGACGACATTAAAACGGCCGTAGACGGCTTGGAAAACACCGATTCTTACTATGCGAGCGATGTTTTGCGCCTTCTCAAAGTTTATGATGGGCTTTTCTGCGGCCGCTTGAGCGGAGACCGAGCGCTCATTCCGATAGACCACATTCTGGGGGTGGCAGCCTACGTTCAATCCGACGACAGGTTTATGTATAGTCGCCCAAATTAATGGACTTCCCATTCACAACTAGACACAATTTCTTGCTCTTCGTTTACTGCTTGTAATACTTCAACAAATCTTCTCAAGGCAAGCCCCACCAAGGTTTCAGAACTCCTCTTTTGTTTATCAATCATGAGTCACCCATATTACCGTGGCCGCACCAAGAGCAACCAAAGCGTCGGGAGAGCAGTTACCTCGACTCCTCTATCCTCCCGACAAAACTCTACTCCAAAACGAGAAGTCTCGATGTTCATGAGAAAAAGACAGGTTTCGATTGAGGAAAATGCAAACCAAATGGCCTTTTTTTCAGATACAACAAGATCAGCGATCATCTCAAGAACTTGGTGGATCACCGGCAGAAGAATGGCGCATGGAACGGTCTACACCGACGGCGCGGACGGAGCCACCAATCCCGACGACTCTCAGCTCCACTGTGTCCGGAATGTGGAATCCTCTTGGATTTGTGGCCAACAATTTCTACGACACGGCCGGAAATCTTTCAGAAACACTTGCGAAGTTGGTTGATAATCCACGAAACAAGAATTCATGCTCATTTTACAGATGAATGCAGAAAAGTTGAGCAGGAACATCCGCGAGATCGACTACTTCGACTTAAAATGGCTTGTCTGCCTTGCGAAGAAAACGACATCAAAAGCGAGCAGATGTACAAGCTTATCGGCTTCCAGGCCGCCGCTGTACGTTGAAACCAGGGTCCCTCGGAATAAAGAACGTTGCTTTTTCAAATTTCTCAAAGTAAACTACGGAAATTCCAAGGGACTATGAACAAAACTATAGAAAAAACTTCACCGCTTAGAGCTTTTGTGATTTAGCGCTGAAATTGGAAAGGGCGGAATCGCTAGAGCTCTGCGGAAGCGATGGTTGATATTCTTTTTCAGTTCAACCAGTTGGCGCGAAGTGTTAAGAAAGAGGAAGAGAGACAGAAATGAGAAGCTGGAAAAATCGTCGTTTTTCTTCTCAGTGACGTGATCAGTCCACAATCTTGTTCGAGTTGGACGTCGAGTTCATTTCTGAACCACACTCGGCTCATTTGTCTCCACGTATTCGACGCGGTATGATGTGAAAAGTGTATATATCGAATGAAAACGAGTTCAGATCGAAAAAGTCGACGATTTGTTTGCGACGTACTCCAGTTCGGCGTCCTCTTCCAAATACTTGCCCGTCTCAGAATAATTTTACAGCTCCTTTGCAAGTAAGAAAAAATGTCGGATTTTGAACACAAACTGTTTCAATTTTAGTTTTCCTTCTTCAAGGATTCGAACAGGCCTGCTCAAAGGACAACGAATCATTTGCGCATAGAATCGTGTACGAAGTCCTCACGAACAAATTGTGCGTGGTTGGAAAGAAAGGAAGGAAATATATAAACTTTCTTGCAGGAGCCGCGCGAGAGCCGAATTCAACAGAATAAACAACAACAAGTTTGCTGCAGAAGACCAGGCGAAAGGCCTGCGAGACGCCCTCGCGAGAGGAGACCAGTGGACTGATGTGTGAGATTTTTAAATTAAAATGTATAGCGAGAAATTGCTTCAATACCTCGAAAACGAAATCATAGAAACCGATTTGAAATGAGAGGTTGAAGCAAAACGGGGTTCCGAAGACAAAAACACCGAACAATTTTGGAACTTTCCCGCCAACGGCGTACGCGACGTCGCAGCTCATGCAAGACTTCAGCGCACTTCGTCACGTCGTCTTCGGAACCCTCACAGCCAACGAACGGAGTCAATTCAGATACCAATAGCCGAAACAGCCCAAAAATATTACCGAGCTGATTAATGAGAAGTTTAGCTGTCGTCTTTTCAGGCGATTGCATTTTGGAGCCGTCTCGACTGCCAGCAATCGCGTTGGACACGACGACGGCGAAAGCGTGGACGGCCGAGACAACACCGACGAGTACGAGGAAGAATACGGCAGCGGAGGACATGAAAATGACGAGTACGACGATGACGCCGGACGCGGAGGAATGGATCAGGATGTCGTTGTCGACTAACTCCGCCTGTTTTTTAATTGAAAATGTTTTTCCGCCCCTAAATTTTTTTCTCTTCCTTTTCAACTTTTCCTCTTGTAACCCTACTGCTTTTGTCAATACATTTTTGTAATAACTTTGCGTTATTTTCATTATACCCAATTCATCGCTATTGCCCCCTCGTTGTTTGCGTACTAAAGCCTAATTTTAGAAATTTTGGCTTGAGTCTGCAAACACCGAGGGGCAATAGCGATGAATTGAGTTTATAATTAAAATCTCGATATCGAACGTTCGCGATAGGTCTATAATGCGTGAAACTTTCGCGATCGGCCTATAATGTGCCTATTGAAGGACCTGCTCCGAGTTCTCTCTAGACACATCCGCGAACTTGTAATAGACCGATTGCGAATCACCTGTGTCAACAGAGCGTCATTTCTGTGCGGTGCCCCTATAATACGCCTCTTTTCCCAGTTTTCTATGGATTTTAAAAGAAAAACTCACGAGTTTTCTGTGCTGGAGCAGCAGCCGAATAGACTCCGAGCATGAAGAGCAGAAGGAATGTGGGGCGGAAGAAATCTGAAAATTTCAGCCTTCGGAATCAGTTTAAGAAGGGAAAAACTCACTTTTCGAAGGGATGATGGCCCAATTTCTGGATTTCCTACGTTTCCAGTATTCACACGGAGAGAATTCTGGAAAAAATAAGACCCTTTAATGAATATCAATGCTTTGTGTATTTAGAAAGGCAACTGACCAGGTTTCATCGCTGGTTTCAATCGATAGCTCTATCGAAGACGGGCGTCACTTGAAAATCCAATTACACGGTTTTTTACCTGAAGAACGATAAATTTCAGATAACGAAATTTTTTTTTGACAATTGTTAAAAATAATTTTAAAATGGGTCATAAAAGCTGTGGTTTTTGTCAAGAAAAATTAGAAAAATCGAAATTTCGCACAGAAAACGCTTCCGCCGCCAATATCGACAATTTCGAGCTGCAAAAGGGGCGGCGCAGTCTCCCCAGCTAATGCTAAATTGAGCGCCGCGTTAAAACGGAGTGTCGTTGAAAACAAAAGCAGGTAAGAAATTTCTGGATTCTTTTCCGAAAACCCGAAATTTCATCCGAAAGCGAGAAAAATGAAGCAAAATAGAGAATTTCCGAATTATTAATGACAGCTGTGACCTTAAATTAGCATTTTGATCACAAAAAAGCGCGCAGTATTACACTTTTCTGTGAATTTCAGTCCGGCGCCTCAAAAATTGAAGTTTTTCAGTCATTTTTGCATTTTATGGGCCGTCTCTGTGCTCAAAATGACCGCCATTGTCTGCTGAACAATCGAGAGGCATCAGTTTTTTGATTCTGTCACCTGTTTTCTCAAAACTTCCGAAAGTTCGTTTTTTCAAGCCAAATTTAAAAAACAAAATTACTCTTCGAATTTTCACTTTTACACGAGCACTCTGTGATCATTTTGTAGCTATCGGTCATATGAACAAACGTGAGGCAAAAGTTTTGAAGGAAAACTGTGCATAATCCGAAAAACTCGGGAAAACATAGCGTCTACCGTAAATCGACACTGAGAGCCGCACGCAAAAAAGCGCGCGAAAATTGTTTTTCGCCGGAGGGGAGACAGTGAGAGGAGCAATAAATTACCGTTGGAATTTCGATTTTCTCTAATAATCCGAAGACTTTAATCCGAAGGATCGAATAAAAGAATTGCATATTCGCGGAATCTTCTGGAAAAGGTCATCGCGGGGGCTTGGCCGGGTTTTTGAGACGTTCATTGATCTCTTTCAATTTCCATTTTATCTTTTTTTGCTTCAATTCTCTTTCTTTTTTTTGGTTGTCGTCCCATTTCGATCAATTTCATCGTGATCATTTATGCACATTGATCAGAAATGAATTATAAATTCCGGGATTTTTCAAAAAGCGTATAGAGCAAATCCAAGTGAATTGTATTTCAATCAATTTCATTTTGATCATTTATGCACACTGATCGGAAATAAATTAGAAATCCCATTCAAGAGAGTCGAGCGGGAAAAAATGGGGTAAAGGAAATAAAATATGGAGACAACGAGTGGACGGAGGAGGGGAAAAGCCGTAGAAAACAGGGGGAGGGAACACCGAAAAAGGGTCATTTAGGCGTAGTAGTTGAGCGACGCCTTCTTCTTCGCCTGCACCTCCAGAATCGCGTCCATAAAGTCTTCGTGGAGGATTTCGGTCGCGTCACGACGCAAAGCAATCATTCCGGCCTCGACGCACACCGCTTTGCACTGTGCCCCGTTGAAATCGTCCGTGCAACGGGCTAGCTCCTCGAAATTCACGTCTTTGCTGAAAATTTTACGGTTTTCGGTGAGAATATGGGGAGGAAATCTCACTTGACATTCATCTTTCTCGAGTGGATCTGCATGATTCTGGCGCGTGCGTCCTCGTTCGGATGCGGCAGTTCGATTTTGCGGTCGAGACGGCCCGAACGGAGCAGAGCCGGGTCGAGCACGTCGATTCTGTTGGTGGCGGCGATTACCTGCGAGGGAAATGACATTTATTGGGAGGAAATCCCCATTTCCCACCTTGATCTCGTCGTTCGGCTGGAATCCGTCCAACTGGTTGAGCAGTTCGAGCATCGTCCTCTGCACTTCGCGATCTCCCGCCTTCTCCGAGTCGAAACGCTTCGTGCCGATCGCGTCGAGCTCGTCGATGAAGATGATCGCCGGCGCCTTCTCTTTGGCCAGTGCAAATGCGTCGCGCACCAGTTTTGCGCCGTCTCCGATAAACATTTGAACGAGTTGCGGACCGGCCAGCTTCAGGAACGTCGACTTGGTCTGGGCGGCCACCGCACGAGCCATCATCGTCTTTCCGGTTCCTGAATTTTAGGAAATTTTCAATATTCGAGCTCTGTCAGTTGAAACTACGCAAAACTGCTCTAATTTGAAAGAAATTGGGTTGAAATCTCAGCATTTCAGTACTAACCGGGAGGTCCGTACATGAGGACACCCTTTGGCGGATGGATGCCCAGATTCACGAATCGGTCCTTGTGGGTCATCGGCAGCACGACGGCCTCGATGAGCTCCTGGATCTGCTTGTCGCAGCCGCCAATGTCCGAGTACTGCTCCGTCGGCCGCTCGTCCACCTCCATCGCCTTGACGCGCGAGTCGTACTCGGCGGGCAGCTTCTCGAGGATCAGGTACGAGTCCTTGTTCACTCCAACCAGGTCGCCGGGCTTCAGCTCGTCCGGATCGACGAGTCCGACGACGGGCAGAAAGTAGGTAGCGCGTGTGGAGGTTTTGATCACGGCGCACTTGGTTTTCTGCGCGTCGAGGTCGATATTGGCGCCCTCCTCCTCGAGATTGTCCTCCAGATCGAGTAGTTCGACGACGTTCGACACCAGGTACGGCAGCGTTTTGTTCACCTGAAAAAGTATCAACTTTGCAGTTGGGATGAGTTTTTGACCAACCTTGATGCGCTCAGTGTTCTCCTTGATGCGCTCTTTGAGAGTGGTCGCCGAGTGGTTAATTCTTTGCACCTCGCTTCTCATGATACGAATCTCGTTGTCAAGCAAATGTGTGCGGCTTTTCAGATCGTCCGTCGACATTCTCAGAATCTCCTCGTCGATTTCGTCGACGTCCATCGCCTCCGGAGCCTTGTTTCCTCCGTTTGGTGGCGGCGTTTGCGACATTTTCCGTTTCTGGGCAAAATTTTATGAGGAAATTGTGGAAAATTCGTAAATGCACCGAAATTTTCCACAATTCACTCAAAAATTCCGTTCGAAAGCCTAGAAAATACCGAAAGACTTGCTGATGATGAAAGTTTGGTCTATTCCGATTATAAATACATTGCAGCAAGGTTTTTCACTCAAATTGACAAAAAAGATTAATTTCTACAAACGTTCAAAAGAACCTCGAAGAAAACCAGAGAAAACAGTGACGTGCAACGGGCTAGCTCCTCGAAATTCACGTCTTTGCTGAAAATTTTACGGTTTTCGGTGAGAATATGGAGAGGAAATCTCACTTGACATTTAACTTTCTCGAGTGGCACAGTCTCCCCAACAGCTAATGCTAAATTAAGCGCCTCGTTAATGCGGCGTGTCGTTGAAAACAAAAGCAGGTAAGAAATTTCTGGATTCTTTTCCGAAAACCCGAAATTTCATCCGAAAATGAGAAAAATGAAGTAAAACAGAGAATTTCCGAATTGTTAATGACAGCCTGTGACCTTAAATTAGCGTTTTGCCCACAAAAAAACTTTTCTGTGAATTTCAGTGTGCGGCGCCTCAAAAACTGAAATTTCTCAGTCATTTTTGCATTTTATGGGCCGTCTCTGTGCTCAAAATGACCGCTTTGTCTGCTGAACAATCGTGAGGCATCAGTTTTTTGATTCTGTCACCTGTTTTCTCAAAACTTCCGAAAGTTTGTTTTTTCAAGCCAAATTTAAAAAACAAAATTACTCTTCGAATTTTCACTTTTACACGAGCACTCTGTGATCATTTTGTAGCTATCGGTCATATGAACAAACGTGAGGCAAAAGTTTTGAAGGAAAACTGTGCATAATCCGAAAAACTCGGGAAAACATAGTTTTCAGTTGAAAACCCGTCTCCCGTAAATCGACACTGAGAGCCGCACGCAAAAAAGCACGCGAACATTTTTTTCTCGCCGAAGGGGAGACAGTGGGAGGAGCTGCATGATTCTGGCGTGTGGATTTCGACTGGCAAACGAGCATGCGACCACAGGAAGGCTGAAAAACGTGCTGTATTGTTGGATTGCAGTTAGGTCCACTCACAACTCGTTATCTTTCACAGAAAATTTGAATATATTGCAGAAGTCACCCCAAATAACATCCGTCTTCGTCTTTCCTTCCACGATACTAACGTTTGACGATCGGTCTGAAACTTTCAAAGTGGATTCTTTAAGCCAAGCAAGTGGTCCCAGCCCATATCTTACGGGAACATGGCCGCATTGTTCTTGACGAGGAAGGCGTTGTCAGTAGAGATATCAAAAAGTGGTCAACTGAAAACATGTTCAACATTTTTTGATGAAAAAATTGTTTGTTGACAGCTTTTTTATATCTCCACAGTTAAATGAGATATATCGTGTTGAATAAATGGTACGAAAACACGAATTCAATAAACACTTCAGTTTGTGGGGGACACAAAAAATTATAAAACAGATGGGGCATTTGAGACATGGCGCAGCGATTTCTGTCATTCTCCGCAAGAAAGTGCTTCTTCAATGGTCATTAAGTCGGGCATTTCTGTCTCATCGCTAGTTGTGAACCGAGTAAACGAGATGCTCAGTGTCTCCGAGATGTGCATCATAGCGGCTTTGTTCTGGAAATTTCTTAATTGAATACAAGACCAACTGACGACAAGCGTACCATATCCGAGCACCCAGGAGCCGAAAAGAGCGTGACCAGGCGGCGTCCGGCAAAAAATTCAAAGCCGTTGAGTTTGACCTGATGTGCCCGAACCACAAGTTCCCATCCCATCGCACTCATTATCATAAAGAGAGCGGCCGCGTTAAAGTTCTGGACGCCTGTCTTACGTTTGGATTCGGTGAAAACAGGACCGCTGAAAATAGTGCACATGTTTGTTGTGTGCGAGTGGGGGGGGGTTCACTCACAAAAAACCATCTTTAATATTGTAAGCAGTGACCGGGTCACTCCAAAGAATGATCATTTGAATTGTCTTCTCATAGTCGGTAACTGGTCGCTTCTTAACCTGAACACAGACAAATTGTTCAGCCACTTCATTATTCGCTATTCACATCTTTCAGCGCAGATGGCCCATTCATGAAGGTGTACGGAACTCCGCCATGGGACAGCCAAATCTTGTTATCGACAATGCAGGCCAGCGGCATTTCCAGAAACATCTCGTTGACCAGACTGTGCAACTGCTTTCCCGTCTTCTGTCCGTAGTTGTAGACGCACTCAGCCTGCAAACAATTTCCGTTAAATGCAACAGTCACGAAAGTGTCTCACCAAGAACCCATAACAACTGTTGATGCTCTTGAACTCGTGGTTACCGCGGAGAATGATGAGCCGGTTCGGAAACATAATTTTCAGCAGGCACAGAAGGAGAACAGTGTCGAAGTTGCGTGGCCCGCGATCCACGTAATCGCCAGTCAGAACACTAAACAAGGATTTTTCTTAACTAAAAACGTGTTCGAGAAAGGGCAAATTTACAATCTTTTTTGAATTTTAGAAAATGTCAACATTCTGACAAGATCTTTGAACTGTCCATGAATGTCTCCCAACACGTTTATAGAATGCATTCCAGTGGTTTGAACCACTGCCTTTTCTTTTTCGAGCACCTTGTTGGCGGCTTTGAAGACCGTCATATAGATCTTGATGTCGTACGCGTTCTAAAAATCGTCTCGTCCGGGGTTCCAATCAATTTTTCTCACTTTTTCGTTTTCGTCGGCATTTAGTCTCTCGTGACAGTACCCTTTTTTGTGAAAATTCGCAATCGACAGAACGTCTTCCGTAAGACTTCGGTAGTCCAACTCTCCGTTCGCATCCAAGAACTGCTCAAGCTTCTTGATCGCAGTGTTCTCATCGTCACCAGCCTCTTCCCGTCTTTCTGCTGGCTGCTCATCCGCCTCTTCGTTAATCTGAAATACTGTATGTTTATCCGGTTTTCCGCTCTAAAAATACGGCTTGCTCGAGCTCTTCCAACAATATCTCGAACTTCTGTCCACTCTCCCACTGAAAAACAAGTTATCCTATTCAAAATTGTGGAAATTGGGTTGACTCACCACTACCTGTTTCGTCGCCTGGAGTATTATTGTCGCTTCAACTTGCTGCGAGGAAAAGAAAAATTTGTCAAGAGAGGCTGGTCGCTTGTATACTTACCCTTTTAAACGCCGAGTCCATGCACTGGATGTTGTACGCGAGCTGGCGCTTTGTCATCTAAAAATTTGAGAATTTACTTTTCATTAAAAGCAGATTTGCAAGATTTCGAAAATCTTGCTAGAAAGGCCCGACCCGGTCGGGCCCGAAAGTTAAATAAACGCTTTAAACTCACCTTCTTTCTTCTGTTGAAACGGAAATGTTGCATAATACTACGGTGAACGTTTTGCAATGCAATGCGCCAACTCCAATCGTCCAGCTTTGGTTGCTGACCTTCAACATCCATCGTTTCACTACCGCCGACAGAGCGAGAAGTGCGGCAGGACACTTCCGAACCTTGCTGAAAAAGAATCCGTTTGAAAATGCATGTCGCAAGCAATTCATCTCACAGTAACGCCAGTGTTGAAATACTCTGCATGGCCCTCGAGGTCCGTTGCGGTGACAGCGGTGACTTTGTCCTTGTTTTTTTTTAGTTTTTTTTTCCAGAAAAACACGCCTCCGATAATAATAGCAAGAAGTGACAAGATGCCCACTCTGTAGAATAAAAGAAAACTTTTAAAAAAGAAGGAAAATACTCACATTACTCCAATCCAATAATATTTGAATGTTCCGCATGCATATGCAAAAATGCTTTCGGTTGCAGTGCAGTTTCCTATAGATGAAGACGAAGAGGTGGAGGCTCTTTTAATGTCGAACAGCGAGTCAAAGTAAGCCTCGAGGTCCTTCAGAACTGCAGAAGTGGACGAGAGGCTGCTCTTCGCTCCCGTGAACTCGAGGCTGAGAGCTCCGACCTTGTTGAGAGCATCTTTGATTGTAGCTGGGTGCGTGACAAAGTTCAAGCTGCTGCCGATTGATTTGGCGTCTGTCGGAAACTCAAATCCATTAACTTTATCGAGTACCTGAAAAAACATAAATTCAACTTTCTGCAAATAAACATCAAGCCGACCTTTTGGAAGTCGGTGATCTTCTCCTGATCGGTCGGAACCTCAGTGTTCAGAACCTTCAACTTGGCGCGAAACAGCTTGAGCGCTGCCTTTGACTTGACATTCCACACACTTTCGGCATTTTTCTTCATGGTCGCATCCGTCAACGCGCCAACTTCCGAGTCGATCGACGTCTCCACTTTCATCAAATCGTCAATTTCGTTTCTCGCGTCGTACGCTTTTGCCAGATTAATAAGCACTAAGACACCATCGGCGAGCTTCTGAGAGACCTTGAGAGCGTTATCCAGAGGGATCGCCTGTGCCACGGCTCGTTTGGCGACGATCTTGCCGTCTTTGAATGTGTTCCACTCGTTGATCGGAGCTTTCAGATCATTTGCGGCTTTCGAAACCGCTTGAATATCAGCGTTGTTGGACTGCAGACTGAGAAGGGATGTCGGTGGAGCTACTGCTGATTTAGCTTGCTTATACTTTTCTAAACTCAAGCAGTCGACTGCCTTGTCAAGTTTCATTTCACTGATCGATTTTGTGGTCGTTGTGAGTACCGAGCTCGGCATAGTTTCTGGCAAAATTTCTGACCGTAATGCTTCAATTTCATTTCCAAACGTGGGCAGTTCAGTGATTAAAGTCCGAGTCTCCGTGTTGTTTTTAAGGTTCTCCAGAACTGCCGTTTTATTCTTGCCAGTGAGCAATCTTTTGAAGCTTTTGAGTTTTGTGAATATCCCGAAACTTTTCTTGGAAATGTACTTGTCGTTGAATTCGTTCGATTTCTCTTCAAAACTTTCCAGAAAGCCTTTGATGCTATTCCACTCGTCAAAGTTGACACTCTTGTTCCAATCGACCATCTCAACACACAGTTTGAAAGGTTCGAGAAGACCAATGTTATCGAGAGAAGCTGAGACGTCCTTTAACAGTTCCTGGACAATATCGGCGCTCCTGCCTACGCCGTCGTCAAGTTTCACGGAGTTCAAACTGGTCTGAATCGGTTTCAGTCTGCTGATCAAACTGAACAGAGGTGCTACGAGAACGTTGAGCTTGTCGGTGCTTCCTCCATTGGCCACTATGGCCACTATTGGCCACATTGGCCTGATGAAAGCCGAATTGACCGTGGTGGGAACTCTCTCAAAATCAATGTACCCGTTGAAAAATCCACTCGTCAACCGCTTTCCGGCAACTTGAGGCGCAGGCTGAGCTTTGATTTGGGCCACCAGCTTCAACTTATTCAGAGTCTGGGAAATTCTATCCGTCGCCAAAGCTTTTTTCAGATTTTTCGATTTCGTCGAAAAGCTTTTCAAATCCGCATTCATCTGCCTAATTGTCTTCTGCTGAGCAGATCCGGCTTTGAAAAACGGTTCCATCTCGAAGATCGGCGAAATTGAATCGAGATGCTGTTGAGGCTCCAAACTATTGAAAATTTGCTTTGCTTTATCCAGCTGTCCTTCGGCGTTCAACACTTTGCCCACTCTTTTGCCGATGGTTTTGAGCAAATCACCAATATCTTTTTCTGTAGCGTTTGTGTAGCTGGCTAATAGTTCGAGGGACTCTTTCAGTTTCATCGCCTCGTTCTTTGTAACACTCATCTGATTGTAAGCTTTCTGCAGATCGTCCAACTCATCCAGTACACTCAATCTTTCTTCCAAAACGTCTTTAAAGTCGAGGAATGTAGTCTCGAAAGCATCGATTCCAGTGGTCATGGCGTTTCCGTCCCAACAACCCCCGGCGCCTCCGCATTCTTTTTCAATCGCCGTGGTCACATTTTTCAGATCGAATTCCAAATGACCCACATTCTCACTAGACAATTTCTCGAGTGCTACGCTGCTCGTTCCAACGTGGAAGAGCTCTCCTGCTATGGCGTCGGGTGCGATGTTTTTCACTTTAAGTCCTTGGGCGAGTGCGATCCAATTAACTAACCTCCAAAGCGTTCTCATTTTCTTGGCCACCGAGCCAAGATTCGAACCATCTGTAATATCCATGTTTCGAACAATCACAGTATTCAAGACTCTCTAATCTGCTAATGGCAATGCGGAAATGTTAGCGATAGAGCGCGTTTGAATGATAGAAAAAAGGTTTCGAATACATTTTTCTGCGCATATTCTTTTTAAAGGGGGAGTGCGCTGGTTCCAACAGTATCGATGCTTTTACGAAACGTCCTTTTTCGGCCTGTTTTTCGAGGAAAGTGTTTAAAAAATATACTCCAACAAACTTTCCGGTCTTTCCCTCCGTTCTGCGTCGATCCATGTAAAAACATCTATACTTTCGGAAAAAGCGCACTCAATGCGAGTGAGATTCGAAGGGAGAACGCCTGGCCCCATCAAGAAGCCAAGACCCAACATTGTTCACAGAGACGTCAAACTCACTCGGTTCATTTTGTGGCAGACCGACGAGCAAAGTAGGGATGGTGAGCAGAGCAAGCAGGAAGAGGGCTGGGGAAGTGCCTGTAAAGCGAGCATGAACACACTGCAAAATATGCCGAAACTTACGAGCTTTCATCGTCGACAACGTAGTCGTTAGATAATCCGAAAATTTTACGTATAGGCACGTTCCAAGTGAATTAATTTTTCAATGTTTTTTCCGGAAATTTTTGATAAGCGTTACCGGGTGCCCCACTGGTCTCATTGCACGGTTATTGCGGGGGCGTGGGGGGAGGGGGGCTTATAAAAGAAAGCAGAGTTTATAAATGTACAACACGAATCTTATAAAGAACAGTTAGTTTCGTAAAAAAGTGAGAAATTGCAAAAAGGTTTACGGTTGAATTGCTCCAAGCAGATTTTGCGTATGGAGCAAATCCAAGTGAATTGTATTTCAATCAATTTCATTTTGATCATTTATGCACACTGATCGGAAATAAATTAGAAATCCCATTCAAGAGAGTCGAGCGGGAAAAAATGGGGTAAAGGAAATAAAATATGGAGAAAACGAGTGGACGGAGGAGGGGAAAAGCCGTAGAAAACAGGGGGAGGGAACACCGAAAAAGGGCCATTTAGGCGTAGTAGTTGAGCGACGCCTTCTTCTTCGCCTGCACCTCCAGAATCGCGTCCATAAAGTCTTCGTGGAGGATTTCGGTCGCGTCACGACGCAAAGCAATCATTCCGGCCTCGACGCACACCGCTTTGCACTGTGCCCCGTTGAAATCGTCAGTGCAACGGGCTAGCTCCTCGAAATTCACGTCTTTGCTGAAAATTTTACTGTTTTCGGGGAGAAATTGGGGAGGAAATCTCACTTGACATTCATCTTTCTCGAGTGGATCTGCATGATTCTGGCGCGTGCGTCCTCGTTCGGATGCGGCAGTTCGATTTTGCGGTCGAGACGGCCCGAACGGAGCAGAGCCGGGTCGAGCACGTCGATTCTGTTGGTGGCGGCGATTACCTGCGAGGGAAATGACATTTATTGGGAGGAAATCCCCATTTCCCACCTTGATCTCGTCGTTCGGCTGGAATCCGTCCAACTGGTTGAGCAGTTCGAGCATCGTCCTCTGCACTTCGCGATCTCCCGCCTTCTCCGAGTCGAAACGCTTCGTGCCGATCGCGTCGAGCTCGTCGATGAAGATGATCGCCGGCGCCTTCTCTTTGGCCAGTGCAAATGCGTCGCGCACCAGTTTTGCGCCGTCTCCGATAAACATTTGAACGAGTTGCGGACCGGCCAGCTTCAGGAACGTCGACTTGGTCTGGGCGGCCACCGCACGAGCCATCATCGTCTTTCCGGTTCCTGAATTTTAGGAAATTTTCAATATTCGAGCTCTGTCAGTTGAAACTACGCAAAACTGCTCAAATTTGAATGGAATTGGGTTGAAATCTCAGCATTTCAGTACTAACCGGGAGGTCCGTACATGAGGACACCCTTTGGCGGATGGATGCCCAGATTCACGAATCGGTCCTTGTGGGTCATCGGCAGCACGACGGCCTCGATGAGCTCCTGGATCTGCTTGTCGCAGCCGCCAATGTCCGAGTACTGCTCCGTCGGCCGCTCGTCCACCTCCATCGCCTTGACGCGCGAGTCGTACTCGGCGGGCAGCTTCTCGAGGATCAGGTACGAGTCCTTGTTCACTCCAACCAGGTCGCCGGGCTTCAGCTCGTCCGGATCGACGAGTCCGACGACGGGCAGAAAGTAGGTAGCGCGTGTGGAGGTTTTGATCACGGCGCACTTGGTTTTCTGCGCGTCGAGGTCGATATTGGCGCCCTCCTCCTCGAGATTGTCCTCCAGATCGAGTAGTTCGACGACGTTCGACACCAGGTACGGCAGCGTTTTGTTCACCTGAAAAAGTATCAACTTTGCAGTTGGGATGAGTTTTTTGACCAACCTTGATGCGCTCAGTGTTCTCCTTGATGCGCTCTTTGAGAGTGGTCGCCGAGTGGTTAATTCTTTGCACCTCGCTTCTCATGATACGAATCTCGTTGTCAAGCAAATGTGTGCGGCTTTTCAGATCGTCCGTCGACATTCTCAGAATCTCCTCGTCGATTTCGTCGACGTCCATCGCCTCCGGAGCCTTGTTTCCTCCGTTTGGTGGCGGCGTTTGCGACATTTTCCGTTTCTGGGCAAAATTTTATGAGGAAATTGTGGAAAATTCGTAAATGCACCGAAGAGCAGCAATTCACTCAAAAATTCCGTTTAAAAGCCTAGAAAATACCGAAAGACTTGCTGATGATGAAAGTTTGGTCTATTCCGATTATAAATACATTGCAGCAAGGTTTTTCACTCAAATTGACAAAAAAGACTAATTTCTACAAACTTTCAAAAGAACCTCGAAGAAAACCAGAGAAAACAGTGAAAATCAACTGGAAAAACATGAGAATTAGTGAATTTTAAAAACGATGACTGTGCAATTTGGCGTAACGGTGTTTGCACACCGGGCACCGGATCCCACGACATTTCGTGATTTTCTGCGCTTTTCTCTCTCACGTTTTCGCGCTGAAAATCTTTGAAATTTGCAGTAAAATGATTGAGAAATTTGTGTTTCGTCGATGTTTTTCCGCGAAAGCGTCGACGATGCGCGCGTGGGTCTCTGAAAACGGCGCCGGCATCGAGTTCAGGGAGGTGCCGGTGCCGGCAATCAAAAAACCGGGACAAGTGCTGCTCAAAGTCAAAGTGAGGTAATAGAAATTGAAAAATGTAGAATTTGGGCTATTAACAGGCGGCTTCTGTGAATCCGATCGACGTGGACATGTCGCAGGGGTACGGTAGGCAGTTTTTGGGCCGTTGGAAGCAGTTGGTGGCGTGCGACGTTGCCGCCACAAGATTTCCGCTGATTCCAGGCCGGGATTGCACGGCGGTCGTCGAGGCCGTCGGAGGAAATGTTCATAATTTGGCGCCCGGCGATGAGGTGATTTTTAAAAAACTCCTTGAAATCCGTTCTAAATGTTAACAAAATTGCAGGTGATGGCGGTGGTCCCAGTGATTCAGCCGGGCACACATGCCGAATACGTGATCACCGACGCGAATTTGTGCTCGAAAAAGCCGGGAAATTTGAATTTCGAGCAAGCGGCCGCCCTTCCCTACGTCGCTTCCACTGCGTTTTCGGCGTTTTCGGTCGCACGAGTCAATGAGGAAAATGCAAAGTGTGAGCGGGTTTTGAATTTCTTGCAAGAATTTCAACCGAAAAGTTGCAGTTCAACGAGTTCTGATTCACGGAGGAGCCGGCGGCGTCGGAAGTATGGCAATTCAGCTGCTGAAGGCGTGGGGATGCGAGAAGATTGTGGCGACGTGCGGCAAGGACAGGTTGGAAGACATTTCTAAAAGTTTCTAGAAAAACATTCATTTTAGTTTCGAAATGGTATCGAAACTCGGCGCGATTCCAGTGGATTACGCATCGGAACAGGCGACTCAAGAGCTCATAGGCCACGCCCCTTTTGAAGTTATTCTGGATACTGTCGATTCGCCGTTAGCCAGATGGAGTGATAATGTTCGTTTTACCGAATTCTGGAAATTTTTTCCAAAATCTTCTAAATGTTTGCAGGTGATGGGAGTGTGGCGCAACTGTGTGCACGTCTCGATTGTTTCTCCGTTGATGCGAGAAATGGACAAGAATGGAGTTCCATTGGGTCTCGCCACGACTGCCATCAAACACTTCGAGAGGGCTTTTCAGGTTCATTTCAGTAGAAAACATAATTTTTTGACTGCAAGCCTTGTTTCAAAACGCCTTATTTATCTCCAATTTTTGTTTCAAAATATTTCAATTCAGAGTCACCTGCGTGGGCGTTGGTTCTCCTACGCGTTCTTCATGCCCAGCTCCGAGTTGATGGCTCAATTGTCAAAGTTTGCCGAGGAGGGAAAGGTGCAGTAATTCCATTCAATAATTTCAGGCTCAAATAGTTATCGATGCCCTGTATCGCTAAAATCATAATTGCAGATCGTGCCGATCGTCGAGCGAGTGATGCGTTTCGAGGAAATCGAGGACGCCTACGCAAAAGTGTCCCAGCTGAACGGCCGCGGAAAGACCGTCATTAGATACTACGATTAGGACGGAGAAGGAAGAGAAGAAGAAGAACAAGAGGATCTTGTCTGCCGAATAAAACAATGAGAAAGTATTCCCGTTTGCCATCTTTCTTTTCGTGTTCTATGTTTATTCTGTCTGTGTGTATCTCTACCTTGATCCCATCTGTAAATCCCTCTCTTTCTATAGTTCGCTCAAAAATGCTCGCAAAAAAGAAACGCTCAAATCCATAAAACCATTCATTTTGTCCTAGTTCTTTTGATTCATTGCTCCTCGAGCATCGTTTTCACTGTTGTTGACGAGACGGTCCACTATTCCTCGGGCTTCATCGACATCTGAAAAATTACCTTTGCAATGCCTTTTTGTCACCCCACAAAAACTCGCTCAAATTAGCATAGATAAAGAATGGAGAATGACAAGAGAAAGAGACTGACTGGCTGCGTCTGCTGGAGGTTCTTCTCCTTGTCGAAAGCGGCCGGCTCTCCGCGTTTGTCGCCCTTTCCCTTCGCCTTCTTCTCCCTCTTCCCGTCCTTTTGCTTCTTCGAAAGCGTCTTCGCCTCTTGCGCTTCTTTAATCGGACACGCCAGAATGACGGGCTTGAATTGGAACGTCGTCTGCATGAAACGAAGAATTTCGGGCATGTAGACGCGGTCTCCGGGCGACTCTGCCCAACACGCCTTCTGTAGAAAAAAAATGCAACGTTTTCCCGTTTTCTCCACACGATTTCCGTCATTATGAGCGCTCAAATTAACAGAAATCGTCTGGAGAATGTTGGAAAAAAAAAGTGTTTTCAAACATACTCACCAGCACATAGTCGGCAAAGCGCATATCGACGAGAACCGGATCGAATCGCATGCGATAACCGCTTTTGACCTAAAAATTTATTATTTTCTGAAAATCTTCTCAAATGGCCATTATCCGAACTTGTCCGACGACTTCGGCCACCCGCATGTCCGGGTACGGTTCTTTGCCGTTTTCAGTAATCTCCCAGGCCATGATTCCTGTAAGAATCAGAAAAATTCGAGGTCATTTCCAAACCGCACCAAAAGCAAAGACGTCAGTCTTGGGAGTGTAGACGCCACTGCAAAGAGTCTCCGGAGCGAGCCATCGGATGGGCACCTTCTTGGACATGTCCATCTGGTAGAAAGTGCCCTCGCGCGACAGCCCAAAGTCGGCGATCTTGACCTGCCCGCCGCCGTAAAGACAGTTCCGCGCGGCGATGTCCCGATGCAGCAGCTTCTTTTCGTGCATGTAGCAGATGCCGCACGCCGCCTGGTAGATCATCTCCATCTTTTTCGGCGGCGTCAGATTCTGGTTCTTCTGCAGGTACGAGTCCAGTGCGCCGCAGTCCGCCTCAAAAAAAGAAAGAGAAATTGATCGGCCGATCTGTCGGTCTCCAGAGCTGACAATATGGGCGTGGCCTCGGCGGCCAAATGGCGTTTTCATGAATTGAGCACGTTTTCTCTGATTTTTGTGGTCAAAGGCGATGAAAAGTGATTGTTCGGCATGAAAACACACTAATTCTCAGTAGTAATGACGTTTTGGCGCATTTTTCGCGGACTTTTGCTTTTTCGCCTTTGGCGCCGATCGCCGCCTACAAAGCGCACTTCTCATTTTGCGCTTTCTTGACCGTTTTCCGACAGAATTGCTTTCGAGAATGATAAATCACGTAAATACAAGCATTTTGAGCGCTCGAACCGCGAAAATTACCGAAAAGCAACTGAAATTCACTCAGTTTTAGCCAAAAACCTTCAAACGGATAAATGTGATTTGCGAATTGACCAAATTTAACGCTCTTGCGCTTAAAAAATTCGTAATAGCCTATACAATCTGTCTATCGAGCGACAAATGAGAAACTATCGGTTTTTCATGGCTAATCTGGCAAAAAACACAACTTTTGCTGTTAAAATTCGAATTTCGCGCCAATGTATCGCTCTATTGGGCAGGGCGCACTTGCGCGCCCATTGTCAGCTCTAGAGAGAAACCAGAGAACCCGTCGAGCGCCCAGAACAACAGAATTTGTTTGGAGATACAAAACGCGACAATATCTCACCAGTTCCATGATCACGTAAAGCGGTTCCTGTCCGGCTCCCACTCCATAGAATTTGACCACGTTTGGGTGCTGCAAGAAGTGTTTTCTCCGAAACGTTACTTGAGAACAAACTCACTTCCAAATGTCTCATGAGACGTGCCTCGCGCATAATTTCCTTGATTTGCTCCTTGTTCAGCGACTCCAGTTTCGCCTAATAATTCTATTTTTGAGGAATTGTACGCTACGCATTCCCGCAGGCGCATTGCTCTGAGAATGAAACGGAATGCGTTCCCAGCGATCACGGCCAATTCCCAGAAAAGCATGGCACGTACCGATTTGACGGCGCAATCCTCGACCTTGCCGTTCTTGAGCGTAATCTTGCCCTTCCAGACCTCTCCGAACGCGCCCTCGCCCAATTTCTTGGTCAGCTCGACCTGCGAGTGCTCCACTTCCCAATCCTGCTTCAAGACGGGCGTCTTCAGCACCGTCATCTTCTTGATTGGCTCTTTCGTGAGCATGTAGTACTGCACGAGCGCCGAAATCGTCTCGAAGCCCTTCGCTTCCAAAAATATCTGGTTGTTCGCGTTGACGCGCAGCACGTAGTGTTTCACCTGAACATCTTTGTAGTTTTATTGTTTTCCTGTGTTCTCCAAACGATTTCCGTCATTTTGAGCGCTCGTGGGGCTCTGCGCGCTTTGCTTGAAATTAGTTATAATTTTTCAAAGTTGCGCGGGAACCCTCCACGAGCGCTCAAAATGACGGAAGGAAATCGTCTGGAGAACACGAGAAAAGTGTGAAAAATGTTAACCCCGGCGTCGTCGGCCTCCTGATTCTGCATCGCCGAGAGCACGTACTGTCGCGGCTCGCCCGCCTTCGGCTCCGTACTGCGCAACAGGAAATCACCGTTATTTTTAAGCATTGCCTGCAAAAACGCTAAACTTGTTTGGAGATGCTCATTGAGAATCGCGCGGACGAACCCTGATATCCTCGCGCGGCAGCAGTCCGTGGTACCATTGTTCCGTGTGAATATTCTTGTCAACCATCGCCCTTTTTTGTTTTGTCAATCAGAAGACGAAACGTGCTTTTTCGAGAAAGAGAACCGCGATACAATTGGAAAATGATTCCGATCCCTCAGAAAATACAATCTGTTCGAACTAGTGTTTCCCAAGAAAGAAGGGGCCACGGAAATATGGAGGAAAGCGGAAAACGGTGTGCTGTTTGTAATCGGCTATGCTGAATCCAATAAACACCTCCGTTTCACGTGAACATTTTTCTCGAGGTTAACTATTATACGTTTCCACATGTATTCCACCCCTCACAACTTTTACACCGATTGTAGAAGGGAAGGGGGGAGAGAACTGTTCCCTGACGCAGGTTTAGCCGACCATTAGCCGGCTTATTCCCTCTTTTTCTTTCTCTCTCTCTCTCTCTCTCTCTCTCTCTCTCTCTCGCTTTCCGATCCGACACACTGGTCATTCTTGCGCGAATTCACAATAATTCGCCGTCCCTCTCCTCTCCTTCTTTCCTTCAGATGATCGACCGATTCGGCCGTCTCTACAGTCGGTGCCTCTACCAAAATCCCGTACTTTTTCTGATTGTACCCCTTTTCGTGACCACCGTTATCCCGGCCGCTCTTTTGTTCTTTTGCCCGATTCGATTGAGCCAGAATGCTGAAATTGTGAGTGATTTTTATCGATTTTTGTGGTGAAAAGTCACGGTTCGGATGATAGTAGTACAAGCCTTTTTGAAGACCTCTTTAGCACGTGCGTGAGTGCGGAAATTGAAACCATGTAGCGTTTTGTTGAAAAACGATTTCCGAAAACACCAGAGATCACCTTGATTTTCCAATAAAACCTATTCGAAATGATCATAAAATGTGTACGTTTTTGGGAATGAGAACGAACGAAATTTATGCGGTAAATCGGTCGCGACCGGCGTTTTTTCGGCTTAATCGATTATTGGAGGAGCAACCGAAGAAACTTTTCTGCTAAAAATTACTTAAACACTTTTTTATGCGATGAACAAATGCGCCGAAAACATTTCCCTTTTTCTCTGCGTCTCTTCTATTTCTCCGAACGACCTTTGAAAGTGTTCCGAATGTTTCGGGTCAGTTATTCCATAGAACAGAGAAATTATACAAAAAAAGAATATACAAATTCCTTTGCCTTCCGATTTTTTGGCTCTCACGTTTTGCAACCGAACCAGTCGTTTCGCAACTCATGCTCCCTTGTTTTTCATGTATTCTGACACTTTCTCTTCCAAAATCAAGCACATCTATCACTATTTTCGGTCCATTTTGATGGGTTTTTATGCTCGGTTGCGAAAATGATGAGCGCCGATATTGTACATACAAAAGAAGTATTCAGAAGAAAAAAGAGGCTTTTCTTCTCCGATTTCTATAAATTTCGCAATCTTCTAGTGTGTATTGCGCCAGCGGAAAACTTGAAAAATGAAAAGAGAGAGAGTGAGAGAGAGAGAGAGAAAAGAAGGAATACCGGTTGGCCAGAAGCCGTCCGAAACCAATGTTTGTTCACGGAATACGCATGTACTAAACACTGGAACGCAACCGATTAGTGTACATTCGAAAAAGAAGGGGTTTGAGAAGTCCGAAATATTGTAGAAAAAGCACACTCGGCAAGCAAATTCCAAATTGTTTCAGGGATTCGACACGAAGGACACGTCGCTCTCGGGTGCGAGGCTGGCGTGGGCGAGGATGCAGGCGAGCCTGATGTACAGTAACCGCATCGCCTTCTCCAACCCGCGAGCCATCGATTCGGAAGTGCAGCAGCCGAGCGCCGAGGCGCCGAAGAGGGTCCGGCGGAGTTGGGCCGACAATCTGCTGTCGGCCATCAACCAGGTCGCCTGCTACGATTCGCCCATCCCGCTCAGTCAGTTTTTTCGGTATCAAGAAATGCGGATAGCCTGACTAGGGAATGGCCCGCACTTACCTTGGGCTTTTGGAATGGGACCTATATGATTCGAAAGAGAATTTCACGGAGAATCCGAATCTGCTCTCCAATTTTTGCTAAAGAGAAATCTGCCTGTTTCTGCCACATTTTCCTAGCAAGTTCATCTTCGGCGACCTGTATCTCAAGAACCACGCGTCCGTTGCAAAAGTGGTAAACTAGTAAGTTAACGCAAATTATCTCGTGAATAATTTTGTAGTTGATCGTCTATTTAAAAAAAAATTAGTTTTCGAGTTATGAACTGTTTTCCTAGAGCGACAAGAAAAAAGCGACGATAACTCGAAAACTAATTTTTTTTTAATAGACGATCAACTACAAAGTTATTCCCGAGATAATTTGCGTTAACTTACTAGTTGGCCACTTTTGCAACGGATTCTTGAGATACAGGTCGCCGAAGATGAACTTGCTCGGAAAATGTGGCACAAACAGGCAGATTTTCTCGGCAGCCAGTGCTCTTTAGCAAAAATGGAGAGCAGATTCGGATTCTCCGTGAAATCCTCTTTCGAATGATATAGGTCCCATTCCAAAAGCCCAAGGTAAGTGCGGGCCATTCCCTAGTGTGCCTGTTCTGCACCTCTATCAGAGTTGAGCGGAATTCCGCCTTCCGCTTTCCGCCGCTTTTTTCATTCCGCCTTCCGCCTTCCGCAAAAAACGTAATTTTTAGTTAACTTTCTTTGATTTTCTGCCAGAAAACTGACGTTGACGCCAAAAATTCGATACCAGCTTCCGCCTTCCGCCTTTTCAAAAAATCGATTCCGCTCAACCCTGATCCCTATGCAAGCCTCTGTTAGCCGCATCAGCCGGGACGGGAAGCGCGACGAGTTCGGGTTTGCGCGAGGTTTCGTGACGCGCGCGTCACGTTTTCCACGTTTAAAGCACATTAGACACAAACAAAAACGCTCTTTTCAGTGGATCATCTGTCGCAAGTGGTTCTGGAAGTGGACAACTACGATTCTATCTACGATCTGAAATTTCTCGACAAACTCTGCCAAATGCAATCGAACATCTCGAAGCAGTTGGGCCGATTCGACGCGTTCACTCCGTACCGAAACATTTGGAGTGTGGCCAACATGTTCGCGTGCATTTCGCCCAATTTGAGAGTGAATTGCACCGAATTGGACGAGGTATGTGTCGCCGAGAACGCGACGAAGGGGGCTGCGGGCGCGCTCTTGTCACTCGCCCAGCCTCCTTGGGATTTTGCGGCGCCGGTGGTTCAGTGCACAGGAAAAACGGGAACAGCGAAGAATCACTGAAGGATTAGACACGCTAACCACTGAGCGTGGAACAATCGGTTACTGAACTCCCGTTTCGCCGATTACTGATTCCTCACTGATTCCTCACTGTCCAGCGTTCGCTTCCCGCTCTTCCCCTCCGTTCACTGATCCGTCGCTGATTCCTCACTTCCCCGCGTTCGCTTCCCGCTCTTCCCGTTCACTTCGCTCATTGTTTCCCGTTTTACTCGAGTCTTTGCCTTTTTTCACTTGGACTAAGGGGGAAGAGTATTTCGATGTGATGGTTCAAATAAAAATTATCGGAAAATTGCAATTTCTCATGAGAACAAGTCCAAGTAGTCAAAGGACACGAATGATATCGCAGTGTTTTGCCTTTGCAGTCAGCAAAAAGTCACCCAGTTGAATTTATATGCATTTTCGCTCCAAGTTAAAAAATTTACAAACAAACTGTTCGTCGCTTTCTTCTTTACACACTTATGGGGTTATTCAGGCTGTGAAAAAAAATAATTGTTTTCCGTTTTTTTTCGTTTTTTTACGTCAAAAAATATAATTCAGCGATGTAAAAAAACGAAAAAACGGAAAACAAACAGACGCTGAATAGCCCCATTACATGAAAATTGAACAAAATGCAAAAAAAAAATCGACGAACAGTTCGGGTGAAGAAATTTTAAACTTCGAAGGCAAAACTTTGCGACAGCGGAAAATCTCAGAGTAACACAGAAAAAAATCATAATTACAAAAAAGCAAGTTACCGCTTCCAACATGATACTTATAAATGCTAACAAGGGCATATTGTCAGGACTTGTAAATTTTTAGAGTGTGGGCAAGACGGCAACACTAGACTAATCCTAGAGTGATCCCGTTTCAAGAGTGATCCTACACTAACTTCTCAGTGATCCCGTTTTGTTCAGTAGCTCCTCACTAATCTTTCGCTCATCGCGTTTCACTCATGCTTCGCTAATTCCTCACTGCGCTCCTCAGTAATCGGACAGTGATTCCTCACTGCTTAGCGTCCCCTTCAGTGACTGTTCACTAACCGATTACTGATTTCTGGCTAATCAGCGTCTACTCGGTGATCGCTCGGTAATCCCCGAGTGTTGCCGTTTTTCCTGTGTGGTAGAATGCTCGCCTGCCACGCGGGCGGCCCGGGTTCGATTCCCGGCCGGCGCAACTCTTTTTGATTTTTTACTTCTTGAAAGTGCATTAGAACGCACACAAATTTATCCACATTCTACGAGAAGGACGTTGAAAATTTGAATAATCTTGCAGTCCGACATCAAAATCGTTCGCAAAACTATCGATTCCTGCTGGAAATACCGTACTCCGATTATCGAGTGTCGAAATGAAAAGTGTCAAGGACAGTGTGCCACTTGCAAAGGTACAGTACTCCTAAACCTCCTCAAAAATCACTAAGAAACGCCGTACTTTCAGAGGTGCCGGAAGAGTGTTCCTCTCAAATAATGCACGATCTGTTCTACCGTATTCTTCCGAAAGACAAAGAAAATGCTCCGTTTCTCGTCAACACTTTTCTGCCCGTTTTCACGTTAACCGGCTATATCACTCAAAATATTCCCATTGATGTGCTGCTTTACGACGATTTGGAGGCCGCTATCATCGACTATTCGGACAGGAATCAGTTCGAGCTGAAAGGTGAGCAACTACCTACCGTATGCCTCAATGATTGTTGCAAACAATTTGAAAAATTTGTACCAAATTAGATGTTTTAATAGTTTTCATTGAGAAGAAACGTAAAAACGATCAAAAGAATCATTGCAGGACTTTTGATGGACGTAAAACGGGACCGTCTCCTCAACGCCGCCCTCCGTGACTCGCTTTTGGCTCTTCTCGCCGCTCTTCTCGTCATGCTCGTCAGTTGTCTACAGTACCCGAAATTACGCGCCGCCCGTGTTTTCTTGCAGGTCGTCGCAGTGCATTCTCAGTCACTTCTCTACGCGTTCGTCGTCATCTCGCTATTGGCGCTTTCTGTCGTCGGTGCGTCGGGCACAACTTTTTCGAGATGTGCTAACAAGAATGAGTTTGCAGGCGCTCTTGGCGTGTACAGTCTGTTCACCGACGAATTCCCGCTCCTCAATCTCGTCACTTTCGTTCTGCTCATCGCAATCGGCTCCGACGACGCTTTCCTGCTCAAATCCAACTTTCCGTCGCATCTGAACGAGGACACTTTTCATACGGTAATAGTTGTTCGCCGCAGCTGACACTGTACTGTTCTAGTTCCGAACTTGAATGACTTCAGAGCAGGGCTGGGCAATTGACCGGCCCGGGCTTTTCGTTGGCCGGCCCTTGTACCTGGACTTTTGAACCACTTGCATTATTCCGATCGGACCCAAACTTTGCAGGCCTCTTGGGCATGTGTTGAAGCATATTGAGACAAAGTTTCAGCCCGATCGGATTATTTGGTCCCGAGAAATGTGGATCATTGGCCGAAATTGGCCGGAAGCCCGGGCTTTTTGAAAAAAATCGGCCAATGATCTACATATCTCGGGACCCGACGATCCGATCGGGCTGAAACTTGGTTCCAATGGCCCTCAATCCAAGTTCAACAATTCTGCAAAGTTTGGGTCCGATCTGATAATTGCAAGTGGTTCAAAAGTCCAGGTCAATGGTCGGCCAACGAAAAGCCCGGGCCGGCCAATTGCCCAGCCCTGCTTCAGAGAAAAGTTTGACGAAATCCGAAAATCAATTGCAGTTCCTCGGCCACACCTCGTTCACAATGTTCCTCACGTGTTTCTCGACCGTCGTCCCGTTTTTCATCAATATCACCTCGAACGTGATCGTTTTTCGGTTAGTTACACAACTACAGTACTCCTACAGTACTCTTTCACTACAAAAACCGTTTTCTCTTCAGCTGTTTCGGTCTGTTCGCCGGAGTTACAGTAATCTTCAATTATTTCATGGTCGTCTCATTTTTGCCCGCTTTTCTACTCATTCAACACAGGTAACTATAACCGCTTCAAAACGAATCGTCTACAATTTCACAGTTCGCGCTTCTCTTGAATCTTTTTTTTGCAGACACTTGGACTGTTTTGCGACTCCAAAACTGCCGTTCCGTTCGGTTTTATCGCATTTGATGTACGTGCTGCTGCCGAGCGTTTTGATACAGGTAACTACAGTAATCCATTCCATTTCGTGCACCTACCGTACTCCTACCGTACCTCAACTTTCAGGGTCGTTTCGTGCTCATGTCGCTTCTGTCTATTATCGCAATCGGCGGCGCGGCGATCACCTACGACGGCCTCCATTTGCCCGAGTACAATCCGCTTCAACTGTTCACTTCCGACAATTTACACGAATGGTAACGACTACCGTAATCCTAGAAAAAAAGTCAAAAAGTTACCAGGTACGACAATAATGCGGAGCGAAATTTCGAGTTTGTCGCCAACAAAATCGCGTTGCCGTTGACGTCTCGGCTCGTTTGGGGCGTTGAGCCCATTTATTCATTGTCGACGTTTCGGGCAAATGCCACATCACCACTGAGGTACCTACAGTAATCTGTAGCTGGAAAAGTGCCGAAAAATGCAGAGTTGATCACATGTATAACTGTATAACTTTGACAATAGTTTTGAAAGCTACAGTACTCGAACAGTAATCCCCACAAAATTCATTTTCCAGATCCGATCCGATTTTCTCGTTAAAAACCTCGTCCGACGTGCATCACTTGGCGAGTTCGCTCCAGAAAGCGCGAGAATTGCCGTTTGTGAAGCATCCGAACAAGTTCTGGCCCGAACGATTTCTCGATTGGTCCGACGGATATCCGTGTGCCAGGGGGTACTAGTTTATTGATTTTCTGAAAATGCTCAAAAACAAAATGGATTAGACTGTATGCCGCGTCCAAAGTGTCGGAAAAACCGGAAAAACCGCAGATTTTTCTGTCCAAAGTCGGTCGAAATTTGCGTGGAAAACGGGGGTGCGCACAGCTCAATGAATGTAACCGTACCCCTAAAACTACGGTATTTTTTGAAAATTTGTTAATTTCCTGAGGATATTTGAAATTTTTTAAATTTCTTGGGTAAATTTTCAAAAAATACCGTAGTTCTAGGGGTACGGTTACATTCATTGAGCTGTGCGCAACCCCGTTTTTCACGCAAATTTCGACCGACTTTGGACAGAAAAATCTGCGGTTTTTCCGGTTTTTCCGACGCTTTGGACGCGGCAGTAGAAATATTTGCGTTTGACTCGAGAACCCTTTGAAAAATGATTTAATCGAATGCTAAGTTCCCAACAAAACGTTAAAATTTTCGCATTTCCATGTGAGCCTACAAATGGACAAACAATGAGCAACAAATTGTCAGATTCCTGTGCTGCAACATGTCGAACCCGCTCTTCTCGGACTCTTACCTCGATTTCTGCCTGCGCAACTCGACCTCCTTCCTCTCCACCTCCTACAACGACACTCCGATCTTCGACAACTCGACGTTCGCGCTCGTCGGCTACACGGCAATGTTGCCCACTTCGCTCAAGTACAACCACCGCTTCTCGCTCCTCTCCGACGCCTTCGCACAGTTGGAGAGGACGAAGCCGACGGACGGGTGGTGGGCTCCCGAGTGGTGGCTCATGAGCACTTGGTTCGTTTTTTGCAACACATTTCATGTTTGAAATTACTTTTCGCCGATCCGAACCAAAAATGGATTGAAGTAGGCCCGATGAGTTCCATAAATGCGACAACTTGGAGCCGGTATTGTGGCGCACACATCGGCCCGCGCCACGATACCGGCCCTTTTTTGTTGTCACATTTGTAGAACTCATCAGGAGCTACAATCTGACATCAGTTTTAATACATAGAAGCAGTTTTCGAAAAAATCAACTAACACTGTTGCCATTTCATGCAAAAATCACATTTTCCCCAGGTTCGACTTGCTGCAATCGATCGTGCAGGACTGCCTGAGCTCCGTCGTCGGCTCACTCGTTTTCGTCGCCATTTTTGCGTTCATTCAACTCAAATTCCAGGTAACTTTTTGTACTGTTTCGAACGTTTGCTTTCCAAAAGTCAAAATAAATCCGATCCAACCCAGTAAAATGTCATGAAAATATTGATTAGCCGAAAAAGGCCGGCACTGTACCAGAGTTGAGCGGAAGAACACGGAAGAATTTTTATCTTTTTTAGAAAATTTTTTCATGAAATGTGATCAACTGACGAAATGTATAGCAAAGTGAACTCTGCTCATAAAAAAATAATTGTAATTTTAGCTTTTCATACAAAAAAGTTATTCGAGTTGTTACGTGAAAAAGGGCTAACGGAACAACTCGAATAACTTTTTTGTATGAAAAGCTAAATTTACAATTATTTTTCGATGAGCAGAGTTCACTTTGCTCTACATTTCGTCAGTTGATCACATTTCATGAAAAAATTTTCTAAAAAAGATAAAAATTCTTCCGTGTTCTTCGTTGAGTTCTTCCGCTCAACTCTGCACTGTACACTTTTCAGTTGCACGTAGACTTTGAGGCACATTTCGAATAATTTTTGAGGGAAAAATTCAGGAATATTCAGATTTCTAACCATTATTCGTACTTCAGGCGGTGGCGGCGGTGGTCACGATCGCGGGCGTGATCTTTACCTCGTCGGCGGTGGTGACGCTGCTCGGCTGGGTGCTCGGAGTGCTCGAGGCGGTCATCCTGGTGCTGGTCGTGGGACTTTCGTTCGACTACACTCTCCACTACGGCGCCGCATTGCCCGCTCATGGATGCTCGCGGCACCGCATCCGGGAGGCCACCTCCAAGGGCGTCGGGCCCGTCACTCTCGCCGCGTTCACCAGTTTCCTGGCCGGCGCTTCCATGCTTCCCGCTCTGACTCACGCTTTTTATCAGGTTTGTGTCCTTTTCCAGTTGAAAACGGGGATTTTTCTCGACTTTTTCAAGTTATTTACTAGTGTTCAAGGCAGATGACGTAACAATTTCGTTTTTATAACAGTCAGTGGCACACGGTCTCCAGAGCTTACAATTTGCGACCTTTTCATGAATTTATATTTGTTTCCCCAGATTTTTGTGCTGAAAATTTCGACAAACCTCATTTTGCGCATTTGCGACCGTCTTCAGACGTATAATTAAAATTGGTTTCGAAATTGATTCAAGCGCTCGAACCAGAAAATTGATCGAAAAATAACTGAAATACACGCAGTTTTGGCCAAGAAACTGCAAACGGATAAATGCCTCTTTCTTGCGCTTAAAAAATCGCTTTGAAAAAGCACAAAAGAGAAATGCATGATTTCTCAGGTAATTTCCGGCAGATTGCTGCAAAAATCGGCAGTTTGCCGATCAAATCGGCGCGGGTGCCGATTTTTGCAGCAACCCGCCGAAAATTACCTGATAGCCTACTTGAAAAAAGATGAATCGCCTGGAGAATGAGTGTTTGCAGGTCGGCGTCTTCCTGGTGGTCATTTCGATCACTTCGTGGACCTTCTCCACCTTCTTCTATCTGCCGATGCTCTCTTTGACTCTTCCGAAGCAGTGCGGCGTGTGTCCGTATTGCGAAAAGACCAATTTGATGCATTTGGCGCCGAGGAGATAATTTATCTAATTTATTTTTCCCCCAATTTCGGGTCAACATCTCGGGTATTCTTCACCATTTCACCTTCTTTCACATATTTGTCTTTCGGCTAAAATAAATTACTTTTATGAGGGATAAATTATGCAAAAAACGGGCGGGGAGACGTGGCAAAAAAGGGTTTTTACGGAAGGAAAAAGGGTCGTCGTGTGCAATTTGTGAGCTCACAGAGATCGGGGAAAACATTCAAGTACATCAATAGGCGGGTATCACAAGGCAAACATTGATTTTTTTTTTTGGGGGGGAAAAGGAAAGATTATATATAGAATCATGCTAATTTTTCGACATTTCAATGAACGAGAGCAGCAGATCGCGTCCAATCTCCTTCAAATCGCTCGTGTTGATCTGAAATTTGGAAATTTTTGTTCGAATGTAAATGATCATTGGGGGTACCTGATATCCGTTGTTCTGTCCCTTGTGGAATCCGCAGAAAGTCGACTCGAGCGTGTAGGAAGTGGCCACTCCGAACTGTCTCCACACGTTCACCCGCGCCGACGACTCTTTCGAGCGGGCAATGTTGAAGCGGCACTCGGAGGCGTTGAAACGGCCGCCGCACGTCTGAAGAATAAGGACAATCGATGAGGAATTAAGAGACAAGCGAAGAAAGTTGCGGCGCTCGAACAACAACAAGAAACAACTGCAAATTCACGCAGGTTTGTTAGCCATATTTTGGAGTCCGTTACAAAAGGTCGGAAAACCAAAAAGGTCGGAAGACAAAAGCTCGGAAAGCCAAAAGGTCGGAAAAAAGTGACAAAAGGTCGGAAAAAAGTGACAAAATGTCGGAAAAAAAAGCCAAAAGGTCGGAAAAACTGCTAAAATACCTGTTTTCTGGCTTTTTGTAATTTTTTTCCGACCTTTTGTCATTTTTTCCGATCTTTTGGCATTTTTTTCCGACCTTTTGTCATTTTTTTCCGACCTTTCGGCTTTCCGACCATATGTCTTCCGACCTTTTTGGTTTTCCGACCTTTTGTCACGGACTTAAATTTTGAATTTCTTTTTGTTCGGCGGAGCGCGCTTTCAAATATTGTAACCTCCGAAGACCGCGAGTTTCAGAAATAAAATGTTTTAAATCAAATAGTCGAGTTTTCGGAAAGCGCATTGCTTTTTCCCTCCGTTTTCAGTGTCTCCGCGCACCTGTTCGAGTGCCTTCGGCAGCGCGAGATGGGCGTCCTCCTCGAGTTGCGCCACCGCCACTTCTGCGACGTCATCGGCGCGCCACGAGTCGGCCGCGTTGTTTCCGTACACAAAGTAGTCCCACTTCTTCGAGTGTCCGTGCAGATCCACGTACGCAAACGGCTTCTTGTTCACCACTTCGCACTGAACATTTTAATTATAGAAAAAAAAAACATTTTTTGCGTTTCAAACATTTTCAAAACATTTTTGGTACCGTTTCTCGTGGCTCTTTTCCTATTTTATTTTTCCAACTTTCCTTGTTGGCTCTAAAATGTGATTTCTAAACTAACAAATCTCTAATAATTGCTGCATTCTCTGCTCATTTTCATTCGATTTTTCATTTCTTTTGTAACATACCAAGTACTGAATGACGGCTTTTGCCGCATAAATCTCGGGATGGAGCTGCTCGTTGGGGCGGTCCCACGCGCGGTTCAAATCGATTCCGGCGAGGGAACATCTGTGGGATCCGTTGATGACTCCGTCCGGATTGATCATCGGAATGATTTTAAAGACGAACGTCTCGCGCAGACGGTGCATTTCGGCCGATTGGCGGCACAACAGGTTCTCCAGAATTCCTGAACAAAATGCGTTTTCGTTGAAAGAAATCAGCGGGATTGATGTCTTCTTTGTTGGCTAACAATTTGACTGAAAACTTCTCATCTGCTCAATGTGAGCGGTGAGTTTCTAGTGATTCGAAATTAAATTGACGGCGACGTTCGCTTGATGAAAAGCAAAAAACAAAATGTTTACCGTGCATAATCCAGCTGGCATTCGTCTCTCCCGGATGGACTCGAGCACTCAAAACGATAACGTCGCGGGCGACGATTTCGGCGGCCGTCGCCGGCGTTGTGATTGTGAGCATCTAAAGAACTTTTTTTTAAGCATTGAAATTTCAGAGGTTTCCAGATTTTTTAATAGCACAATTTTCAGCTGACCTTAATCGGATTTCCGGCCAACGTGTGTCCGATTACATCCTCTCGACAGTACACTCCTTCCGGTTTTCGTTTTCGCAGCAAACCGATACTCGACTGCAAAAAGAAAAAAGAATGAAAAATGTAACAGGGAAAAAATTCAAGAAGAACGCGTACATTGAGGAACGAATAAGTGTACGGATAGTGGTAGGCAATGTAGCAGATGTCGCCCGTGTGCTGGAACGTCACGTTGAACCGCACCGAGTAGTAGTGTCTGCAAAAAAAGGAGGGAAAATTTGAAAGGAGGCGCTCGAGAGAACTTTAAAAAATAGTTTGACACTCTAGAAATGTACGTTGACGTTGTTCCGTATCAACACCAAAAGCACAGATTCAGATTTCTTTAGCAGCAATTTGCTGTTCATCGATTTTTTCAATATTCCGAAACAACGCCAGGGAATTTTTTAATTTTCTCTTTCTTTAAATATTCTTCGACGGACGCACTTCTTCTTCTGCTTCTCGTCCGTGTTCCGTTTCTCCTCATGCTCGTTCATGTACAAATTCCGAAAATAGCACACATTCTCGCCGGTCCGTCGCCATCCGTTCGCCCCGTCCATCATCGAGTACATCACCGGCTGCATTCCTGAATAATGAAACATTAATTCAATTTTAGATTCGAGAAACCATCAACTGTGCAAAATCACTTTTTTGAACAACTTCCAAAGAACTTCGCAACCTCAACCGCAACCGCTCTTTTGTATGTATTTTGAAACAGTAAATTTATTTTTTTTGATATCAACAAAACTTTTTCCCCACCTTGCGAATACAACGACGTCGATTTGAGGCAGTTCACAATTTCGAACGTGTATTTCACCGATTTTCGCATATTTGACACCTGAAAAATCGTGGCAGTTTTAGCTCAAAATGTATCGTAAAATAGTGGAAAACCTGGAAAAAGAACCACTGATAGTGATCGCGGAGTTGGTTGACATCCGGAGACAGAAAGAGCTCGTAGTGCGTCGGGGCGACCTGCAAAATGAGTTCTCTTGTATGAAAAATAAGATCAAATCATTATGACGAAATTTTTCACTCTGTTGCACTGGCTAAGAATGTAGTAGAAAGTTTTTGAAAAATTGTGAAACAGCGAAGCATATGACAGACCTATCAAAGACCGATTTACCCAAAAAAATGCTCGAGATAGGTCTACCCTGAATTTATTGAAAGACCCGCGCCGAGAGCTCTGAATAGTCCGACCGCGAATCACCTGCGTACGCCTGGCGGATGGTTCGAAACCCGCACGCTACATTTCTTTCTGCAAAAAGCGTGCTAACCTGCACGACCATCCTCAAGTTGCCGCTCTCGAAGCGGCTGTCGAACTGCAGGTCCTTGGCGGTGTCCAATTTGAGTCCGCTCGTCGGAAACGGCAATTCCGGTGCGGGCAGTCCGTCGAACGCGGCCGTGTCGAGGTCGTAGATCGTCTGGTTCGTCGCGGATCTCTCCGGCTTGTCCATCTCCTCGATTATCATCTTCTTCATGTTATTCGTCGTTTTGGCGGTCCGTTCGCGCGCTCGCGTCGGCGTACTGAACATTTCCAACGGCAGGTGGTGGTGGATTGGCATCACGTGCCGCGTTTTCTGCAAAAAACATGACATTTTTTTTATAGTTTCAAAAACCTGTTTGTTTTTGGACAGGCCTGGGCGAGTTTGTGGTTAAACCAGAATAAAAAACAGGGGGAGAGGGAGCAGCGATTTGCGTGAGCCACAAGAGAGAGAGAGAGAGAGACGCACACGCGAACAGTTTCAGCGTCTCTCTCTCTTTTGGCGATCGCAAATTGCTTTTCCCTCGGAAAATTTTCACTGTTTCACAAATATAGCACTTCTGGAGAAGAACATTGTCGAAGATTTTCTGTCTAAGGAGAGAAAAGAAGTGAACGGTATTTAAATGACCAGGGAGGAACCATTTATGTGTCTCTCTGAATTGCCTCCCACATTCAGCGTCCGAGTCCCAACTCTCGGCAATGCCTCTAAACGGAACAGCGCGCAGTTAAATTTGTGGCCATGGCGTAGAAAACGCAGGCGTGAAAACTCTTCCCTGCTGATAATATGCACTTTGACAATCTGTTCATTTGTGAGAATGCTTGCCAACGTCTGAGGATTGTGTCGAATGCAGAAAAGAGATCCGGAAAAGATCCCACGGCCACAACTTTAACTGCGCACTGTTGTGTTTTTAGGCATTGCCGAGAGTCGGGACTCGGACAGCGAGTGTGGCAATCGGAAGAAAACCGTACCTCACAAGTGGCGCGCCACGTGTCCTGCTCCGTCTGGTACATCATCGAGAACGTCGGCTGCAGTGTTCCCTGCTCGTTTTCCACAAAAAACGGCGCGTATTTCGTCAGTTGCTGAGCCGTCAGCCGCGTCGTTTTCGGAAGTGCTCCGCCTTCGTCGTCTAGAGACAAAAAAGTGTTTAAAAAAAAGAGTTTTCCAACCTTCGTCTTCCTTCGCGTCGTCGTCGTCCGACGCGCCGCCGATCATCGCGTCCTTGTCGTCGTCGTCGCGCACGAACGCCTCGTCCTCCTCGTCCATTCCGTCCTCGTCCGAACTGCGGCCGTTGTCGAACGAGATGTTGAGCGAATTCGAGTTTCGGGTCCGTCCGTTTCCGGTCGGAGTCGCTTGCGGAAGCGGAAAATCGACGGGGAAGCGGCGGGTTTCCAGGGGGTACGGTATCGGGGACATGCAACGCAGGCACAGCGCCGACAGCGAATCCTGAACAAGAGAATGTGAGGAAAACGGGAATGGGCGGAGGGATTTCAAGTGTGAAAGATGCAAAAATCATCACATTTTTTCGTGAAAACGTTCGAGATCTCGGAGCTGATTTCGTCTAAAATAAATAGAGAAAATGGCCAAAAAGTATCTCTTTTCTCTCCGAAAATCTCGGCCGTTTTATAGCCGTCCCCCTCCAAATATCACTTTTTTCTCTTTAAACTTGAGACCGAGAAAGAGAGAGAGAGAGAGAAGGAAATCTTTGATCTGGGATCCGACAATCGAGAGGTGCCATGTGGTGTTCCCGAGCGGAAAAGTAGGGGTAAACAAAAAGGTGGATGCATAATAACAATCACTTTTTTCCTATGAGCAATCGGATCATTTTAAGAGCATTCTTCGAAGCGATTTCACGGAGACGACACAGGTGAATCGCAGAGCACACAATTCCTATGACTTCCACGCGCGATCAGTGCCCATATTGGATCCGCGTGGGCGACATTCTCATCGCTCGCTGTGGTTCCATTATGGGAGCATTTGAGCACATATATACAATTCCTAAGGGGTCCGCCGCGATTCATCTGTGATCGGAGAACACTGTTCGTTTCGACAAAGTCAGTAAATGCTTCCGAAAAACAATCACCATCAACTTCTTTTTCAGGGGAAAAGTGTCGCGAGCTTGAGTATGATTCACATGTACCCTTCTTGGGGCGTCAGAAAATACCTTTTTCTTCTTTTTAATTCTCCCCGATTTTCCATTCGTTCCTTCCGTTTTTCGCGTTCTTTTCCGGGCGAAACACATTGTTTTTCCGACGGTGAGAAATTGTGAAAATGAGTTTAGAACAACCAAAAACAAGGGATATTTGGGAGCACGTGGGAAATGCACAATTTCCGGCGATTTTCTGATGAATTCAGTCGGGAAATCTCTAGTTTGAACTGGATTTTTTGAGAAGAAGCTGCTAAAATTGAAGAAACGTAACCAACCACAATTTTGGCCTTTGGTCCCGTTTTCCACTCATCACTCCAGAACTCCTTCAATTCTCGTGAGCAAATCTCCAAAACTTGCAAGTTTTTCAGCTCTTCTCGTGCTTTTTCTGGAAAAAATAATGAAATTAACTGTATTTTGCAGGTCTGGGCCCGGCGATTTTCGTTGGCGGAACCTTGTCCTGGACTTTTGCCCCACTTGCAATTATCCGATTGGGCTCAAACTTTGCATACTTCTTGTACTTGAATTGAAGTATATTGAGGCCAAGTTTCAGCCCGATCGGATCATCCGGTCCCGAGATATGTGGATCATTGGCCGAGAAGGCCGAGTTTTTGCGAAAATTGCTTCGGCCAATGATCCATGTAAAATACCGACAAAGAAATGCAAAAATTTCACTGTTTTCTATTAAAAGCTTGAAAAGAAAACGTACTAAAGTTGCTGAGTAGTCTGAGGATGGCGATGGTCCCGATGACGACCTCCGTGTGGGCGGCCGAGACCGATTTGTCGAGTGTGCCGAAGAGCGAGGAGAGGAGCCGAGTCGGCCGCGAGTTGGACGAGGAGCCGAGGTGACGGCGGAGCACTTCCAGCAGGTACTTGCAGATTGACTCTCGCAGCAGCTGGTTCCGCACTCGTCCTGCGCCTTTACTTTCTCGTTTCTTCTCTCATTTGCAATTTTTTTGGGTGGGGGGGAATTTAGTTCGCAAAATCCGTTTATCATACCACGGTGATTTTTTGCGAGGGTGACGAGGAAAATTCTAGTCCATTTTGCCCGAGGTCGCGAGCCGGAATACTAGTCCACGCCAGTTAGGCCTGGGCGCCAAGATATTTTTAGGAACTTGAGATGCGTGCCGCCAGAGAAATACTGATTCATCTTACTCGTTCTCTTCTTGAACGTGTTCTTTGTGATCGAAACTAGCAAAGAGCAACAAAAAACTCGCAAGAATTTCTGGGATTCAGCACGAAAACCGCTTTTTTATCGAAATTGGGCTGCTCGTGCGTGCTTTTTCTGTCCCCTTGTTAGTTTACATCATAATGAACTCGTTCCCAAAAAATCAAGTGAAATGAATCGGTATTCGTACGACGGCACGCATCTAAAGTTTTGGCGAGCGGAAAAAGGCTTGGAGAGCGTGCCGCCGGCCGGCGAAATGATCAGCCGACAATTCACGGGACGGGGGGCCCTCGAAAACAATCACCGTGCCTACACTTCGCTAGTTGAATTTTTTCCTGCTTTTTTTTTGAGCAATTTTTTTTGAGCAATTTTTGTGAGGTAAATTCGTTAATTTGCATTCAAAAAAAGAGGAAAACTCACTGTTTTTGATGCAAAAGAACAGAATCTGCAAATGTTTATCAAGGAGAAGAATCTGCGCAGTCTGGTCGGATCCGTCGAGAATTTTGATTTTTTTCATCAAATTCGACAAAAATCCCTCCTGACGACCTATCGATTGTGCGTTTCGGGCTGCAAATGTCATTGTTCTCTTAATTTCAATAAGTTAATAAGTCTCCGGCGGCAAGCATCCCTGGAACGCCGCATCGGAGTCTTCGTGGACGACCTGCTGTCGTTCGGCCATGTTTTGGTTTTTTGTTCACAAATGTTCGCCGTGTTCCATACAAACAACAGTTTTGAAGACTCACGAGATCTGGAAATTTTGACAAAAAACGGGATAAATGCGTCGGGGAGAGGGTCTTTTCGGATGAAAAGTTTGCACATTGGTCCGATCAGACCGCCCATTCGCACTTTCAGGCTGATCCGCGGATCTGAAAAAAAAACATGTTTCGAGTTATCACGGCAAACAATTGTTCTCGTCATTTGAAAAGTTCTCGAAAATCAAGCGACGAACCCTTATTCCCTATGGAGAGGAGTAATTTGTAGAGGAGATGGTCGAGAAACGGGTCAATTCCGGGCTCCTCGCTCATGTCGACCGTCAGAATGATCCGTTTTCGGGTGATTCGGCACAAAGTGGCCACCGCGTCGCATTTCACCACCAATTTCTCCCGTTTTCGGTCGTTCTCCGCCGTGAAATGGCTGAAGATGAGGTCGAGAAGGCGGCAGAGGAAGATGATGTCCGCTTGCGTTCGGTCGCCCTGCAAGCACTTTCTTATCAATTGTATGTTCGCAAATTCACACATTTTCTAATGAACAAGGTATAAAGACACTGAGCCCGACGTTACCAGTGAAATAATGAGTCTCTAGAGCTGATGCCTCTTTATCCGTCGTTTTCCTGATGCTACATTACTCACAGATGCCATAGAAAAGAACTAAACACTATTAGTCCCAAGAAATACACTCTTGGATTGTTTTTCTGACGTATTCAAAGTTTCTGGACAAAGAGAGGGTTGTCTTCCAAAGTTAGCATTACTTAGGTCCGTTCTTCTCGGACAGAGCGAAAAAATTGTTAGTGAAATTGCAAATTTTTTCCGTTTCAATTTTCGGTACTTTTCAATCGACCCTCTTTCTTTAATACGAATTTCAAGCAATAAGCGTACTTCAAAGGCCATCAGCACACTTTTCACTCCACTTTTCGTCAATTGTGGCCGTTTTTTTCCTCCGAACGCCTCAATCAGTTCCGCTTTTTCGCCTTCCGTCCATTCTCGATTACAACTGAAAAAGAATGAGATTCGCAGAAATTCTAGAGAAAACAGGAATGCGCACGGCTGAACGAATGTTCCCGTGCACTCGAGGCGGGCATTTGCCGGCCACGGCTTTTTTGCTGATCTATTTGGGTCCAAAATTGTCGTGGAGATGCTCCATACCAAGGGCAATGTCTGAACATTTTTTGGGTCCGATCGGTCGAGTGGAAGTGGCCCAAAATCACAGGCCACTCTGGTGTACTTTAACATTCGTTCAGCTGTGCGCTTTTTTCAACTTCAACTTTTCAACATTACAAACAATTTTTTTTAGCATAGTCAGTATATAAAATTACAAAATTACCTGGCTAAGAGCTGCTCGGAGAGTTTGGTTTGTGGCATTTCCGCCAAAAAATTGCAAGTGTCCAATATTAGTTGACTCCTGAAACATTTATAAAATATCTGGACTTTTTCCAATGATCCGATCGGGACCAAACTTTGCATGCTTTTTGTACATGGGTTGAAGTATGCTGGGTCCAAGTTTCAGGCCGATCCGATCATCCGGTCCCGAGATATGTGGAACAGAGGCCGAAGGGGCCGGGTTTTTGCGAACATTGCGGCCTTCTCGGCCTCCGATTCACATATCTCGGGACCAAATGATCCGATCGGTCTGAAACTTAGATCCAGCATACTTCAACCCATGTCCAAAAAAACCTGCAAAGTCTGGACCCGATCGGATCACTGCAAGTGGGTCAAAAGCCCAGGCCTCAAAAAGCCTGGGCCGGCCTTTTGCCTAGCCCTGGATTTTTCCGAATAATTTCATAGAAACTCTACTAAAAAATCACCCACCATGCTTGTTTTCCTGCCGGAATTTCTACAATATCAGCTGTCATTTCTCCACTTTTTACAGCATTTTCTCGAATTCTTCTAAAAGACACATTCAACAGAAATTCCAGTTTTCCACGATATTTCATTGACATTCGACAATCGAGTATGTTCAAAAATTCAAATCAAATCATTTATTACTCTAGAATTTCGCTATTACCGTAAAAAAATTCAAGGAGGGGGTCAGAAAAATCAGAAAAATTCAATTGTCCATTCGTTTTCGTTGCTCAGCGTTGGTAGAAGAATCCAGTCTAAAAAATGGAAACATTTTACGAAAAGAAGTGTAAAAATAGGGAAAATCGCTATAGAAACGCAGTGAAAAGGACCTCCCAAAGCGTGTGAGAGTGCACTTTTCTCTGCGTCTCTCATTTTCCCGTTCTACTTTTTCTGAGGCGACTTTCCTATTCTTTTCATTGCTTTTCGCGCGCGAATCGGAATTACGAAAAAGTTGTGTATTTTTGGCTGGGCCGGAAGTTGGACGGGGGAAAATTAATTTTTTTTTAAACATCCACCGAAAACCTACATTGACAGCCTCGATTTCGTCGTCGGAAAGTCCGTGGCGTCGGAATTTGAGGGGCAGCGCGGTGGCGTCGATTCCGTGTCCGCGCGGAATCTTTCCGACAGGACCGATCGAGGAGGCGGTCGGTTTGGGCGCCGAAACGGACGGAAAATGGCCGGAGACCTGAAGGGGCGGAAGTGCCGACGCGTCGAAGAACGGACGCGGGAGGCGCGCGCCCACGAACTTGATCATCGGTTTGCGCAGGGCGACCTGCAAATTCACATGGGTTTTAGAGAACTTTTCGGGATTTTCAATGGATTTTTTCTCAACTTGTCTTGTGTAATCATTTGGAACAGTATTGTTAACAACGTCACCACCTTTCTCTCTTATTCTCAATTCGAGAAACTCATATCCATTAAAATTGACAAATTATAATTCTGATCCACATATCTCGGGCCCAGATAATCAGATCGGTTTGAAACTTGGACCCAATGTACTTCAATCCTAGTTCTAGGAGCCTGCAAAGTTTGGGTCCGATCAGATCATTGCAAGTCGGTCAAAAGTCTTGGCCTCGGCAGGCCTTTAAAAAGCCTGGGCCGCCATGCTCTGGTATTTTCTATAACAAAAAGACTGACAGCTTTGGCAACAGTGGACGAGTGCATTTCTCTCTTCGTCGGATTCACCGGGTTCTGCGTGGCCGTCGGCGTATTTTTTTGGCTCAAAATCGGCGGATTTTCAATTTTCGGCTGTGGCTTTCCGAAAATCGACTCGAAAATTGTCTGGAGACGGGCGGTCCAGACGCTTCTGCAATTATCGATTATATTGGAGATTCGTGAGTTAATGCTAATAGTTCTCCATGCAAAAAGCAGAATAATAAGTGCACTGGGAAGCAAGCGACAGAAGAACAACGGAAAATCGATTATTTGTGGTGTTTTCACGGGGGTTTTAGGGAACGAACACGACGATTAGACACTTGAACCAATCGATAATTACTTGATAATTGTGAAATCGAAGAATCGCTTCATTTTCAGCCAATTTCAGACGCGAATTCTGAAGAGAATCACTGAAAAAAAGGGGAAAGGGCGGCGGCGGCCGGGGCGGAGGGCCTAGAAAACCAAAAGAGTTCGGCCACGGTCACGGAAGTGACATCGACGGATTTTCAGTGAGAATTTGGGTAGAAAAGCTGAAAATAGAAGGGAAACGTTGGGAAAATCGAAGAAATTGAATTGAATTTGAATCGGTTTTCTTCACAAAAAAAAACTATACCGTATGTTGGCTACAAGCAAAAAATTTGTGAATTTGGCCAAAGTACACAAAAAGCAGTATACAGAACAAAAATTGGCTCCTGGAGGTCTCAAAATCGAAATTTTTACACTACCGTTGGTCTCATTGGCATACTCAATTTCCAAGATACAGAAAACTGATAGTGAGACACCGATCGGACTGGCAGAGAATGGACGTCTGAATGACGGGACCATCGAGACAAACTTGTTTCGCGCGTACTGTAGGCGCGGTCTAGACCTACAATCGTTCTCAACGACACTCCGCTCATAACGCCTTTGGGAAGACAGTGGGCAGAGGAAGAAAAAGAAAGAATGGCAGCTGGCAGAAAGATTTGCCAGAAGGGACGGTTGGAGACAGACGGCTGTGCGGCATTGATGACCGGGACGGAGTGACAGGTGCCCATCAGAGTTGAGCGGAAATGGAATTTTGAAATCCGGAAGACGGCAGACGGAAGACGGAAGAAAAATTTTTTACGGAACACGGAAGACGGAAGACGGAAGAAAAAAATCGTCAATGCAGAACCTTTTTCTCCGGTTTTCCTTTTGAAAAAAATAACTAAAAAACAAAAAATTTGGATCTGAGTCACTGCCCGTGGAAATTCGCGTTCTTCGGGGCTAGTAAATGGCTCCTGAAAAGCTATTACTCTTTTACGGTAAGAAGAAAAAATCCCGGAAGACGGAAGACGGAACAAAAATTAACGGAAGACGGAAGTCGGAATTCCGCTCAACACTGGTCAATACTTGTCAAACATCGCCATTTTGTCAACGTTTTGCCTTTCTATTTGACATAACTTGAACACTAACGTGTTCTAAACTTTTGCTATTCCGTTCGTCCAGTTTCTTATTCTTCCGCTCGTTTCCGAATTGTCCACTTTTTCTTGCCGTTCCGTCTTCCGTCTACTTTTGTCGAAAACACTCCATTCCTTCAGTTCCCCAGACAATCCTCAATCTATTCTTTCATGATAATTTCTAGAAAATCGATCGTGTCTCACAAATAAAATTTGCTGGCAGAAACATTGTTGACCCCGGAAATCAACTGTTTAATTTCATATCGACATGATTTTCACTTCACAGACAAAAAATTAAGCTACCGAACTTTAAGATGCCTCAAATTTCTCACTTTTGCACATTTTTTGACAGTTGAGCGCTCAAATCCAAGCTCTCAACTCGGACAATCGCTGCACAACACCTCTCATCCGCATTTTCATGCTGTTGAGATACAACTTGCGAAGAGAAAGAGAGAGAGAGAGAGAGAGAGAGAGAGCGTCGTCTTGGCGACAGAGAAGAAAAAGGGGCGGAGCCTGTCTCTCACGGGCTCAACTGGTTACTCCTTCTCCTTCTCCCTCCCTCTTTCTCTTCATTTCGCCCCGGCGTTTTCCGCTACTATCGCCTTCGAAAATGGTGCAATTACGCTCTGGATTCGGCACTCACCAGGTGTTCAGTTGGATTCTCAGCGCATTTATGGTCCCTGTCACAATGTACACGTTTTATCCGTTCCACACGCCCTATTTCATGATTGGTGAGTCACTTTTTGAAGGATTTTCAATGTCTTTTAATGCTATTTGTGAAAAGTTGCCGGAAAAAAAAACCAGAGTGCACTACACTTTCTGACAATTTCCAAGAACGTCTACAGCCTTCTGACGCACTTCCACCCACTTTATTCTCGGCAAAAAGAAAACCGATTATTCGATCAATTTCATTTCCCCCCCACCGCCGAAAAAGGAGTTTTCCCAATAATTTATCAGTGTCCAGAATAGAATTAAAGCACCATTTTTGAACTTTAAAGAGATGAGAAAAACGCGTAATCCGTTAGTCATAAAAAGGATGAAAAAGCACGGATTTATGCAGACTTTTGAACCGAGATTATCGCCCGTCGCTCCGATTTTCGAGACGATTCCCCTCATTTTCAGTGCTCGTAGTTCTCATATTTCTCGGCGCCGCCCACTCATTTGATCAGTATTCCATTGAGAAAATGATAATAACAACAATAATGAGAAGGCTGTAAACACACTTGATGCCTTCCCGGAAAACGCTTTTCAAGCGATTTTCCGGGCTCAAACCGATGATATCACTTGATATTTTCCCTTCCGGAAAAGTCCGAAAAATCAGTGGAAAACTCGGCCCTTAATTATGCTTTTTCGGCGGGTAAACAACAATTTTGGTTTCGCCGTTTCGCACATGCTCATTAGCCGAAAAGCGGAAGAAAAACGTGCCGATTTCGAGAAGAAAAAAGTTTTTGTTTTCGAAAACTCGGTGTTAGTCATCTGTAAACATTTAATTGGGACTCTCAACTTGAGCGAATGTTCGTAAAATGTGATGCAAAGTCCGCAATGTCGTCAAATTCAGTGTTTACCGTGTTTTTTTCGGCTAAAAGGCACACGTTTCTGCAAATTGTCATAAAATTCAGTGTAATGCAGACAAATGAGAATATAGTAGGCGCTGGGCGTGAAAAATGCGAGAAATTTGCAAATTGTCGTAAAATTTGAGGTTTCTTGAGTGTTTTTAGTGTAAATCTTTGTATTTCTCCCTGAAATCTATTTTCGGAAGCGAAAAATTCAATCAAAAACCGCTCGGAAAACATGAAAATCAGGCGGTTTTTGGAGCGGCGAATTACGTCAGCAAGCGCAACTTTATCCGCGAAATTCACCTGCGAATTTGTGTTATTTGGCCGTGAAATACGGATTTCTGACCGCGCGAGAATGAAAAAGACGGAAGACGCCGAATTTGACGACAAAATGCACTGAAATTTCCAAATGTCGTAAAATTAAGTGTAATGTGACCGGAAAGCGTGAAATTTGACGGAAAATCGCAGAAAAATACAGTGCTTGAAAGAAATTGAGTGATTTGCTCGAAAAAACGAGAAAATTGTTTCAGCAGTGCCGGTAGTCTACTTTCTGATCTACATTCTCGTAATTTCGATGACGATCTACGAGCCGGCGACGGATGAGCTCAAAACAAAGGTTAAATACAACCGTAAGCACATTTTTGGGGAAAGGAACCGTTTTTATTTTTGAAAATCATTTTCAGATTACAAAAGAAAGCCGTTTGTTTCGGGCGAAGGTCGGCATGTGATCGTCAACTCGTTTTGCACGATTTGTGAAGTTCGGACGTGAGTTTGACACATTTTCCTATTTAAAAAAAAACGACAATTTTCAGACAAAAAGAGACAAAACACTGTAAACTGTGCAATTTTTGCATCGACGACTTTGATCACCACTGTATTTGGCTCAACAATTGTATCGGCGGACGGAATTATCGGTGAGCATGAAAAAAGGCGCGGAAAAACAAAAAAGAGTTGCGCCGGCCGGGAATCGAACCCGGGCCGCCCGCGTGGCAGGCGAGCATTCTACCACTGAACCACCGGCGCGATGGAATAAGCTGCCGTCGAGGGTAATGATAAGACCGCAGCATTTCTCGTTGCAGGCCGTTCGTCGTCCTCGTTTCTCTCGTCTGGGCATTCGCATTTTCGTCGTTCGGCCTCACTTCGTACCTCCTAATTTCGTGGTTTGTGAGTGCCGACGCGCCCCGAGTCGTGGATATGATGAGGCAGGGAGGTAGGGCCCAAAAACTGCTCAAAAAAAGGTGAAAAAGTGGCAAATTCGCAGCAGATTGGCAGCAAATCGTCTGGATGCTCTGCTCGTTCGTCTGCCTCTTCATCTATTTCATATTGACAGCCACGACGAGCCATTTATTGCATTTCCACTTCAAATTATGTGAGTTGTTGCGAAAAAGCTTAAAATTGGTAAAGTAGGTACCGTAATCCTCACTCATTCAAATGTGTTTCAGTTCAAATGGGCCTAACCACGTACCGATACATGGCTTCGCGACGACGAGTGGCAAAGGTGAGGCAGATGACGTTTTGCTGTTGTGTTTGCACTGTTCAGAAAACAAAGGTGAATTCGGGTTGTCCGTCTGTACACACCGTATTTTACGACAATTCATCTTTTGAAGCTACCGTATCAAATTAGACACAATTCTCCACACGCGTTCCGTTATTTTGAGTGTTTGTAGGGTTCCGGAGCATTTTTTCGTGAGATTACTCATCATTTTTCACAATTCCGGGGCCCCCAGTAGACTAGAAAAGTAGTGCAAACACCATTATCGCCTACCGTAACCTAATTAGCAGGTCGGCGCCATCTCGTACGTGTCGCCGACAAACACGCGGACGAACGAGACGCATCCGGACGGCGCCGTGAAGATCATCAACGAAGACGGTCTGCGGATGAACGAGCGGCCGACGGAGGACGACGGACCGCCGCCGAGCTCCCCGGTCTCGCAGACGGTCCGCGTCGAAATCGAGCCGCCCACGCCGAACGGATCGACGACCGCCAGCTACAGTAATCCCGCATACGTCGCCTAGTTTTTATCGCCTCTTTCTGTTTCGCTTTGTCGGGTTTTTGACTCAAATGCAATCCACCTCAACTTTATTGTTTGCTCCACTGCTCCTGTGATATTTGTTTGTTCCTCACAATAATACAATTTGCATTTTTTTTTCGTTTTAATTCATTTAAAAAAAACTCGCTTTGTATTTTACTTCTGCACCAGATTTTGAAATCCGGAAGACGGCAGACGGAAGAAAATTTTTTTTAGCGGAACACGGAAAATGGAAGACGGAAGACGGAACAAAAAAATCGTCAATTCAGAGCCTTTTTTCCGGTTTTTTTTTTGAAAAAAATAACTAAACAACAAAAAATTTGGATCTGAGTCACTGCCCGTGGAAATTCGCGTTCTTCGGGGCTAGTAAATGGTTTCTGAAAAGCTATTACTCTTTTACGGTAAGAAGAAAAAATTCCGGAAGACGGAAGACGGAAGACGGAATTCCGCTCAACACTGTTCTGCACTAGAATCGCTAATGTCCAGATTTGCAGGAGTGTCCGTTATATTTGTGTTCGATTCTCTTGTCCGTCTCTCACTTTATGATGACCCTTATCACTTGTCTCTCTCTCTCTCTCTCACAAATATATCAGAGAGAGAGAGAGAGAGAGAGAGAGTGGGAGGGGGAGAGAAAGAGAGAAAAAGGTCAAGGAGCGGCGGCGGCGGTTGGGTGTGTGTATAGTGTAAAGTTGCGCGAACTGAAGGAAAAGAAGAAGAAGAGAGAGAGAGAGAGAGAGAGCTTCCCGCAGACCGCCCGCTTGTCATCACTCTCTCTCTCTCTTCTTCTTCTTCTTCTTCCTCTTGCCACACTACTACTACTATGATCGAAAAGGTGCTAGTTGTGGTCATTCTGGTGACAAGCGGAGCCCGCGCACAGACTGGTACGTTTTTTTGCATTTTCTTACTCTAGAAGAGGCGCATTACTGTAGAACCAACCCCTCAAAAATTGCTCTTTGCTAGAATTTGCTAGAAAATGTGAAAATGCTCGAGAGAGAAAACGAGAAAAGTCACATTCGCAGTAAAGTGGCGCGGAAGGAACACGAGACGCGCATCAATCATTCGCACATTTCTCGTCACTTTTTGCATGAGAAACGCGTTTGAAACGGATCGAGCATTGTTTGGAAAACCATTTGGCGGAGAACCGTTTTGCACACTTTGACGTCGATTTCGAGCCACTTTTCAGCCAAAATCAGGGCCTTTGAACCACTTGCAATGATCCGATCGGGCCCTAACCTTGCAGGATTGTCGGACATGGGTTGAGGGCCATTGGGACCGAGTTTCAGCCCGATTGGATCGTCGGCTCCCGAGATATGTGGATCATCCGGTCAATTTCGGCCATTGATCCACACATCTCGGGACCAGATGATCCGATCGGGCTGAAACTTGGTCCCAATGGCCCTCAATCCAAGTGCAACAATCCTTTTAGCCCGGCGCTTGCCAAAATACTTTAATCGTTCAGGATCATGTCGAGCGGACGGATACGAGATGACTTGTCGCGGAAAAGAGTCACTTCACGGCTTGAAATCGGTAGAAAACCCTGATTTTTTGAGCAATTTTCCATTGAAAAAGTGATATTGTAGAGTCGAGATTATTCGGAAATCGATACGCTCAACGTTCACGAGGACACGATCGATTTGACCGACGATTTGATTCCGCGGGGTGAGTGTCGTTACGCAAAATCTTTTCGTTAGTATTATTATTGGGGCACCGGACAGAAATGGCGCGCTGTTCGCAATCTGGCCGAATTTTTAGGCCGCGACGTAATTTTGCACTGAAAACGTGGCCTAACTTTTCAAACTCGGCCCCGAGGTCGCTCAATTTGCACTACAAAAAGAGTTTCTCAACAGAGCGCCTTTGCAGACATAAACTTCTCGCGTCTGACTTTGCTCAACGCGACCGACAATCAAATCACTCGGATCGGACGTCGTGGATTCGATAAAATCCGAAACGTCCAATTTTTGTATCTATCCAAAAACCGGATTTCACACGCCCAAGTGGACCCGTTTCAGGCCCTTTCAAAGTTGGTTTTTTTTACGTTAAAATCAAAGACTCTGCAATATTTTAAGGCAAACTTTTTTGAAACGATTTTCAGACTGGAAGTGCTCGAAATGGACGACGCGTTGGATGGAACGGCGGCGCAAAAAGGCGATCTTCTTCGCGTGCTTTTCCAATCGAAAAACAGTTTTGTGCATTTGTCAAAGATTGAGCTCAACAAGAATGCGCTCGAGGAAGTGCATCCGAAGACGTTCTGCGCGGTACGCTTGTGTGCTTTCTCGCCGAAACTGCCCCCATCAAAACACAAAAAAAACGGTTTTTCAACTGAAAATGATGTTTTTCCGAGTTTTTCGGATTATGCACAGTTTTCCCTCAAAACTTTTGCCTCACGTTTGTTCATATGACCGATAGCTACAAAATGATCACAGAGTGCTCGTGTAAAAGTGAAAATTCGAAGAGTAATTTTGTTTTTTAAATTTGGCTTGAAAAAACGAAACTTTCGATAGTTTTGAGAAAACAGGCGACAGAATCGAAAAACAGTTGCCTCACGATTGTTCAGCAGACGCGGGCGGTCATTTTGAGCACAGAGACGGCGCATAAAATGCAAAAATGACTGAGAAATTGAAATTTACAGAAAAATGAAAAAATGCGCTCTTTTTTGTGGACAGAGCGCTAATTTAAGGTCACAGCTGTCATTAAAAATTCCGAAATTTTCTGTTTTACTTCATTTTCAACATTTTCGGATGAAATTTCGGGTTTTCGGAGAAAAAATCCCGGAAATTTCAGGCCTGCTTTTGTTTTCAACGACACTCCGTTTTAACGCGGCGCTCAATTTAGCATTAGCTATTGAGGAGGCAGTGATCAAAACAGAGAAAACACGCGGAGAACAACGCAAAAATGCACAGCACACCGAATTCGACGACACTTCACACAAATGTTTGCAGGTGCAAGGTCTGAAACGTCTCGAATTGAACAACAATCGTTTGTCGAGTTTCAAATTCGCCCGCAACTGTTTCAAAGAGCTCAAAGGACTGTTTTTGGCCGGAAATCTCATTGAACGGGTAGCAAACATTTGAGAAACTTCAATCAAAAAACCCTTTTTTGTTTGCAGATTCCCTCGGATCTCTGGGACTTTCTACCGGTCATTTCCACGTTGGATCTCTCGAATAACCCGCTTTTTTGTGACTGCAAAACGTTGGACCTCTTCCAGCAAGACGACGTCACTTTCATCAATCAGGTGGGTTACGGTAGACGCTGGATCTGACGACAAAATGCACAATTTTATGCAGGCGCAGACAAAGTGCGCCTCTCCGCCGCAGCTCGACGGAAAATCCGTGTTCGAGGTGAAAAAGGATTACTGTAGCGGCACGACGTCACGTGGCCGAACCACTTTTTGGCAGTTTACGATCCTTTTCGTGATCGCCGTCGGAAGTAAGCGCTTTAACGCGACGCAAACACCGAACGACAGTAATCTTTGCAGTTCTGTACGTGTACAAACGATACCGAGAACGGACGGGCCGCATGAGTTCGGCGCCAGTCGGATATCACAATCTGGAACACGAGCAGGCCGTCGAACCCGAATTTGTTTGATTTTTCGTGTTTTTTTTTTACTTTTTCGAATTTCGAATAATCTGATTTATTTTCATTTTTCTACGGGACAAGTGTGTGAATAAATGATCTTTTTTTTTGTCTCTCGCACCGAAGCGCTTTCAAATCTCGCGCCAAAACAGGTGGAACAGACAGCTGGAGTATTGTCCGTTTCGCAAAAGTGTCCTTGAATTGTAAGAGACACCGAAACATCGTTTTGAATTCCGAGAAACTCTTTTCGTAACTGTTTTTGTTGAAAATCTCAAAAAGTCGCATTTTTCTTGCCTCGATTCTCGTGGCGTTTCGGAAAAGGTCACCCGAAGATTCGGATCTTTATTTTCCACTCGCGGCGGTACTTTTGAACACATTTTCGAAAAAGATCGGCGCGGAACTTAGACCCGAAATACTTTAATCCTAGTCCTAGAAGTCTGCAAAGTTTGGTCCCGATCGGATCATTGCAAGTGGTTCCAGGCCAGTCCCCTATACATTGATATTATGGAATTCTGTGAAATAGAGTCTCTCTCTCTCTCTCTCTTTTATCCAAATGTCAAATCTCCGAAAGTGTCGCACACACGCAGAAGAGGATAATATCAGTATCATCTCTCTTTCTGACACACCTTTGCATTTGCCCACGCATTCCTTCTTTTCGCCCTAATTTTGTACATTTTCCGGGCACAAGTGTGGAACACGGCGACCAAAAACGTAGAAATGAGGGCGCGGGGGCCTAGCGTGCTCGATTTATCACCATTTTGGCGCGAAATTCGAAATTTAACCCCCTATTTTTCATGTTTTTCGTCAAAAATTACCAAAATTTTGTACGATTTTGACGATGTAATTGCATAACTTTGTTAAACTAATCATCGCGCACTTTTTGAGCTTAAAACGAGCAGGTTTCATTCAGAGAATGAATCAATTCAATCGATTTTCAAGTTTTGTGCTGAAAATGCGCGAATTTCAGTCATTCGCCGATACTTTTTGCCGTTTGAACGCTTAAAATACTTGTAATAACGTGTGCTTAATCACTTCCGACACTCACTTCGTCTCAAAACTATCCACATCGGCATGAAAATTTATATGAAAATTCCAAAATTGCGGCGGCGATTGGCCGCGGAGAGCGTATTGCGAATGATGCCAAAAACGTCGCAAACGCGGCGTTTTCACGAAAATTTAAATGTTTTCTCTCTTTAATGTCTTCTTTTATCGATATCAAACACAAAAATATCGGAAAAGTGCTGGAATTGCGGCAGCTTTCAGAAAACGCGTCTCAGATTAGACCACGCCCCTTTCTACACTTTTGATCGTCGTGTGGAAGGCTCTTTATCGATACGAATGTATGTGCCCATCCGAAACAGCCCCCCTTTCTCGTGCTCTTGTACAGGAAGAACGTGTTGTCCGTTCGGTTCGGGCAAACGTTTCCGCCCTTTCGGGATTATCCCAAGTGCACACTTTCTCTCTCTCTCTCTCTCTCTCTCTCTCTCTCTCTCTCTCTCTCTCTTTCTCTCCAGTGTGAACAATTCCGTTTTCAGTTCCAACTTGCTCACACGTTTAGGACGCTCTTTTTCGAGGTGTCCCCCAAAAAAGTCGCATCGATTTGTCCGATCCGATCGAATGCAATTCCAATTTTCCACTTGGCAACCAGCCAATCCACCTCGCTCTTCTTCTTCTTCTTCTTCTCCTCCTTTCTCTTTTCACTACACAAATTGCATCTTTTCCGATTCGCAATTTCCCTCTCCGTTCGTTTTCCATTCCGTTTTCGTGATAGGGCAACTTTTCCGAGTTTTCCTGCATGATTCTGTGGGGGGGAAACCTACAATATATATATCCAACCGATTTCCATCCGTCCGAACCGTTCGACGAGGGAAACAACCTAAACCGCTCAGTTTCCGCGCGGTACTCTTCTTCTTCTTCTTCTCTCTCTCTCTCTCTCTCTCTCTCTCTCTCTCTGTCTCCCTTGTCAACTACACAATCGCGCAAACACATTTCTGTCCGTTTCGCCCGCTGTTTTCCGCATTTCGGCGCCCGTCGGTCCTGAGAGAGAGAGAGAGAGACTCTATCTCTCTCTCTTTCTCTCTTTCTCTCAACAAAAAACGTCTTGTTGTTCGATTCTCAAGGTGTTTGAGATAGAGAAAAGGTGACTAATCCACACACACACACACCCCCCAAGATTTTCTGTTTTGTTTTTTCGAATTTCGAACGATTTTTGATAGCTGAAGGGAAAATTAGGCCAGGAAGTCACTCAGCGACATTATAACTCGACAATAAATAATCCGATCGGTCTGAAACTTGGCCCCAACATAATATAATCCAAGTCCAAAAAGCCTACAAAGTTTCGGCCCGATCGGATGATTGCAAATGGGCCGGCTTCCTGTTTTGGTGGCAAATGTCGCGGAGTCCATAGTTTGTGTGTGAGTACACAAACATGGGAGAAAAAGTAAAATGTGCATAACATATGAATCACATGTTTTTTCCCACCCCACCCACACTCTTTCTGAACTTTTTTCCCAACCTCTTGTCCTTCTTCTTATCCAAACGTGTCCTCACAGAGCAAAAACAAACAGAAAAAAATGGACTTTCGGCCTTGTTTTTGGGCCCAAGACGTTTCACTCTAATTTAGACGATTTTCAAATTAACAACTTTTCGTCTAACCTATTTTCCTAACTGATATTATGAATTCACTCCAATTCTCTCTCTCTCTCTCTCTCTTTCAATTGTAATACTCGTGGAGTAGTATAACGAGAGAGCGACAAACACATTTGAAAACTTATTTGCATAGTACTGTATTCATATTTTATTCATTCATGCACACACACAGAGAAACAGAGAGAGAGAGAGAGATAATATCAGTTTGGGTTTGAATAAGAATGGAATGTGCACGTATTTGAATAGTTTGATAATAATATTATGCACACTTTTGTGAACTATCATCTATTCCCTCATTTTCGACACTTTTTGATCGACCAACTTTTTTTTCGCGGTTTTTGTTGTTGTCGAGTAGGGCTTTTTGACAAGCGCAGCTGAAAAATTGGAAAAATTGGAACAATTTACGTTTTTTCTTTAAAAAATAGATAAAAGCAGGGAAATTCTATCATTTTCACTATTTTTGAAGCCGGTATTTTTTAACTCAAAGCGATTCACGAGAAACGCGTCAGTCGACAGTGCTGACGCGTTTTCGGCGCCTCGGCGGATCGCGAAACGCGCCAGCAACCACGGGTCCTTTTTGAATGTTCCCGTTCCGGATGACTCATCTTTCTCGCAATTTCATCCGATTTTATGCGATCTTCACTGAAAATGTCGAAATTCTCCGATTTTCCCACCGAAATTCATTAATTTCCGGTGGAAAAGTGCAAATGTTCCGTGAGAAATTGCTGTTCTAAAATTTATGACCGAAAATGTTCGCAATTGTAAATTTCCGGCCCCCAAATCGTTTCTTTTCCTCATTTTTCCACTTTTTCTTCTCATTCTCATGAATTTTCAATTTTCTCGCACACTCCACTAAATTTTCGAATTTCAGACCCAAAAGTGACGGTTTTCGGCGGAAGAGTCTCGTGAATAACATCCCACCGCCGCCACCCGATTGCCGGACAGAACAACAGCTCAAAACCATGTCGAAGAAAGCGGTCAGTCGTAAAATGACGGAAAATTGCGACCTTTTCGCGAAAAAACAGACCTTCCAGCGAAAACCTCATTTAAAACGGAAACCTGCTGAAAAATCGAAAGACAGTGATAATTCCCTGTAATTATCATCGTTCGCACCGAAACTTCGCTCGAAACGGTGCAAAAGTGTGGAAAAGTGGGCGGGAAGAGGTGCGACCGCCCATCTCTGGCCTCTATTCGGTTGTTGTACACAGCACCGCGCCGAGCGAGCCGTCCGTCTCACATTTCTTATCAATTTTGTCATTTTGCCCCGATTTTTGTGAGTAAATGCTCGAAATGCTGACTTTTTCTGAAATTCCCCCAAACCTTCTCGCTCTGTTCGTCGTTTTCTCCGCGTTTTTGCGAAAATCTCGCACTTTCTTTTTTAGCAATTTCACCCCGATCGGACGGTTCAAACTTGCGAGCGGAAAACATGGTTGCGGCTGGCGATGTAGGCAAAATTGAAAAATACAAACTTTTAGCCCAGAAACGAATTTGTCCGCATAATTCCCTTTTTTTGCAGATCAATGTGCGTGTCACCTCGATGGACTCGGAACTCGAGTTCGCCATCCAGTCGAGCACCACCGGAAAACAACTTTTTGATCAGGTTTGTTTCCCGAATTTCTTCAATTTTTTTGTGAACTCATCATTTGCAGGTGGTCAAAACGATCGGCCTCCGCGAAATCTGGTATTTCGGCCTTCAGTACACGGACAACAAGGGATTTCCGACGTGGCTGAAGCTGAACAAGAAAGTGATGTCGCAGGACGTGAAAAAAGATCCGACGCTCGTGTTCAAGTTCCGCGCCAAATTCTATCCGGAAGACGTCGCCGAGGAAATTATTCAGGACGTCACTTTGGTGCGTTTCCCGGCCAATCTGGAAAAGTTTGAAGAAATTTTATGTAAATAGCAGTTCTCATTAATTTTCTGGAGACATTTTTGAGTGGAATACTGATTTTGGCTCAATCCCCCTTGTTAGTCACTCAACTATTTGTTTATTTTTCAAATTCCTTCCTATGACCGGAAAAATGTAAAAAATGCGAAAAAATAATGAGTCATTGATAACAGAAAAGTAGTTTTCAACTCTAACACCCGCTAGGAATGTTAGAAATTTAAAACAAAAAATTACAGCTTCAAAAAATGTTCACAAATTGAATGCAAATTTTTGGCGCTCGTTGCTTGTTCGGTGAATATTTCCAGGGCTGGGCAATTGGTCGGCAATTCGATCAGGCCCAAACTTTGCAGGTTTCTTGGACTTGGATTGAAGTATATTGGGTCCAAGTCTCAGACCGTTCGGATCATCTGGTCCCGAGCTATCTGGATCAGAAGCCGAATAGGCCGGGTGTTTGCGAAAACTGCGATCGGGCTGAAAACTTGGACCGATTAGACTTCAATGCAAGTCCAAGAAGCCTGCAAAGATTGGCCCAGGACAAGGGCCGTCCAATTGCCCAGCTCTGAATTTTTCTAAATTTATAGTCATCCTCGTCCCCCCTCAAAGAATCAGAAACAATTCGCACCGTTGTCCGGTCAATTTTTGGTTTTTAGTTGTGTGCATTTTCCCTCTCTCTCTCTCCGATTGTACGATTTTCGCACTGATAATAGTGTTGCCATACAATATATACAAAACGCGAAAGTTGTGTGGCAGTGACAACCGGCTTACACGGCCACAAACCACCCGAAAAACGGTTTTCGTCATGTTGCAATTGGGAATTTTCTGGAAGAAATGAGGAATTGACGCGAGAAATTTGGGCAAGAAAGCGTTTCCTCATCACATGCTTTTCCGCCCCAAAAAAGCGTCCAAACTGGCCACGGGTTTGTGTATATTTTGACGGTGTCGGCTGATTTGAACGCGAGTAAACATTGTCCCCGCGTCGACCGAGTTTCCGATTACGTTCGCTCCGAAAAAGGCACTTTTCGCTCGTTTTCTTTCGACCAAAAAAGATGGTTTAATGGTTTGTAAACAGGCGATGAGCAAGCGGCAAGAAAATCGGAGAGAAATTAGTGAGATGGGTGGTCTTGGAGGGGATCTTCTTTTTTGCTCCAATTCTGCACTTTTTGCAATGAGTCAGAGGCGGAAATATAAAATGAGTATTAGTCATTCGCACTCTCGACTGTGTTTGAATGGAAAAACGAGCGTGACGGTTCTCTTTTTCCCTTTTTTCACTGCCGACACTCTGAGTCAGACAGACGATATTTCAGCGCGCCTTTTTTGGAGTATATGAACAAAAAAGGAACACTGGGGGGATTTTAGAAGGAAAAGCTAACATTTTGGAGCATTTGTGAGAGTGTAAAGGGAGGAAAAATGGGAAATTGAAGGACCAGGGAAACGTGCGAGTTTAACAAACAAGCGGCGGAGCGTTAGCTCGGACCGCGCACCGGGTTCCAAAAGTATTGTGTATTAAAAAAAACTGTTTACAGCGTCTGTTCTACCTGCAAGTGAAGGACGGAATCCTATCGGACGAGATCTACTGCCCACCGGAGACCTCGGTGCTTCTTGCCTCGTACGCGATGCAGGCCAAGTACGGAGACTACGTACCGGAGACTCACATCGCCGGAACCATCGCTGGCGAACGGTAAGCTCATCGTTTTTTGAAATGGAAGATGTGATTTCTAAATTCTTCTGACAATTGTTTTACGTTGAAAGCCATTTTTTGCAAGAGTTTCTAAATCTTTCCACCAAATCCATCAATTTCTGAATTGCAGTCTGCTGCCGCAACGTGTTCTGGGACAGTTCATGTTGAACAGCGAGGAATGGGAGCGCCGGATCATGACTTGGTGGGCGGACCATCGGGGAACGACCCGCGACCAGGCGATGCTCGAGTACCTCAAAATCGCCCAGGATCTCGAGATGTACGGAGTCAATGTGAGTCTATTTTTGCCGAAATTTTTTTCTTCGTTTTTTTACGTCAAAAACACAATTCAACTAGGCTGGTAGAATAGACGAAACAACGCGCCTGACGAAGGCAAACTGTCGCCTTTCACAAAAAGGTGTCCGTCTAAAAGCGGAAGGCGGAAGGCGTGATAACGCCCGAGGTAAAAGGGCACGGGTCAGGTCTGGGCAGGCGATCCGTTTCCCACTGTTTGAGAAAATTGTTGCAAAAAATCTGGGGGCGAGAGAAATATCATTTGCGCGGTAAAAAAGAGAGGCAAAGACGAAAAAGTTAAAGGCGCATAGAAATAAATTTGATGCTATGCGCCTTTAACTGTCTACCGTCTGCGTCTCTCTCTTCTACCGCGCAAATGGTATTTCTATCGCACTCAGATTTTTTCTCCGTTTCCATTGGTTATCCGCCCAGGCCTGGCACAGGTCGCCTTCTCTGTGAACGCGTCCGACGGCCTTTTTACCTCACTAGGGAATGGCCCGCACTTACCTTGGGCTTTTGGAATGGGACCTATATGATTCGAAAGAGAATTTCACGGAGAATCCGAATCTGCTCTCAATTTTTGCTAAAGAGCACTGGCTGGCGAGAAAATCTGCCTGTTTTTGCCACATTTTCAAGCAAGTTCATCTTCGGCGACCTGTATCTCAAGAACCACGCGTCCGTTGCAAAAGTGGTCAACTAGTAAGTTAACGCAAATTATCTCGGGAATAACTTTGTAGTTGATCGTCTATTTAAAAAAAAATTAGTTTTCGAGTTATCGTCGCTTTTTTCTTTGTCGCTCTAGGAAAACAGTTTCAAACTCGAAAACTAATTTTTTTTTAAATAGACGATTAACTACAAAGTTATTCACGAGATAATTTGCGTTAACTTACTAGTTGGCCACTTTTGCAACGGACGCGTGTTTCGGCTCAAAATGCGATTCAGTTTCGGCTCAAAATGATCGAATCTACCTCGAAAGTTTAGGAAATTGATAGAATCAAAAGTGAATGCTATTTTTTTCCTCTGAATTCCTCCGTTTTCAGTACTTTGAAATTCGCAACAAGAAGGGAACGGACCTCTACCTGGGCGTCGACGCTCTCGGACTGAACATTTACGACAAATCGGACCGTCTGTCGCCGAAAGTCGGTTTTCCGTGGTCGGAAATTAGAAACATCTCGTTCAACGACAAGAAATTCGTCATCAAACCTATTGATAAGAAGGCTCATGTAAGTTTGAATGATAAGCTCCGAAAAGAGTGATTCTCTTGCCACGCACTTTTTTCTCCGTGGCAAATAAGTATTTGCAAGATTTTCCAGGGAATTTGTGGAAAATTGGGATAGAATATTGATTTTTCGCAATTTTCTTAAAGTGAGATCTTTGAAAATATGCACGCTTTCATGATATTAAATACAAAAATGAAAATGATATTGCAGGACTTTGTGTTCTACGCGCCGCGCCTCCGCATCAACAAGCGCATTTTGGCGTTGTGCATGGGCAACCACGAGCTGTACATGCGCAGAAGAAAGCCGGACTCGATCGAAGTGCAACAGATGAAGCAGCAGGCGAAGGAGGAGCGCGCCCTCAAAATCGCCGAGCAGGAGAAGCTCACCAGAGTACGTTTTTCGCACCGATTCTGCTGGGAGTGTTTCCTGATTCAATGAAAATTGGGTATTTGAATGAATTGCAGGAGATGTCGGCTCGCGAAGAGGCGGAAGCGCGCCAACGGGACGCCGAGAAGCGCATCGCCCAAATGCAGGAGGACATGGAGCGGGCGCGCATCGAACTCGCGGAAGCGCACAATACGATCCATTCGCTGGAGTCGCAACTCAAGCAATTGCAGTTGGCGAAGCAGGCGCTCGAGCTGAAAGAGCACGAACTGAGGGAGCTGACGGCGCAGTTGCAGTCGGAGAAGGCGATGAGCGACGACGAACGGCGCCGGCTGAGGGACCAGGTGGAGGCGCGTGAACAAGAGGTCTACACGATGCGGCAGGAGGTCCAGAGACAGACCACCGTCACGCAACAGCTGCAGACACAGGTAACTGATCTACAGAATTTTTTCCGATTTTTTTGGGCCAAGATTCGTCTGGCAAGAACAGGTGGACGCGTTATTTAGTTTGAAGATTTTATACTAAGAATCTGAATTTAATCAGATCATGACTTCGAGACGATTTATCCCATTGCAAATAAAACTTTTTGATATTGCAGATCTCGACGCAGCAGCACGTGCAACATTCGTACTCGAACCACCATAATCTTTCGAACGGACACGGACACCCACGCGACGAGCAGGCCACCGACGATGAGGATAACGGAGCCACTGGTTGGTCGAACAAACACCTTTGAAAAAATTATCGCCGCTTCGAAAAATGTCTATGTAAAAATTGCAAAACATTGAAAATTTGGTCGATAATGAGTACTGAGTCTACTGACTTGAAGAGTGTGTCTTCCGAACCGTTGTTAGTTTTTTTGCTAGTATTTTAATTTCAATTTTTCCTAATCAAGAAATCGATCAAACAAATATATATGATTTCCAGAACTGACCAACGACGCCGATCGGGACGTTCCGCAGCACGAGCTGGACCGTGTCACCGCGGCCGAGAAGAACATTCAGATCAAGAATAAATTGGACATGCTCACGCGCGAATTGGACAGTGTCAAGGACCAGAACGCGATCACCGACTACGATGTGCTCCACATGGAGGTACGGTTTCTTTTAAAAAAGAGCCGGCCGCATCGGCCGCGTTTCAATTGATGTCCAGATCAGATTATCCCATCGACCAATGTGCTCCACCGATTGAAAAATCTGCTTTTCTCTCTCGATAAAAATGGTTGTCTTTTGCAGAACAAGAAGGCGGGACGCGACAAGTACAAGACTCTTCGTCAAATTCGCGGCGGAAACACAAAACGACGAATCGATCAATACGAGAATATGTAAAATGTCTCTGTCAGACCCTCCAAAAGAAAACTAGGACAAAAATTCCATACGTTAGCCCCCAAAATTCTATTTTTTCGGTTCTTCTTCCGTTCACTTTCCCCCCAAAATTCAGTGCCTTTTCACCCTTTAAAAAAAACGTCTCCTGATTTCCGTGAATTTTTTGTCCCCCCGAATATCTCGGTTTCCCCCCGGCTCCGTCCCTCCACCCCAATTTGTTGTATTCGCTCATATCTCCCCGAACAAATTATCAATATTTGCAAAAATTCGAATAATTTATTCCTCCCTTCCCCAACCGCTTTTCCGCCGCCAAAAATGGACCTAATTATGATGTTTTATTTTAATTTTCCCGGATTTTCACTTTTTCCCTTCATCTGAAAATGCGCAAGACCCTTTCCCGAAATTCTACGCCTATTCTCGTGTTTGTGTGAATTAAAATATTTTCTATGAGTATTTTAATTTAATGTTTCCCATTATTAATCGTCCCTCCGATGATATTTGCTCTGTTTCTTTGTCTCAACTAACTGATAAATGTGTGATAAGTGGAACAATGGGCTTCTAGTTAAAATTGTGAACAACTCAATGGGGAATACATTTTTAGTGGAAACATTGTCAGAAAAATGAATTTTTTTTTTGGAAAATTAGACGCCGCAATGCTCCGCGAATTCCGGCCGGCTTCTCATGGTTTCTGGGTTTGCCAAACGAGGTAAATCGATTGAAATCAAGTATTTTCAAGTACCGATGAAATCCACATTATCGGGGGCATTTGAGAAAAAATCCGGGTGCGAGAGAAATGCCATTTGCGCGGTAGAAGAGAGAGGCGCAGACGAAAAAGTTAAAGGCGCATAGAAATAAATTAATTTCACTTCACAACCGTTTTTCAAACAGCAGGCTGAAATAGCACAACCGCGAACTGTCGGCTGATTGTGCCCGCGCGCGCGCGCTCCGTGAGCCTTCGCAAATTTCCGATGCAAATACACAGATTCATCTTTTCCGTTTTCTTGTGTTCATTCCGATTGAAACTCACAAGCAGCAACGATCATTTCGATGAAAATGCTGGCTGAGGGTGTCGAACTCTAGCAATTCGATATTAATCTAATTAGAAAGTTACTGATCTAAACGCGACCTAATTAGATTCGACTGTTTTTTCTTGGCGCAATCGAGATTTGAGCCAGCAGACGTTGAAACTTGATTGGAGCACTTATTAATCTAGCTAGACAATTTATTAATCTAATTAGGTGTCATATCAATCTTATTAGGCCGCCGTTAGATTAATAACGAAATGCCAGAGGAATGGTGGCGTCCTCAAATAAATCGTTTGTAATCTAGCTAGCTATTTCTAACCGGACCTAATTAGATTGCAAATTCTTCTAACTGGACTGATAAATGTTCTAATTAAATTGGCGAAGCTAATTAGATTGCAAAAACACTGATATTAGATTCAAAATTTATCTAATTAGATTAAAATTTCGGGCAAACCTAGCTGGATTATGTTTAGATTGCAAAATCAGCTAGCTAGATTCAGAAATCTGTAGCAATCTAACTAGGTCCGGTTAGAAACGAGAACTAGCTAGTTAGATTAGAAACGATTTGCCTGAGTCCGGGGTGGAAATCGAAAAATGATTCGACACTGCACAAATAATTCAATTTCTTTTCAGATTTTTCACAAAATCCGCCTCAAAAACGTACTATGAAGTGCTCGGAGTGGAAAAGACGGCGACGTTGGCGCAAATAAAATCGGCATTTTACGAAAAATCGAAAAAAGTGAGCGAATTTAGGCGCTTCCAGCATTTTATGGACATTATTGTATTGTACAATTTATACAAATTTACGCATTATTGAAACCGATTTTCACAATTAAATCACTATTATGCCGGATTCTCGGTGGCGGGTCTCGCACGGAACGAAACTTTTCAAGCTGGGGTTGTGCGCCTTTAATTTGAGGAGTATCGATACGATAGATCACACTTCTCCCCATTTTCTGACAAAAAACTGCTTTCGGACGGAATGTGAAGTGAGAAAAAATTGTATACAAGCCGTCTTTAGTTCATTTTGTCAAAATTTGTAACAGAAAGCAGTCTAAAATCGGCCCACCGTATCTGCCCTCAAATTTAAAGGCGCACAACTCCAGCTTGAAAAGTTTCGCTCCGTGTGAGACACGCCGTCGAGAATCCGGCGAATGCATAGTATTGGGGAAAGAAAAGTATTTTAGTTTTCCTAAAATCCATATTTCCAAAGTCGCTCTCATCCTTTCCCATTACTTTTTTCTCTTTCTTCTCTGTAAAATCTCCCGTCTTCCGCTCGAATTCTCCATTTTATCAGTGGAGCGCACTTGCATCCACCCTCGCGTTTACCACCCCGTGTGACCCGCTTCTTGTGTTCTTGTTAGATAATACCGAAATTTTATTGACGTAGGGAATTCTTAAACCTTTTCTAGAGCTTCTTCTCATCTTTTATAGAACAAATACACCTTTTTGATAAGAAAAAGACAAATTACATCATTTTACGGAAGATATGACTTTTTTCAATGATTTATCGCATTATTATCAATTTCAGGTTCATCCCGATAATTTGAGCGACGATTCGGCGACATCTCAATTTTTAGAGCTCAAAAATGCGTACGATGTGCTCAGGTTTGTGCGAAAAAAGACTAGCGACAACAAAGTTTTAGTCTTCGTAGTCTTGCTTATTGCATGAATGAGAAAACAGGTCGCCGGACACGTTTTTGTGTACAGAAAAGGCCAGGCATGTGCATTTTTACCTCAGTTATCATGCCTTCCGCTTTCTGCCGGACACTTTTTAGTGAAAGGCGACAGTCAGCCTACTTTAGAGTCCAAAGTTTCAAAAGTAAAGTATCAGTAAAATTGCAGACGACCAGCGGATCGCCGCCAGTACGACTACCACCTGAAAGGCGGCGGCGGCGGCGCGAATGGCCGAAACCGACAATATCATCACTATCCGTACGCGTCGCCGCCCCCGCAGTACGATTTTGGCAGGTAACGCTCTTTATATCTTGAACATTGTGTTTCTCTAAAAAAACCGACGATACATAATCATGAAGTGAAACGGAAATTGTTTGTAGAGACTGGTCGACGTACTGGAGCCAGAACCCGGACAATTCGAGGGCGACGCGCGAGCAACGCGACAAATCGTCGCGCGAATTCATGAAATCGATTGTGAAATGGACGGCCGTCGGACTGCTTCTCGTCGCCGGATACAACGGAGGATATGTGTACGTGTTATTCCGGGTCCATATGTATCAGAGATCAGAGAGGCCGAAAAGGCAGCAAGTTTCGCAAAAGACAGGGCTTCCGGCCTCAAACCTAATGATCTAATCGGTCTGTAACTTGGACCCAACATTCTTCTCACCAGGTCCAAGAAGCCTGCAGAGTTTGGGCCCGATTGCAAGTGGGCCAAAAGCCCAGGCCTCAAACCCAGCCCTGAGCACACCCAATGATACTTCTAATTTTGCGTACTTACTACAAAACCAACGAATACCATTTCCCTTCTTTTAGAAGCAATCTCGCACCGTCCCGTTTTCCCTAAATGCTCAATGTTTCTACTAAACCGTCAAAACGTTTCCTCCATGGAATCACGTAGCAAAACCCAATACCGTGTAAAATGAGTTTGAAGGCTTTTGCCGAAATTTCCCGTTTCTTATTGCAGATATTTGTTGAGTCGGCGCCAAAAACAATTGGATAATCTGATCGACGAGGACGAAATCGCCAAATGTTTCCTACGACAAAAAGAGTTTAAAAATTCGAATTACGAAGACTCGGAGGTGAATTTGAGGGCTTTCTCGATTAATAACAATTTTGTTTGCAGATTGCCGAGCTCGGACGTCTTCTGAAAGCCGACGTCGACGAGATTTGGAAGACGAAGACGCAGAGAAATTCGAACGAAATTCGAGAGGAATATCGGTGAAAATGCAAACGATCCTTTGTCGTTCGATAACAAAAAAAGTTCCAGATGGTTCCGCGCGGTCCAAGACAGCGATCACATTCGATCGGTGAAGGAGAAACGGATGGAAAGACGGGAAAAAGAGCGGAATAAATGGAGGAACGAGACGGAAGACTGATATTATCGATTCGCCCAGATTCGTGTTGTTTAGAGATGAATAGCATAATGTTTAGCCCTTTTCTGTACTAGGCACTGTATTTTTTCTATAATTTACGGGTCTTTTTCCGCCCCCTAGTCGTGTAGAGCTTCACTAAAAAATTCTCATATCATTTTTTCCTTATTTTCCTTATTTTTCTGGTTCAGTTCTCCAGATTTCTACCTATTCTCTTCGTGAATAACTTATTCTTCAACTTGTGATAGATGGAAGGATTGAACGTGCTCGTGACCGGCTCCACGTGCGGAATCGGACTGCACACCGCAAAAATGCTCTTCAAAAAGGGCGCCAATGTCATTTTGACGTGTCGCGACGAGGTACGCAATTTTTCTGAAATTAAAATTGTTTGTTCTAAACGAAATAGCATATCCAGTGTCCTGGACTTTTGGCCCACTTGCAATAATTCGATCGGACCCAAACTCTGCAGCATTTTTAGACTCGGATTGAAGTATTTCGGGTCCAAGTTTCAGATCGATCGGATTATTTACTGTCGAGATATAGTGCTTGAGTTTTGGCCGGAAAGCCCGGGCTTTCGGTCAATGATCCACATAAATATCTCGCGACCAGATGATCCGATCGGTCTGAAACTTGGACCCAATACACTTCAATCCAAGCTCAAAAAGCTTGCAAAGTTTGAGCCCGATCGGATCATTGCAAGTGGGTCAAAAGTCCAGGACAAGGGTCGGCCAATTGCCCAACACTGCAGTCACCGATAGAAAGGGCACCGGGACATTTCGAAACCGGACATTTCGAAACCGCGACATTCCGAAACCGGACATTTCGAAACCAGACATTTCGAAACCGCGACATTTCGAAACCAATTCAGTACAAGTATTTAAAAATTCAAAAAACCGCCAAATTCGCAGTATGGACAGTATTTTTCGTATTGCAGTTTAAAAATGTGTTCTTTTTCTGCTGGAAATAGCTGTTTCACTGTTTTTTCGGCTTTGTTCTGTGTATTTTTTTTTGATTTTGTCAAGTTATACGTTTGTGTTAGTATAAATAGTCCGAAATCATAATGAATTGCTAAAATACACTTAACATGCATTTCTACCGCGAATTTGGCGGTTTTTTGAATTTTTAAATACTTGTACTGAATTGGTTTCGAAATGTCGCGGTTTCGAAATGTCTGGTTTCGAAATGTCGCGGTTTCGAAATGTCCGGTTTCGAAATGTCCCGGAGCCATAGAAAGAACCCTCTGAATAAATAACGTGCCCGGAGCGAAAACATTTTTGGCCATGTGAATCTGGAGAAAACATGATTTGTTTCGGAAAATTGAATGAACAGCAATTTGCTGCTGAAATTTGTGTTTTTTGGGGATTGATACAGAACAACGTCGATGCACAGTTGTGCAGTGTGAAATAATTTTCTCGATTTTCTCGATTTTCTCCCCGGGCGCCTCCTTTAAACAAATTGTTTGCCAGGTGCGTGGGCGTCGAGCCGTCGAAAGCCTGCTGAGCGACGTGGCGCCGGATCAAGCGCAGAAAGAGTCGGAAAGAATTCATCTGTACTCGGTGAGCTTTGAGAAATTTTTACGGGTTTACAGAATTTTCCCGCGGATGCATTTCACATGCTTTACGAACTTGTTAAAATTTTATTCGAATTTTTCAGCTCGACGTCACCAACTACAATTCGATTTGTGAATTTTGCGAGGACGTCGCCCGCGACTTTACCCATTTACACGTGATTATCAACAATGCCGGCATCATGGGATGGCCTTTTGAGGTCTTCTTTTTTTTTCGGTTTCTAAAAAAGAGTATTTTGGAAATGTTGGGAAAAGTTTTCAGTTGTGCACGGTCGCCAGAGCTTAAAATAGATGCAAACCCGCTCCCTCTGGGAACTCGATCGCAATCTAATTAGAAGCGGTTGCAATCTTGCGATCGCTGCGATTAGATTGCAATTTTTCTAATTAGATTGCGACATCTTCTAATTATTATAGGGGCACCGAACAGAAAGGGCGCTCTATTGAGAAACTTTTTTGCAGTGCAAATTGAGTGAGCTCGGGGCCGAGTTTGAAAAGTTAGGCCACGTTTTCAGTGGAAATTTACTTCGCGGACTAGAAATTCGGCCAGATTGCGAACAGAGCGCCCTTTATATTCGGTGCCCCTATAATACATTGCAATATTTTCGTATTCGATTGCACTGTTTTCTAATTAGATTTCGATGATTTCTGTTTCGATTTTAGACAACTTCATTTGTTCAGTTAAAATTGATTTATTCTGTCGAAAAAAATATCAAAATGGGAAGAAGAGAAGGAAAAAAGGACAGAGGCACGGTCTCCAGAGCTGACAATATGGGCGTGTCCTCGGCCAAATGGCGTTTTCATGAAATGAGCAGGTTTTCTCTGATTTTTGTGGTCAAAGGCGATGAAAAATGATTATTCGGCATGAAAACACACTAATTCTCTGAATTAATGACGTTTTGGCGCTTTTTCCCGGACTTTGCTTTTTCGCCTTCGCCGCCGATCGCCGCCTAAAAACCGCACTTCTCATTTTGCGCTTTCTTGATCGATAAATGTGATTTGCGACGCTCTTGCGCTTAAAATATTCGTATTGGCCTATACAATCGGTCTATCGGGAGACAAATGAGAAATTATCGGTTTTTCGTGGCTATCTGGCAACAAAATCTAGCAAAAACACAAATTTTGCTGTTAAAATTTGAATTTCGCGCCAATGTATCGCTCTATTTGGCTCTGGCGCTCTGTAAGCTCTGGGGGCCGTGAGAGAGGGAAGAAGATAACGAAAAAAGGGCAGAGAGATAGGGGGAAAACATGACACGAGAAAGAGACAGAGTGGCACAAAACGAGAGGCAACGAAAGACAGAACAGGGAGAAATCTACAAAACCTGCTTCCTATGCGCTGGAGGTAGACGGCTGTTAACCGTCGTTTCGTGCTTCCGGTTCCGGTTTCTCCAGGTGACCCGATCTAACCGCCTTCTTTTGCTCGTAACGAGCTCGATTGCTGAAAATAACATCAGTTCGTTTTGAAAGGCACAAAAGGTAAACTGACAAAATGTAGGTTAAGTGATTTTTGAAAAGAAGAGCGACGGTGGTGGACACTTTTTTCTCGTCGGCGCCAGTGATGATCAGGCACTTCTCGAGGATACCTACAAGCAGTAAATGAACCATTTTTTGGAGTGACTGACACTCACTAGCCCGCGTGTTGAGGTATCTGCTCGGAACCGTGTTCTGCGTGGGTTGCGGTTTCAGCGAGGTACTGAGGTACGGCAAGGCTTCGTATGGAATGACCTGTTATCAGAAGTAGTTTTCAGTCTTTATTTTCAAAGTCTCTGTTATTCTGTTGACAAAAACGTTTGCAGAATTTTGGATCACTGCTCGCAACGTTCCAACTTGCTAACTTGTTTTTGCTGAGAATGAGGTTCTTCAGCTTCTGCTCATTCTTCACTTCATCGCATTCAAAATAGCGGTCAACGGCTGCAAAAAAGCTTCCTGTATTGTACTCTGTCATGATTTCACGTACCTACTGCCGACTGTGTTGTTGTCAGAAGGAAAAAGCAGCAGAGGAGGTCGTTTTCCGAAATTTCTTTCCAATCTCGAGCTGAAGATTTTTTATCGAACTTTCGTCATGCACTTAGAACCGACCTCTTTCATCTTCATCATCTGAATTTCTCGAATTTGCCGGTTCCTCAATATCACCACTTTCTTCAGTGTCTCTTTCTTTATTTTCATCTTCGAAATCAAAAATTTCTTCGAAGTTCGGCATCTCTTCAAAGTCCACCGATTCCAGGAAGTTCCCGGGTTCCGTGTTCGGCGCGATGCTTTGGACGACTGCTTTTCGGGCGCCATCCTCAAGAATGCTTCTTGTGGTGACGCGACATGAGTTCATTGATACGTACCGAAGCTGTAAAAATTGAACATTAATTTTTTAGGATTCCAATATTGCATGCGTTTTTTGTTTTACTTCAATAATGTCAAATATGAAGTAAACGCAAACCGAAAAAATTAGCACTTATCGAAAAGTTGTCATTTCCTGAGAAAATATATGATAATTTAAAAAAATAGGGCAAAACAGTGATAGAAAATTATTTCGTGTTAGGCCTAATTAGGGGTTGCAAGTGCGCTCGATTGCTAAATCTTTGTAATCTAATTAGATTTCACTGGAACTTCAAAATCATCTCATTAGATTGCAATGCTTTGAAAATCTAATTACACTGCGAACTTCAGGAAAATTCGATTGCAATCTAATAAGATTTTACTGAAACCTCAATCAAATCTTATTAGATTGCGAAATGGAGCCTTTTCTAATTAGATTGCAAACTCTTCTAATTAGATTCCTTTTTTGTTTTAATTAGATCACTTTGTTTTATTTATTTTTTAAATTTTTTTTTGCGCGACATTTCGAAGCGAATTTGCCACAAAAATCCACAAAAATCCACAAAACAAATCCACAAAAATCCACAAAAATCCACAAAAACCACAAAAATCAAAAGTGCTCGAATCATGTAAATGCCATTTGGCGGAGGCCACGAGACCATATTGTAAGCCCGTCTGAATTATATACTTTAAAAACTATTCAACAAAAAAAGTGAGTTTTGCAGTTGTCGGTGGACGGAATCGAAATGCACTTCGCGACGAACGTCTTCGGCCACTACGTCATCGTCGAACGTCTTCTTCCGCTTCTGATCGACTCGGATCGGCCCGATTTCAAGTCACGAGTGATCGTCGTCTCCAGCGGACTCTACCGAAATGTGAGTACGCCTTTTTCGAACAAAAAAAATATGTTATCGGTTTCAAAAAATAATTTTCACACATTCTTTTTGCAGGCACAAACGATACCACAAGTGTCGAAATTGCTGGGCGAAAAAACGTACGATTACAGTTCGAAACACGCGTACGCATTCAGCAAACTGGCCAATTGTCTCTATGCCGTCGCACTTTCCAAGTCGGTGATCTCTCGAATTCAAAGGGTTAACCCTAATAATAAAGTGTGTTTGTGCAGAGTTCTGGAGCCGCACAATATCGGCGTGTACTGTGTGCGGCCGGGATTCGTGAACGGGACGGAACTGGGCCGCGAGACGCACTGGCTGCTGAGGGCTCTCGCCGCGCCGCTCATTTGGCTCATTGCCAAGTCCATCGATCAGGTTTCCCTTTGCGAAGCAGAAACTCTGCTGTTTCCAAATAACTATTTTGCAGGGCTGCGAAACGATAGTGTTTTTGGCTGAAACTGCGGGCGAACAGCTGAAAACCGGCCGAATGTACTACGAGAAACAAGAAGAGGCCTACAATGACATGGTCCATACGGTTGGTTTTCGAGCGAAAAAAAGTGCAAATAGTGAGAAAAATTCCCCATTTTTTGCAGATGTCAATCCGTCAAGTCTGGGCGATTCTGCGACATTTGGAGGACAAAATCTGGAAGCGAAATGCGCAATTAACGGATTCGCAAAAAGAATCGGGAGCCAAAAATCGAGAATTGCTCAACGAGAATCTGATTATCATGCAGCCGAATCAAGCTTAACTTTTTGCGATTTCGTGTATAATTATATTTTCCCCCTCGCCTGCATCCCACCCAGTTTTTACGTGTATTTATGCGATCGAATATTTTTGGCCTAAAATAAAAGTGTATCTAGTCGGAAAATGGAAGAATGAGAAAAGCGCATCGCGATGAGATATTTTTTTGCATCTTTAAAAAAAATTAAGCATTTTTTTGGGGCGTCAGAATGGATGAAAACGGCCGGGGACCGAAAAGGAACAGTGTCGCCTTTTGGTGAGGATTTTAAAACATTGATTTTTTCTCGATCAAAGTGATCTGATTGCGTTTTTAAAAATCATTTTTTGAAACAGGTATGATTAATCATGATTAAGAAGATTTTACGGAAACTGAACAATAATTGTAAGAGTAGCCAACAAGAACACCTCTTTTTGTCGCCATCGATTTCCAGCCTCTTATTGAGCACTTTTCATTTTACTTGCTTACTTTGAGCCCGTTTGTTCAAGCGATGTGCTGATTTCACACGCTGCGGACAAAATCAGTCCATTTTGGACACGTGATTTTCGCAACCAGATCACTTTTGCCGTCTTCCAATTAATTTTAGAAAAAGGAATTTTGCAGGCTTCTCGGTCTGTGCAATAACTTTGCGTACGTGGTCATGTTGAGTGCGGCCAAGGATATTCTCGAAAAAGAAGACGCCGAACACATTGAGAAGCCGTGCCGGGTATATTGACTGCTGGAATTTTGAAATATTTCCTATTTAATTCATTTGTTCAGCCGTCAGTAACCAGTCGAGAATGCCACGTAATGTCGACCGGATCCGTGCTGTTGGCCGACATAATTCCAGCTTTCGTCATCAAAATTTCGGCGCCATTATTCATTCATCGAGTGCCTTTCGGGTAAGACTCGATTTTTGTGCTTCTGCCCATTCATTTTAAGCGTAAAAGTAGTATTCGTTTCACAGAATCCGTCACCTACTCGTCGTCTTCCTCCAAGCCGCCAGTTTTCTGATTGTCGGAATCAGCGAGAGCACATTTTTCGCACTTTTTGGTTCGCGTTTCGTAGCGAAACTTTTTGTTTATAAATTACCAACATTCAGGAGTGATATTGGCGAGTTTCGGAAGTGGACTCGGAGAAATTACCTATTTAGCGCTGACTTCCAATTATCCGTCGTAAGTTTTTAAAGAAATTTGCTCTTGTCTCACTAATTTTTGGCATTTTTATCGATTTTTACCGTTGATAGGTAGAAAACACTTGAAATTTTTTTAAAATATAAGTTTTCCCGTGACGAACAGCACGCAAATCTCGGTTTAAAGTGGATAAAGTTTGGGAAAAGGTGGTGACGGACAAACGGAGCATTTTATTGAAAAGAGGTGTAATATGAACAAGTAATTTGAGCCGAAAAGTGTTTCCCCAGTTTGTGCTTATTCCAAATTTTCCAGATCAGTGGTGGCTTCGTGGTCTTCGGGAACGGGCGGCGCCGGGCTGATCGGAGCCTCCGCCTACGCACTTCTCACCGATTCGAAGCTTTTGAACATTTCGCCGAAGAACTCGATGCTCCTGATGCTCACTTTGCCCCTCCTCTTTTCGTGCGCCTACTGGCGCATCCTCCGCATTCCTCGAAGCGTTCATCGGGCGCGATTTCACAGAGTTTCCACGTGGATCATCGGATTTTCGTCGGTGACGTCATCTGAACGGCATCTGGAAGATGAAGGGCTTCTGGAAGAAGAAGAAGAGATATCATCCGATTCTGCGGCGGAAACTTCGAAATTACACAAAACACGGCCACTTTTGAAGTTCATGGTCCCGCTGATCAGTGTCTATTTGGCCGAGTACTATATCAATCAGGGATTGGTCAGTTTTCCTCCAATTGCGTTTAAAAAAGAAACATAACGTTTCCAGCTGGAACTGCTCGAATTCGACTGTGCTCACGGCCTGTCCATGAGCTCCGAGAGCCAGTACCGCTGGTTCCAGGTCACCTATCAGCTCGGAGTTTTCATTTCCAGAAGCTCCTCGAATCTCGTCACTATTCCCACGAAATTATTGCCTTTTTTGGCTGTGTTACAGGTAAAAACAATCCCAAAGATTGACAAACACCAAAATCTTTTTTGCAGATTCTCAACGCATCCCTCTTCACGTTTGCCGCCATTTTCACATTTCTACCCCACATTTTTATTGCATTTTGTGTCATTTTGTTCGAAGGATTTCTGGGCGGCGCCAGTTATGTCAACACTTTTCGGGCCGTGCATCGAGAGGTACTGTAGATTACTGTAGCTTTAAAATTTTCAAAACTGTTTCAGATCCCATGTGAAAATCGCGAATTCTCAATGGGCGTCGTCTCGATTTCCGACACGATTGGCATCGTTTTCGCCGGTTTTTTGGCGATGCCGGTGCACAACAAAATTTGCTCAATGCCACTCTAATTGTGATTATGTACTATTTGTAAATTAACTGTAAATAAACAGACAATTCTCTAATCAGTTTGGACAATCCAGAATGATTGCTAGATGTCCGATAGTGAATGCAAACAAAAGATTTGCCGCCAGCAGGGGTCGAACCTGCGACCTTGGGCTTATTAGACCCACGCTCTAACCGACTGAGCTATGGCGGCCGACGGAAAACGCCGCCGCGAGGGTGATCACAAGAGCGATAGATTTCATTGGAACTGCGGGCTTCGTTCGTTCAATTCGCCTCTTTTCCTTGCTCCAAATGCTCTTTTCGCTCACACATCCGTGCTCTCGATCGTCACCGTCTGGTCTCCGGCCTTTGCATTCTGGTAATCCGACGCCGAGAGGCATGTGATCCGTTTTCCGTTCGAACGCACTGTCGTCTCCTCGAAAAGCTGCAAAAAAGTTGATGTTAGAAGCGTGAAATGTCTCCAGAATTCTCGACCTGATGAAAGTACGGATGCATGAGCAAATCGACGCCTCCGAGACGATTTTGTGGATCGTAGACGAGCACTTGCCGCAGCACATTCACCGAATCCATCATCTCCTGCCGTCTGAGCGCCTGGAATTTAAAGCAATTATGTGCATACTACAAAACAAAACCCATGACGAACCATATTTAAAACGGCGGTTCGTCTGTCCCGTTGCGTGCTCGCATTCGGATTGTAGAGGAACGAAAAGTCAATCTTTCGTTGCGATCCTTGCAAGTACGACTGAAAGTATTGGCTTCATTTAGTAAGTTCATCATGCTCTTACTGCTCCTCAGATAGCCTGACCTTATGGGTTGTGGCATACACGGTTTGCAAAAATAATCAACAAAACATACGCTATCGAATCATGTACGTCACGACAACCATAAAGATAACTTACCTGAGGAGCATTAGTCTCAACTAGTCCAATCTTGGAAAAACCAATGATCAGATGAGTGACATCATCCGACGGCTGTCGCCGAATTGACTGCGCACGGTCTCCAGAGCAGAGAATGGGCGCGCAAGTGCGCCGCGCCCAATAGAGCGATACATTGGCGCGAAATTTAAATTTTAACAGCAAAATTTGTGTTTTTTGCCAGATTAGCCACGAAAAACCGATAATTTCTCATTTGTCTCTCGATAGACCGATTGTATAGGCTATTACGAATTTTTTAAGCGCAAGAGCGTCAAATTTGGTCAAGTCGCAAATCAAATTTATCCGTTTGAAGGTTTTTGGCTAAAACTGCGTGAATTTCAGTTGCTTTTCGGTAATTTTCGCGGTTCGAGCGCTCAAAATGCTTGTATTTACGTGATTTATCATTCTCAAAAGCAATTCTGTCGGAAAACGGTCAAGAAAGCGCAAAATGAGAAGTGCGGCGATCGGCGGCGAAGGCGAAAAAGCAAAGTCGGCGAAAAATGCGCCAAAACGTCATTATTATTGGGGCACCGGACAGAAAGGGCGCGCTGTTCGCAATCTGGCCGAATTTCTAGGCCGCGAGGTAATTTTCCACTGAAAACGTGGCCTAACTTTTCAAACTCGGCCCCGAGGTCGCAAAATTTGCACTGCAAAAAAAAGTTTCTCAACAGAGCGCCATTTCTGTGCGGTGCCCCTATAATAATTCTGAGAATTAGTGTGTTTTCATGTCGAACAATCATTTTTCATCGCCTTTGACCACAAAAATCACGAAAAAACCTGCTCAATTCATGAAAACGCCATTTGGCCGCCGAGGCCACGCCCATATTGTCAGCTCTGGAGACCGTGGCTGCGTAGCACGTCAAAAGACCCGAGAATGTGTCTCAAAAGTCGTTGACCGCCAACTTTCCCCAGTACCTGACACGTGTCCTCGTACTTCTCCTTGTTCGCCTTCATCGCCGTCAACTCTTCGCTCGACGGCTTTCCGAGAAGATCGAAAATGAGTTCGATCTGGTTGGCAGTGTTCCGGCCGGCCAGGAACACTCCGCCCTTCAGCAGCTCGCCGAGCACACATCCGCACGACCAAATGTCTGAAAAATGTTTGCCGTTTCAGAAGAATTTCAAACTCTAGTCCGCCTGAATCAAAAATACTTTTCTCAAGACTAACCAATCTCGCAACCATATTTCTGTGATCCGAGCAAGAGTTCGGGCGGTCGATAGTAGCGAGTGACGTGGTAACTCGGCTGCACACTCGATTTCGACACTTCAAGCGACGAGGAGCCAAAGTCCGAGATCTTGAGAAGTCCCGAATCGGCGTTGTACAAAAGATTCTGCGGTTTGATGTCGCGGTGACAGATTTCCATCGAAAAAGAGAAAGGTTAGAGACGGGTACGGTAGGAGTACTGTACCTTGTTCAAGTGTGATTGTCCTCGAAACAACTGCCACGTAATCAATTTGACCTCCACAATGTCGAGTTGTCGCTGATTTTGTTTGAGGAACTGATGCAGGTTCAGGGGCACGTACTCGAAGATCAGCGCCAGACAGATACGGCCTGAACGAGCGAAAACCGGTGGAATTGTGTCGTCTCATCGACTAATTTACCGTCGTGCTCCTTCTGATAGCTGTACAATAGCCGGACAATGTTCTTGTGCTTGAGTCGGTTCAGTCGGCCGAGAATCTTCACCTCCAACGGCGCCCCCTTCGAGCGCGGCCACGTCTTCTTGATGACGACTTCTGCGGCCGTGGAGTCGGACCGCGCGACTCCTTTGTACACGTTACTGAACGCGCCCGAAGCGAAGAGGCCCATGTTGGACAGCTGCAGCCGGGTCTGCGAAAATTCCACTCTCCTTTGAAAAATGATAACTTTTTGCAACAAAAAAAAAATGCAAAAATCAAGGCGGCGATTACCAGTTTTCCGTCGTCGAGACGCGATGCGAAAATCTCTTCGGTTGTTCGATAAGTATTGGGCATTTCGTGGTGCCGTGCGGGGGTGATTTCGAGTAGGAATAATGATTTTTGGTAACAGAAATGCATCATATCTGTTTCAATTTCTAGACTTTTGACACGTCACGTCAAGATTTACAATACGTTTTTTCTTCGCTTTCCCGCTCATTTTCTGCATTTTCCCTTCAAAAGTGTCTTCCAGAGTTGAGCGGAATTCCGTCTGCCGTCTTCCGTCTTCCGTCTTCCGTGGATTTTTTTGTTCCGTCTTCCGTCTGCCGTCTTCCGGGAAAAAAGTTTTGTTCCGTCTTCCGTCTTCCGTCTTCCGTAAAACAACTTTTTTTCCGTCTGCCGTCTGCCGTCTTCCGGAATTTTTTCTTCTTTCCGTAAAAGAGTAATAGCTGTTCAGAAGCCATTAGCCCCGAAGAACGCGAATTTCCACGGGCAGTGACCCTGATCCAAATTTTTTGTTGCTTTAGTTATTTTTTTAAAAAAAACCGGAAAAAAAGGTTCTGCATTGACGATTTTTTTGTTCCGTCTTCCGTCTTCCGTTTTCCGTGTTCCGTAAAAAAAATTTTCTTCCGTCTGCCGTCTGCCGTCTTCCGGATTTCAAAATTCCGTTTCCGCTCAACTCTGGTGTCTTCGTTCACCTCTGAAATGTTTCCGTCAACCCTCAGACGCGATAATCTCCGATTCGCATTCTCTGCCAAAGAACAAATGTGCCGGCGGTGGCCCCAAAGTGCCTTCCCATCCGTCTCTGCGTCTCCCCCACCCCTCCACACTCCCTTTTTTCCGTCTCGTCCCCTCCGTGTCTGTTCCGTCTGACCGTCTCGTTCTCTCGCACTCTGTTTCTGTCCGTCGGGTCATCGAGTACGCGTTTTTTTGCGTTTTTATCAGCTCGGACGTCTCTTTTTTTATTGCGACCACACACGCCAGTTTTAAACGATTGCACTATTGTGGGGGCGGCCAAACACACCCTATTTTCCTCTCTTAAATCTTCGACCACGTACTCGCATACCAGTGTTGAGCGGAATTCCGTCTTCCGTCTTCCGGGATTTTTTCTTCTTACCGTAAAAGAGTAGTAGCTTTTCAGAAGCCATTTACTAGACCCGAAGAACGCGAATTTCCACGGGCAGTGACCCAGATCCAATTTTTTTGTAGCTTTAGTTATTTTTTTTCACAAAAAAACCGGAGAAAAAGGTTCTGCATTGACGATTTTTTTATTCCGTCTTCCGGGAGAAAAATGTTCTTCCGTCTTCCGTAAAAAATTTTCCTTCCGTCTTCCGGATTTCAAAATTCCATTTCCGCTCAACTCTGTCGCATACCTTTGACCGTCAATTTTGCCACGTGAGAAATTGGCCTGTATTCAAAGGTGCCGACCAGAGTTGAGCGGAAGAACTCAACGTAAGAAGACGGAAGAATTTTTATCTTTTTCAGAAAATTTTTTCATGAAATGTGATCAACTGACGAAATGTAGAGCAAAGTGAACTCTGCTCATAGAAAAATAATTGTAAATTTAGCTTTTCATACAAAAAAGTTATTCGAGTTGTTGCGTGAAAATGTCCTTCCGTCTTCGGTTAGCCCTTAACTTTTTTGTATGAAAAGCTAAATTTACAATTTTTTTTATAAGCAGAGTTCACTTTGCTATACATTTCGTCAGTTGATCACATTCCATGAACAAATTTTCTAAAAAAGATAAAAATTTTTCCGCGCAACTCTGGTGCCGACATTCCATTGTCAGGTCTGAAATGAAAGTGCTCGTTGTTCAATTTCATGTTTTTTTGAAACAGCCCCCCCCCCTCCAAATTCGTGTTTCCTTTTCGTTACTTTTCGATCACCACAACGTTTGGAAATCAAAGTTCTCCATAAATATGAACGGGCCTTTGAAGTTGCTTCCTTGATTTTTAGCAAAAATCTTCATTCCGCCTTCTAGTGTTCCCCCCAAATAAAAGTACAATTGCATTGTGTTCTTGAAATTGAGAGTCAGGTGAATGTGACGTTTCATAGTTTCCAGTCCCCCGTAGCCTTTGCCGAGCTGTGATGTAGTCGAATTAGTTTCTCGATTCTGATTCTCAATTCATGCCCGCCGGCCTTCTAATTAGTCATGTGTGGGTGTGTGTGGTGAGCAAACCCCTGATTATAGTACGATTGGGCGACTCTCTCACCCTCTTTCTCATTTTCAAATTCGCCATGGCAACCGCCCACTATAGCTAAACCCCCTCATTTCATAATAGACGCGTCCATACATTCTCAATCCTAGTTTGTAAACACTTTTGCAGTCAGAATGGGCGCCAGACAATCCGCAGAGACACCGAAAGCATCATCATCGGGTACGCACCTTTTTTGAGATTCTTCTAATTGTCTTTAATTCAGGAAACTCATCGTCGCTGAAAAGACAATCGGCCGAAACGCCGAACGAATCGGCAAAGAAGAGCGCAAAGATTGAGAGAACTTTCGAGGTTCAGGAGGACGAAGAGATTGTGATGAATAGTAAGTTTTCGGGGAGAAAGTGGGGAAAATTTGAAGAAAATGCAGGTGTTTCAGACAACACAAAATCGGTGGAACAGGCCGACGAAGAGGAGGAGGAGGAATTTGTGGAGGAGGCTCCGAAAGTTGAAGAAGTGACGAAGACGGAGGAGGAACAGAAGGAGATCGAGGAGACGACTGTAGTCGTTAAAGGAGTGAACGGAGAAGAAGAGGCTGTGGTCGAGGAGAGCGCAGAGAAACTGATCAGTGAGTTCCTTTATCCCAATTCACGGTCTCCAGAGCTGACAATATGGGCGTGGCCTCGGCGGCCAAATGGCGTTTTCATGAATTGAGCACGTTTTCTCTGATTTTTGTGGTCAAAGGCGATGAAAAATTATTGTTCGACATGAAAACACACTAATTCTCAGAATTAATGACGTTTAGGCGCATTTTTCGCCGACTTTGCTTTTTCGCCTTCGCCGCCGATCGCCGCCTAAAAACCGCACTTCTCATTTTGCGCTTTCTTGACCGTTTTCCGACAGAATTGGTTTTGAGAATGATAAATCACGTGAATACAAGCATTTTGAGCGCTCGAACCGCGAAAATTACCGAAAAGCAACTGAAATTCATGCAGTTTTATCCCAAAACCTTCAAACGGAAAAATGTGATTTGAGACTTGACCAAATTTGACGCTCTTTCGCTTAAAAAATTCGTAATCTCGCCTGTACAATTGGTCTATCGAGAGACAAATGAGAAATTGACGGTTTTTCGTGGCTAATCTGGCAAAAAAACACAAATTTTGCTGTTAAAATTTGAATTTCGCGACAATGTATCGCTCAATTGGGCGGGGCGCATTTGCGCCCATTGTCAGCTCTGGAGACCGTGCAATTGGTCTTCTTCTTGAAGTCAAAAATGACACGAACAGTTTCAGTCTCAAGATTGTCCTCTTCGAAACAGTACAAGTTTTCCCTTTTTTGGCTTCATGCCAAGCGCCCCTCCTTCTCTCTCTCTCTCTCTCTCTCTCTCTCTCTCTCTCTCTCTCTCTCTCTCTTTCTCTCCGGCTGGCCCCTCTCCGGTGGTGGTCGCTTGCAAACTGTCGACGCGGTGCCACGGAGGAGGGCGCACACACACACACAATCGATACAATATCTGTCGGTTTCCGAGCAGCCGCCCGTCTTTGTCGGAAACATTCAAATCTACGCGCCGTCTTCTTTTCGTACAGTTTGTTGAGATTCGCTCGCAGTTTCTACTTCTAATCTTGTCGTTTTCTACCTTTATGCCGCGTCGAAAGTTTAAAAAAAAACCCGCAAATCTCGCGGATTTTGCAGTCCAAAGTGGGCAGAAATTTGCGGGAAAACCGGGATGCGAACAGTTGAAACGACTGCTACCGTACACCATAAAACTACGGTATTTTTTGAAAAAATTTAAATTTCTCGACAATATTTGCAATTTTTTTCAAATTTCTTGTGTAAATTTTTCAACCGAATTTTTTTCGAAAAAAAATTTAAATTTCTCGACAATATTTGAAATTTTTTTCAAATTTCTTGGGTAAATTTTTCAAAAAAATAAAAAAAATAATAAATTTAAATTTCTCGACAATATTTAAAAAAATTTTCAAATTTCTTGGGTAAATTTTTCAACGGTATTTTTTTGAAAAAAATTTTGAATTTCTCGACAATATTTGGAATTTTTTTCAAATTTCTTGGGTAAATTTTTCAACGGTATTTTTTTGAAAAAAAATTTAAATTTCTTGACAATATTTGAAATTTGAAAAAAATTGTGTTATTTCGACACGTTTTTAAACGTGTTTTTTTCCCCCATCTTTTCCGTTTTTTTCAGTGTTTGCTTAAAACGTGTCGAAATAACACGCGGTCTCGAAGCGAACGCAAGTACGGTAGCAGTCGTTTCAACTGTTCGCACCCCGGTTTTCCCGCAAATTTCTGCCTACTTTGGACTGCAAAATTCGCGAGATTTGCGGGTTTTTTTTAACTTTGGACGCCACATTAAGAAGCCCCCCCCCCTCCAGTCCATAACTTTTTTCAAAAAAATCGCACATACCCCTACGAGCGCTCAAAATAACGGAAATCATCTGGAGAATATAAAACCATTACACTAATTCTCAATTTTCCAGACGCTCCGTCCTTAATCGCTGTGGAGGAGAAGCCGAAATCGGAAAAAGAGGAAATTTGGTCGGAGGAGGAGCCGCAGACGAACGGAGCCGTCAAAGAGTGGGAAGAGCCGAAGAGCACCGATTCGGAGGAGAAACATGAGAACGAGAAGGCGGAGCCGGCTGCTGACCAATAGGAAAACGTGAATTTATGTGAAAAATCTCTTTTTCCAGCCATAAAAAAAGTGTTGCATTCAAAAATTCAAAATTTTCGATTGTCTCTTCTCCCATTCATCTGTTTTCATTCCCTCGAACATTTCTCTTTTGCCCTCCCAATTTTCATCGAAAAATGCTCTCATAATCCGAAATTGTTTCCAGAAATTCTCGCATTTTATCCAATAAACGTATTTAACTTAGCTCATTCCATTAAATTGTTTTATGTTTTGGTTCTGCGATCCGTTCAATTATCAATTGTCCAATTTTGAAATTGTGCTTCTTTAAAGTATCATTCTTCTTTTCAATTTTAGAGTTTTCGTACTGCGAGAGATGCCACCAAAACGCAGGAAGGAAGGATCTTCACGCCCGCACGAGATCAATTTGGTGAGTTTGAAAAAAAAAACGTTTTTCTTACTAGACGAATAGAGGCTTTGGGTGTGTCTATGCGAGATTTTCTCTTGTGTCCCATCGTGCTTTACAAAAGGAGTGTTAGAATCTCGGGTTACTGTAGAATAACAATTGAGCTCACACTTTTTATGTCAAACTTCAGTCCTCTTGGGTAATTGAGTGGATGAATAGGAAGAGTCTCAGGAGTACTGTACCTACAGTAACCTCTGATTATCAAGCCTTTTATAACTCTGATTAAACGACCGGAAAACTCTGGGACAAGACAATCCTGACAAATCCTCAAAACTGAATGAAATTGCGTCGCTTGGCGCCCCCTTTTGCACGTCAAAGGCGTCAGTCGTGGTGGCTTGGCGCGTATCCGGTTACTTCAGTTCATCTTGTACTTGACGTGTCTCTATGCCGCGTCCAAAGTTTCGGAAAAGCCGCAAATCTCGCGGATTTTGCATTCCGTTATTTTGAGCGCTCGTTGGGGTACGTGCGATTTTTTTGAAAAAAGTTATGGACTGGAGGGGGCTTCTTAATGTGGCGTCCAAAGTTTAAAAAAACCCGCAAATCTCGTGAATTCTGCAGTCCAAAGTCAGCAGAAATTTGAGGGAAATCCGTGGTGCGCTCAGCTGAACGAATGTTACCGTACACCATAAAACTACGGTTTTTTTTTTGAAAAAATTTAAATTTCTCGAGAATATTTGAAATGTTTCATATTTCTTGAGTGAATTTTCAAAAAATACCGTAGTTTTATGGTGTACGGTAACACTCGTTCAGCTGTGCGCACCCCGGATTTCCAGCAAATTTCTGCCGACTTTGGACTGCAAAATCCGCGAGATTTGCGGGTTTTCCGAGACTTTGGACGTGTCTCTAGACTTTGGGGAACGGATCGTTTGCAGCCACCCGACAAATTGTTTAAAACTTTGCGAATTGCAGGACAGCGACTCGGACTCGGACGCGGACAATGTGGTCCTTGTGGGCGAGCACCGCGGTCCCTCGAGACGCCGTGAATGGTACAACATTTTCGGAGGCCAACGGAACGGACACGACAATGTTGTGGGAAATAACGCCGTTGAGCAGGGTAACTGAAGAAATATGCAACATTCTCTTTCAAAAACTGAATTTCCGTTCATTTCAGAAATCAAAAAAGAAGACGATCCTGACATTCAACTCATCAGCGGTGAGTTTCATTTAATTGAAAACCCATTGAAACACAATTGTTTTTGCAGTCACCGAAGGTCCACTTCGTCCGCCTCCCGGTAAGAATTCTCTTTCAAATTTAGACAAAATTCTAAAAAATTTTCAAACTTTGCAGTCCCGGTAGCTCCATTTCGTCATCGTGCTCCCAGTAAGAATTATCGTTTTTTTAGTAAAAATTAGAGAAGAGGGGCTCTGGGTGAGAAATAGCATGGAGAAACGAGAGAGTGCGAGAGAAACGAGAGAGAGAGACAGCGAGCGGAATTCCGCTTTCCGCCTTCCGCAAAAAACATAATATTTATTTTTTTTCTTAAAATATACTGCTCGTTTTTTCATTAAAAATCTCAGAAATGAGTGTCTGGGTGTTCACCACAAGTATATACGGCTTTTTGAAGATTCTCTCTTTGATTTTCTGTCCAAAAACTGACTTTGACGCCAAAAATTCAATAGCAGCTTCCGCCTTTTCAAAAAATCGATTCCGCTCAACTCTGGCGCTAAGTCATCCGTTCTCTGTCGGCAAACATGAACGGCGATGATCAAATTTGTCTGTTTTTTCCATGCTCTGTCTCTGATGGACTTATTCAGTCGGCTAAAAAACTAGTTTCTTACCCAAAAAATTCTATTCAAATGAGGAAAAAACTTGAGAAAAAAAATGTTTTTTCCTTCTGTTCGTTGCGAGACCCTCGCTATAAAGGCATGCGCCTTTAAACAATTTAAATGACCGCCCCAAAAATTAACTGTATTTGTCTGGAGGACATTTGAATTATTTTTTAAAGGCGCATGACTTCATAGCGCGGGTCTCGCAACGAACAGCAAGAAAAATCCTCTTCCTCGGGGTTTTTTCCCAGTTTTTTCCTCTTTTGAATTGGGTTTTTTTTCAGTAAAAAACCAGTTTTTTACCCAACTGAATAGGTCCATGACCGTCTCTCGTCGTTTCGTCACCCAGCGCCCCGCGTAACTCTCCACAATTAACGTTTTTGTAATTTTCAGAAGAAGAGCTATTCTACAATCTGACAAGTCAACAAGGAAGTGAGTGAAATTAAGACGAATTAATTATTCATAGGAATGATTCGTTTAATCCCATATTATAGCCATTAAGGACGTTGGGAGCCGGACCTCGTTTCATTTTTGCGTACCAGTGCCATGGTTATAATATGGGATCTTAAACAAAGTTAAAATCAATTCAATTTTGCTTGCAGATCATGCGAATCGAGCTCCACCGGCAGGTAATTGAAGTTAAACGAGTGGTGCACATTTTCTGAAATCAACTTCCAAGCGTCCCTTCTTCCATCAAAATATATTGATTTCAAAGCGCATTCCATCATTCCTTTAAAACAATAATAATTGCAGAACAAGCAGCAGCTCGATCAGCTCCGCCACAAACAGGTAAATAAATTAAATAAATTATTGATTATTAAGCGACTTGATTGAAATTCTCAGACCACGAACGAGTTCGAGCGCAGCAAAGTCGAGTGTTCCAGAGTATTCTTCACGACATTGAAAGCAGTACGTTCAATACAATAAAAAAATGACCTTAAAAACGTGTTTTGCAGATGCGAGAACTCGTGGTCGAATGAGTAGTTCACGCTCAGTAGACACCGAATCTCAGCGAGGTAAATCTACAGAAAACGTTGTTATTATACACTTTGGAGAAACATTTCAGATATGATAGAACTTCGAGCTCACCGCAGTCGGCTGGCACAAATTATGAATAATGTAGAAGGCGAAGAGGGTAAGCAATGTGATAATTGCGTTGACGACAAAATTTATTTTCAGGTTTGAGATTTCCGAATCGGCCAGCTGGTAACTTTTGGTTAAAAGAAGAGTTTTGTAAGTGCATGTTTTTTCAGAACGTCGAGAAGGTCAATCGGTTCCGCCTCAACTAGGTAAATGAAGAAAAATTGAATTTACGAGCAGAAATACAGGGTGGCCCATAAGTAGCACTGCCGCTGTGCCAAAACATTCTTATGCTTGAGCCAACTGTGCTGAAACACCGAGAACAGTCTGATATTTGAGATATTGGAGTCAGTAGAGCTTCTAATCAAAACGGACTATACTTATGGGCCAGCCTGTACTATTTCTTAGATTTCGGTAATCGAGCTCGACCAAATGGCCGGCCAGGTAAAAAATAACACTTTTTAAAGCCTCATATCTCAAAAACCATTGATTATTTCAAAAAGTTGTCAATTGCAAAAATGTTGCAAATTTTACGCTCTACAACTTTGCAATTGGCAATTTCTTTCCAAAACGCTTTGTTCTCAAGTCGTAGACGTTTTCCTAGACGGCACAAACCCATTGCAGCTCGTCGTTTCGTTCGTCCCAATTTCTCATTCAATCCGATTCCGTTTCCGCAGCCAGCATACCATCCATCTAATTGTGACTCCCAAACTGTCTCATTTTGTTAATACACACTTTTTTCAGCTCCATTCCGTCACCGCCCACAACGTCATCCGTACCTTAATAGTAAGTTCGTTTTCTTACAGTTCTCACACTCTGCATCCTCATAATTTCTGTCATTGCGACGATTTTTTGAATGCAGGGCTCGGCAATTAGTCAAAAAGCCCGGGCTTTCGGGCTCTGATCCACATATATCTCGGGACCAGATGATCCGATCGTGTTGAAACTTGGTCCCAATGGTCATCAATCCATGTCCAAGCTGTCCAAGTGGTTCAAAAGTCCAGCTTGGCCAATTGCCCAGCGCTGTTTAAGTGAACAAACTGATAATTTGTGTTCCCAAGTTTCCAGCTCCTCCGGCATTCGGAATGGCCTCGTTTCATCATCCCGTTTTCAGTGCGCTCCCCCCTAATCCGTCGAGAGGTCGCTCACACTTAAAATCATTATTTTTCCAATCAACATTTTGTTTCAGAATGTGCGAGACCAGTTCCACCAGCCGATCCTCGTAAGTTTGAAACATGAATTTCCAAAAGATTTGCATCTTCAGCGGCTGCGCGAGTTCCAACGGTTGCAGCGGCTCCAGCCGATCCGCCAGCCAGTAATTATTCATCTAAATGTTTTGCAAGTTTATCTGACACTTTTTCAGACGTCCCGATTCCCGCTGCAGTGGCTCCGGCGGCTCCAAGTGCTCCAGTCGGAAATTCGTCGAGCATTCGAATTTGTACGCACTTTTCCCGTGTTCTCCAGATGATTTTTTTTGACGCGAATCGTGTGGAGAATATGACAAGAACTGTTTCAGTGATCAACGAGGGCGTCGTGAGCATCGAAGGCCAAGGACCCGACGATGAGATTGTGGTGAACGGCGTCGGCACCGACAATATCCGTTTGTCGATCAGAAAGAGACGCAGAGGTATCGGATATTGTAGATTCGAGTTGTTGAAATTGATCCGTTTTATTTTCAGAAGGACAATAGACAATCAACAATATATGCATCTCAAGGACACATTTGACACATTTCGAATATTGCCTATTAATGAACTTTCCCGTATTCCACCCAAAAGCCGCTTTCAAAAATGCTGTTATTAACGTTTAAATCCAGCCAATATTGCCCCTTTCAACTGCTGAGCCACGTGATGCAAACGCGCTCCAATCCAATCTGGACGGCACTACACAATTACCGTTTCATAATACTTTTCAATGAATGCTTTGGGTTACCAGTCAATTTTGTCTACACAATGTTTATGATATAGGAATTTGACAGCAATCTCGCTCTATCGCAATCCCACGTGAACAGGCCGTCTCGGATCCTGGTCCCGCAAAAACATGCGTCACGGAGAAGCTCATCGACAAAGATTCATGACGATTCGCAGCGCACATCGAAAGAAATGCCTGTACAATATCTATTCATAATTCATCTCAATCAGTTCCACTTCATTATACTCGTCCCTCGTCGTCGTTTCTTTCGTAGAACTCGTCGTTTTTCCGTCGTTCTCCTCCGCATTCACGATTTTGTCGGTAGTTTCCGTTTTTTTGTGTCCTCCCTGGCTGTGCGCCTTCCAGAGTTCGCTTCCGATCCACCTGGCACTACAGGCTCCCGGAGCATCGGTGCTCGTGTTGCTCGCTTTGAAATTGAGCAGATTTCCCGAGAAATACACCGCCCGACTGCAAACTATTGATGGTTTTTTTTGTGTTTTTCTCGCATCCCCCGGATGATTTCCGTTATGGGGCTATTCAGCGTATGTTTGTTTTCCGTTATTTTCGTTTTTTTACATCGCTGAATTGGATTTTTTGACGTAAAAAAACGAAAAAATCGGAAAACAATCATTTTTTTCACAGCCTGAATAACCCCATAATGGGGCTATTCAGGGGGATGAAAAAAAATGATTGTTTTCCGTTTTTTTCCCTATTCAGCGATGTCAAAAAATGGAAAAAAAACGGAAAGAAATGCATCGCTCGCAGCGTTTTTTTCCGGCGGGTCTCGCAGCGATTTCCCGGACGTGAAGCATGCGGCTACTGTGAGAGACGTTTTATGAGTGGATTTACGAGAACGGGCAATTTTTTTTTCTAATTTTTCAGCGAAATTGCCACGTTTTCACGCTATTTTGAACCGATTTTCACCGAAAAGCTCAATGTTTTGAACTATATGACGAGGCACTCAAAACTATAAATAAATAAAAAAGAATTCAAGCAAAGTCGGTCGGAAATAGCGGTAAACGTGGCAATTTCGCATCAGTTACCATAACAGATGAATAAGAACTGAAATTCCGTTGAAAATCGGTTGAAAATAGCGGGAAAACGTGGCAATTTCGCTGAAAAATTAGAAAAAAAAATTGCCCGTTCTCGTAAATCCACTCATAAAACGTCTCTCACAGTAGCCGCATGCTTCGCGTTCGGGAAATCGCTGCGAGACCCGCCGGAAAAAAAACGCTGCGAGCGATGCATTTCTTTTCGTTTTTTTTCCATTTTTTGACATCGCTGAATAGGGAAAAAAACGGAAAACAATCATTTTTTCATCCCCTGAATAGCCCCATTATTGCGAGCGCTCGTGGGAGCATTTATTCGGAAAATCGTCGAGACATTCATTCACACGAGAGAACTCAAAAGAACGGAGAAGAAAAGAACTCACTCCATCGTCTCCGTTCGCCACTCCGCCTGATCACGAACGCATCGAATTTCGTCGTTTCTCGTCGCATTGTGAGTCAATTGAATGTGCAGCGAGAATGAGTACTGCAAAAGAAAATATGAACAATGATATGTCGAAAAAGAAGCGCGTACCGGATCGCCAATGCCATAACGACGAAGGGGTTTGAGTTTGGGCCGAAATGAGTTCAGATTCGGGAAAGTCGGATACGAAAGGTCCGCCGTCGTTTCGGCGCATTTGTCGTATTTTCGGAGGCGTTGCTCGTAGCTGAAAACGTTTAGAAATGTGCGTTCCTAAAATGAACAAAGAATTCAACCGACATGGGATCACTTTGGAAAATCTCCAGAAAGTAGCAAAACGTGTGAATGCCCGGAGTATTGTATTTCATGTCAATGTCCACAGTGAAATTGTAGAATCCGGCAGAGATTCCGACGAAAAAGAGCAATCGGAACGGCGGCCAAATCGATATGTTCATGGTTTTACGCCAAAAATGTTGACAAAGTTGAGGAATGGTTTTTTTTTTCAGAATTCGAGTTTTTCCGATAGAAAAATGTCACGTATTTCAGTTTTTGGAGACAACATTTCGCAGTTATGTAAAGGAAAATGCAGTCCATCCGAGTTGTTCGCTTGAAATCCTGAAAGGGCGACGCACGTGTGTTTATTCAGAACTCCCGCCATAAATATTTGAATTTATTTTCGAAGGGCGCTACGCACCGATTCAAAATTTTCGTTTGCCGCCTTTACGCCGGCGTACGCCCATTGGCTGCGTGTCGCCCCTGTGCAAACACCGTTCTAGATATTTTGCGTACTTGGCACCAGATACTACGCAAATTTTAGGCCAGCTGTTTATTTATTCAAATTAGAGAGTGCGAGATTGAAGAGACGCCGACGATGTTCGGTAGGGCGCGCTTGCATGCGCGTAACAGTTCGAACGCTCGTGCGGCGACCGAGACGTCCGTTTTTTATCGACTTTTCTGGCCAAACAGTTGACTACTATACACATTTTTTATGTAATCTGAATCTGCGCGTCTTCCAGCGTCAAAATCTGATCCTTATCCGGCACACAATGACCGATTCGGCCCTTTTCGGTGATATCGATTGCGGCGGAGAGCAAAACGCTGAATAAAAGATTGATAAGTTAAAAAACCGGAAAAAAAACGACGTACTGCGCGTTCCACTTGAGATAGACAGTTTTGAAGTGAAAACGATGGCATTTGATTTGACGATCTCGTGTGCACGTGTGCGAAATGTCAAAGTAGAATTCGTAGTCGATCTGAAAAAAACATTTTTTCAAATTTTCGCTGTTGTTTTGTGTGTTTATGCGCACTCTTATTACTGGGGCACCGGACAGAAAGGACGCGCTGGCCGAATTTCTTGGCCGCGAAGTAATTTTGCACTGAAAACGTGGCCTAACTTTTCAAACTCGGCCCCGAGGTCGCTCAATTTGCACTGCAATAAGAGTTTCTCAACAGAGCGCCATTTCTGTGCGGTGCCCCTATAATCAACACGACTGAATTAGCAAAAGCAGCCCTGTCACATTTTTTTTGGAAAACGCCGTACATCTCCGAATCCGTCGCCGTCCGGATACATTGGATACGTGTGTCTTCTGATCGTGTGCTCATCGCCTCGGAAGCATTGATCTATTGTGCCCAAATAGTCGTCGTCACTGCAAAATTCGCGTTTGTTTGGCGGAAATAAAATCACGAATTTTTGAAACAAACGTTTTGAACGACATGTACGAATCCAGATCGTTTTCGTAAATGTCAATTTTAGCGCACCACGGAGTCTGGCGCACGTATCGACACGTCAAATCGTAGGCGAACGAGACGGAAGCGGGCGCCGTCCAGTTGGTTGGAGCCCATTGGGAGGAGACGGAAAAAATGAGGAAAAGTGCGGCGAACGGATAGAATATTGCACGCATTTCAGCGGAAATGAAACAACAACGTGATGTTTTTTAGAAGTAGTGCAAGCAATTGGAAAAACACGATACAATTTAGAAAAATCGCTGAAAAACTCAATAGAGTTTGTGTATTTTACTTTTTTCTATCATTTATTTTAGTATTCTTCGAGAAAATCCCAGTCTTTTTAGCATTTCTAGATTTCCTCGTTTTTCGAATTCAAACTACCGCCAAAAAACATCAGTTCTTGTGCGGTGGAGCGCACTTGCATCCCGCATGCCTCTTTCCGTCGGCAACATTTCTCCGTCGTTTTTCTCGATTTTCGCCCAGTTCAACCTTTTTCTGGCGGGCTTCCACACAAAAACAGAGTTCCAATGCGATTTAATAGTTTTTCGCGTCAAAATCCACGACGATTTATCGATTTTTCGTGCTTTCAGGCTCGTTTGCAGCAATGTGGCGTAATTTGCCGAATTTGGTGTCGTCGGCGCTCAGGTAAGGAAGTTGTTTGTGATTATGACGTATTCTCAATGTTTTAGAAGCCAAAATGTGGCGGCGACACGTTTTTCGAGCGCAATGAAGCAGTTTTTCGACGACGAGGCGAATTTCGGAAAAGCCGAACTGCGTCCTAAGTATCGGCCGGGCAGATCGTGGACTGAAGACGAGCTGCGACTCAAATCTAACTCGGATTTGCATAAATTGTGGTGAACATTTGAATTTTCGGGAGTTGTTAGACAAGTTTCGAACATTTTGCAGGTATGTGTGCTTGAAGGAGCGAAACATGCTGATAACGATGAAAAAGGCGCACATTTCACGTGCGCGCAATCTGCCGAACCCGGAAAGAATCGATCGTGTACAGGAGGTGGGCGAATTGACGGAAAAGTTGAAAGTTTTTAATTTTTCAAGTCTTTCAACACTATTAATAGCTCAAGAAACTTTGAGATGCTTCTAAAAAATATTAGAAAAATGGACAGATTTAAAAACAATTTACAAATACTTCCAGACTATGGATCGCATCGAATCTGTCGTTCACGAGCGAAACGACGCGGTCTTCCGGCTGGAAACTGGCGAATCGGCGACTCCGAGGGACCGGACCATCACTTCGTTCGCCGGTTTCACCTACAAGTCGGTTTTGTGAAAGACAAATTTCTGCTAAAAATGCGACCGTTTTGCCGATGTTTCCCATAAAAATCGTAATTCTTTGCAGAAAACCATCAAAAGAACACTTTGGGCCGCCGAAGTCGGGCGAAAAAGAGTACGAAACGCCGTTTTTGGACGAAGATGCGTACGTGATGCAGAAATTGTGGAACGAGAAGGAATTCATGAAGAATAGAGACAGGTATGTGGAGTCGTTTAGACAAGAGATGGATACGAGCGGGTTTTAAGCAGAAATTTATTTGCCTTTCCTAATTTTTCAAAAATTTGCAGGTTGGACGACGAGAAGAGACGGGCGGAACGAACGGAAGACATGATTCGGTTCCGACGAGGCGCCCCGCGGGTCTTCAATCGATAATTCGTCGCAAAATTTTTTTCTAGACATTCTAGGCTGTTTTGCTCATTTTTGTTGTTTTTCTTCTGTTTTTAGTTCTATCGAAAAGCAGTTTCTTCCCTATTGTTCTCAATTTTTGCTGAGGTTCTCAACCCTTTCTTAATACTTTCAATCGATTCTCAGCACTTCCTAAACAGACTTTTTGCAGGGAATAATGTCCGCTTGATGCGAATTTCCCAAAATGAGTTACAATTTGAACGAGAAGCAAAGAGCGGTGCGAACCGAAAATAATGTCAACGAATTCGACGAGAGACACCGAAAAGTGAGCGCTTTTTTGACGAACATTTTTTACTGTTTCAAAAGGCTTTTGGAATGGCACCTATGTGATTCGAAAGACGAATTCACAGGGAATCCGATTTTTGCTGAGAAAAAATCGTTTTTCTAACATTTAATCTGCAGTAGGTCGGGTCGAGTGGATCGAGTGACAACAAAAGTCGCCCGAACCTTCTGAATCCTACCGCAGATCACGTGTTAAAAAAAAGAATTTTGCACTGGAATCCTGAATTTTCTAGACAATTTCAGAGTGTGAAATGATCGATTACTGCTAGAAAATACTAAAAAGGCCGAAATAAAATTGATTGTTTAAAAAGAAGAGAGCACAAAACCGAAACGTTTCCGACATTCCAGCAAGGAATCGACGCGGCTCGAGCACTCGCAAATCAGTACAGAAGTCGAATTACGGAAAGTAAGGACTCGAATCAGCGACAAGCAGCCAGAGAACTCTCCAAGTACGCTTTTGAGAGAAACATTGAAAGGGAAATTGGGAAATTTGACTGAACAATGACTAGAAACTACGATTTTTCAATGAAATTATTTCGAGCACTTGATATTGCTTTTTTTTAGAAAATTTTAAAGAATACATATTTGTGAAACTGAAATTTCATTTCTCTTGCAGATATGTTCGAACAGAGCTCAAAGACGAGCCCAACTCGTTTAGCGAGGCATTTTTGAATGCGATCGACGGAAGAACCGACGGCGCGAATCAGGTGGGCAATTTTTGCAAGAACATCACTGAGCAAATGCAATTTTTTGCAGAGCGCCGTGTACAACTGCGTGAAAAGCGCGTCGATCGACCAGAAAAGGGCGGGAATCTATTTGATTGTGTGTCTGGTGGAAACACACGCCGGAAATGTGATCAGATACTCGAACTACCTGCTCAAAATGCTCAACACGGGCGGAATGGACGAGGAGACGATCAAATTGGCGTCGAAAGCGTTGGCTTTCCTCATTGCGGTCGGTTTTTCATCGAAAATTTGAACGGAAACACACTCGTCCTTTTATTTACACCGATCCTTGAACATTTTACTGTTTCACAGTAAATTGTTCCCAAAATTGCTCAAAAATAGGAATGTTTAACTTGCGCCGTGGTACTGTATTTATCAGTTTTGTACGGCGCACTTTCAGAACTGCAAATCGTACGCGGCGGAGCTGGTGGACCGGTGCCTGGACCACTGCCAGGAATGGCTTCTGCCCGTCACTCCGATCGCGTCGAACACGAAAACGTCGGCGGAAGTGGACGAGAACCGACGGCTGGCGGCGGCGCACCTCTCGCGGGAACTCGCCCTCGCCACGCCGACCGCCTTCTTCCTCCGCGCCAATCTCTTCTTCAAGTACATTTTCAACGCGGTCCGCTGCAAGAGCCCCGCCGTCCGAATCGCCGCCATCGACGCCCTTCACGTCGTTTTGACAATCGTTTCGCAGAGGGAAACCAAGCACAAAACTGAGTGGTACAATGTGGGTTGTTGCTAATTTTTTGAATAATGCTCTTCAAACAGCCATTTGTTTGTAAATATTTTTAAAAATTCTGGCGAACGTACATTTTATGGCGGATTTACCTTTGAGAACTTCACTGCGACTAATAGTAAATTTACTGGAAAATTCCATTTCCTTTTGAGAATTTGGCGAAACTGTACATTTTTAGCAAAAAACTAAAATGAAATGTTTTAGGAATGTTTCCGGGAGGCGTTCAGCATCCGTCCGGTGCCCAATTCGAAAGAGGAGCTGGACCGCTGGCACTCGGTGGCTCTCATCCTCAACGAGCTGCTCCGCATTGCCGATCAGTCGTTCGAGCTGGTCCGATGCGAATCCTCGCAGTTTATCAAGCAGAAGTTTTTGCGGGAGGACGAGGAGGACGGCGTCGAGTGGATAGCCCTTTCAAAGTTGGTTTTTTTTTCAAAAATAGTTTCCGTTTCAAAACAACGTTACAAACCATTTACAAGCCATTTGCGTAATGGTTAAGCAGCGGAGAAACAATGAGCGACAGTGCACTGATTTTCAGACGTCAAATAATCGTAGAGAGTGCGACGGCGCGTCAGTTGGTCCGCGAGAATTTCGAGAAAATTCTCGACACGGTCCGCGAGATCATTCCGCTCGTCAATCGCAGTCAGAAGCAGCCGACCTACATTTTCCTCAACACTGTCCTCATGCAACTGTTGCCACGTATTTGCGCTTTTCCGCAATGCGATCGCACTTTTCAGACGATCGCATTCGAAACCGCCTTTTCCATGTGAGTTTTTTGAACATTTTCGAGCGAATGCTCGTTAACAATGGTTTTATTTGACTGCAATCGCGCTCTGTTGAGAAACTCTTTTTGGAGTACAAATTGCAGTGACCTCGGGGTCGAGTTTGAAAATTTAGGTTGTTAGGTCCTTATAAATGTCTGAATATCTTCCTATTGTCATTGTCCTTCACGTTTAACTCAATTAAGCCTACTAGAATACCTGTACCGAGCCCGCGAATCGTTAATGTCCAGATTGCCTGGAGTTCCCCTTATGGCGCCGCAATGTGGACATTTTCGACTTTACCGCGACTGTAATAAACCGTTAGGTCTGTATAACTGTCTAAATTTCTTCTATGGGTCATATTGGTCATACATGTTTAACAGAAAATGTTTTGGCGTTTTTCTATTATAAGATTTGAAAATACTTTTTTTTGCAGTCTTACACGAAACGCGGTGGCCGCTCCGGCGATAGGAATGATGATGCTCTCGAATCCGGACGTCCACAGTCCGCACATTAACAAAACGATCACTTATGTGTCGCAAGCCATCAGGTATCTTTTTTTTTTTTTTTGAGAAAAAAATTTTCTCGGAATATGGCAGTCTCAAAGAGTCACCAAAATTTTGTTGCTGCCCCGAATCGGAACTGATACAAATCACAACAAAAGCACAACCAAAAAATTTAACATCCCGCACGTGAAGCACTTGACTCGTTCCATCTCGAATAGAATGAAACATCGAGAAATGACGATATTTTCTGCAGAAAACCGCAACATTCGGACATTCTCGACAGCTTCTTCACCTTCCTCTTCCTTTTCGTCGACGCCTATCACGAACAAGTGACTGTGCAGATCAAATCGATAATATCGCTGCTGATGGACATCCCACTGTCCCGCTCGCTCGCAAACGTGCTCAAAATGATCATGATGCGCATTCCGAAGCTGCGTCTGAACGTGCAGGACGGCGTGATGGCCTCCGTCTACCTCACGCTCACCGGCTGCGTCATTCCGCCCAAATCGGAGCCGACCGGCCGACCGCCCAGTCCTAAAGCCATTCTCGCGAAAGCGGAAACGGACCCGAAAGAGCTTCAACGCATCGTGCTGGCGGTCGACGTGCTCGGCGAGTTCTATTTTTCGCGCGGAGCCCTCCAACGGATCATGCAGTACGTGGCCGACTACTATCTGACGGCCGAGAACGTGGAAATCCGTCTGGCGGCGGTCTCCTCGTGCTGCGAAATGGTCGTTCCGTTCGTGGGAGTCTACAAAAAGGTGACGACGGACAAGAGGAACAGCCTTCTGCAGACCATCTACGGAGTTCTTCGGGCAGTCTGTTCGGTTATCGTCAACGATCCGGGTGCGCTCTTTTCTTGTTACTGTGGAAGAACTGCCGAAAGAAATCGGAGCGGTACAATGGATGATGTGAAACTTTTAGCCGTCGTCAGAATCTACTGATGGATATTTCCTGCATGATCCATTGTACCGCTCTGATTTTTTTCAGAATTTATTTTTTAATAAGTAGATTTTTAGAAGTAACGTGTACATTTCTTCATTTGCAGACGTGCGCGTGCGAATGCAAGTGATCAGTTGCTTCGGTCAGATGCCCCGCCCCTTTCTGGCTCATCTGGCTCAGCCGGAAATGCTGGAAGTGCAATTCATGGCGCTGCACGACGAGAAACTCGAGATGCAGCAGGCGTGCGTGACCCTTCTCGGCCGGCTCGCCGAACTGAATCCGGCGCTCGTGCTGCCGCGGCTCCGGCTGATGCTCCTCGAAACGTTGAGCCAGATGATGCAGAGCGGACAGGCTCGACTGGAGCAGCACTCAGCCAAGATGATCGCGCAGTTGGCGAAGCAGAGCCCCAAGTTCATGAGGCCCTACGTCGGATCGCTCATGATCGCCATGATCCCGAAAATGCGCAACGACACCAAGGTATTTAAAAAAAAAAACGAACAATTCAAATATTTATTATTCGAATTCTTCGAAAAATCCACGCCTTCCATCAGTCGCCCGTCGTTCGCGATTTTTCAAAATGTCTCTTTCACGCTCTTCTTCTGCCGAATCCGTTTGATTTCTTCCGATCAAAATTTATAGAAACCCCAAAAGAGCACGAATTTTCTGTCAAACTCACTTTCATTGAGAAACCGGAAAAGAGGAAATGATTATTTCTGTTTCGAGAAAAAAATTTATTAGTTTCACAAAAGCTTGGCTTTATCTTGCTTGGCAAGGCTTTATGAGGGCGCCGATTCCGCAATTTTCTTCAACTCGTCTGCCGTCAAATCGCCCAATTTTTCGTATCCGCCGTCGTGTCCTTCGCCCACGCCATCCTGAAACGGAAACGTTCATGAAAAAAGAAACGGAACACTTTTGTAGTACAAGAGTTGACGGTCACATTCTAGAACCAACCTTTGGGACCATTTTTGACGGTTCCCGGGCCGTGTTCATGACGGTCATCGCCTTGGCCGTGTACATGGCCGTCGACGGCATCCGGGACGTCTTCTCAGACAGCTCCGAACTCGAAATGTTTTCAATCGGCGGCTCCTTCTCGTTCTTCTCCGCTTTTCCGCACGCTTTCTCTCCGTTTTCCGCCGACTTTTTCTCCGCCGCTTCGGCCTTTTTCTTCTCGACTTCCCCGGTCTCTTTGGACGGTTTTTCGGCGCTCAATGCGGGTTTTCGTGGATTTTCCGCCGACTTTGAATCGATTTTCGGGGGAATGTTCGTAGATTTATTGCTCAGCTTCTTTCTCTTGGAACAGTTGGAGAAGAGGAAAATGGCCAGCGAGCAGGAAGAGATAATGAGTTGGACACTTTGATGCGATAATGATAGCAGCTGCAATTTACTAAATCTTCAAAGAATAGGCAATAAAAAACGATCTGGAACAAAAACACATTTTTCAATGAAATTTTCAGGAAACAGAAAATAATTGTTCATCTTTTTATCCCGCTAAAAGTCTAAAACTCACTTCCATTGCGAAATTCGAATGTTTTGTTGAGAACAGGAAATAATTTGCATGAGTTGTCCTCGATTTCATCGAGAAAACGAAAAGAGATCACAGAAAATGTGACGTGATCACTTTTTTTTTTTACAGTTTCACCCGGAATAGAACGAAATTATTGAAATAACGAATGTGATCAGTGTGTGCGCTGTGAAATGAAATATTATTATCAATTTGCAGTACACGGAAGTGACGGCTCAAGTGCTGAACGCGATCAGCGAGATTTCGGTGATTGGCGGCGCGGAAATTGTGAAAAATCTGAAGCCGTTGTTCGAAAAACTCACGCACATCATCAATGATTCGAGCAGTTTGCACAAAAGAGAGGTGGGCTTATTTTTCAGGCGCATGCAAGAAAGTGATTTGCAGGCGGCACTGCGAGCGATCGGCGGAATCTGTCGTTCGACGGCGTACGTCGTCGACCCGTACCGCGACTACCCGACGCTCCTGGACGACCTCCTCCGCATCCTGAAGACGGTCATGTCGAACACGATGCGTCGCGAGGCCATCAAAACTCTCGGAATCCTCGGAGCGATCGATCCGTACACGCACAAAGTGTTCACCGGATCCGTGCAATCGGCGACGGCGATAAGCACGGCGCTCTCGTTGCCGATCACGGACACAGACTCGAAGGATCCGCGGCAGGAGATCATCCACTGGTTCAACTACGAAAAGTGCACGCTCGAAGAGTTCTACCCGGCCATCACGATCGCCAACCTGATGCTGATGATGCAGGACGAGGACTCGCAGAGCTACGCCGAGATCGCCCAGGCCATCGTGACCATCTTTCGGAGTTTGGGCGAGGCGGCGCCGCAGTACGCCGAGCAGGTGGTCCCGCGGCTCATCGAAGTGTGCCGACGGGCTACGGCCACCTCGAATCGAGCCAATCTCAGAGAGTTCTTCCTGCAGCAACTCGCCATTTTTGTGGCGATCATAAAGAAACACGCGGCGCCGTACATGCCCGCCATTTTCACTATTGTCGCCGTGAGTTTTTGTCACTTTTTAACCCGAAGAAGCGAAAGAAGCGCATTAGCTACATTTCTTTAGAGACAATGTTAAAACTGAAATGCTTTTACAGTGAAATAATATCAATTTTTGAATTGCAGGACGCGTGGAAAGAGGACATTTCTGTGAAGATGGTGGTAATCCAGGTGCTCACCGAAATGGGCACGGCCATCGGCGCCGACTTTGCCAAGTACACGTCCGAACTGATTCCGTACCTTCTGACCGTTCTGCAGACGGACAAAACCAAGGAGAGAGTGCTCACTGTCAAGGTTGGCGCACTTTTTCATTCTTGAAAAATTCAATTTCTTAAAAAACCTCATTCCGACAAGCTCCTGCAAATAGTTTGTTGCAGGTGATGGAATCGATCCGCCCGCTCTCGCACTGCATCACGCAACACCTCCACCTCGTGCTTCCGCCCGTTCTCATCATCCTCGACGACTTTTCGCTGAAATCGTCGATCCGAATGACGGCGCTGAAGACGGTGCTGCACATCGCCGAGCACACGGACATTGTGGCGTACGCGCCGAGAATGATGCAGAGTTGGCACCACAACATCTCGAACGCGGAGATGCGCGACAAACTGCTGCTGCTTTTAATCGAGATTATCCGCCAACTCGGCAAGTTTTTCGACATTTTCAAGAGAGGCGTCGACCAGAAACTGCGCGATTTCAATTTGGACAAGTGCGAGCATTACGACGTGTACCGGAAGTTGGCACAAAGGGCGCAAATGTCCAGGGATGTGATCACCTCGTCCGTATTCGCCGGTTCCAACGGCAATTTGCAGTCTGCACAGTCGATTATCAGGTTGGAATGGAAATTTTTTTTTACAGTTTCATAAAATGCTTATAGAATTTCTATCTTACATAAAAGTTAGTATTAGTTCTCGCTTCATAGGTGCGGGATGTTTGAGAAACGCCAAAACATGTTTCAACAGTCGCGGTAAAGTCGAAAATGTCCAGATTGCTGCCCCTTAAGGACACTCCTGCAATCTGGACATTAGTGGACTCCAGTGCATGTACCAGGTTTCCTCGTGGGTTCAAATGAGACAAAACTAGAAGAACATAGCCCATAGACGTAATTCACAGTTAGAACAACTTGACGCCTTACCGCTGCCAAATTTTTCTTTCGAACCAGGCCCCTCGCCTGTCCCGAACTGCCGGCGCGCAATTCAAAACACCAATGTCTCGCTCTCTCACATTTAAAAACATTTGTAATTTTTGCAGAGGATCAAATGCGGCGAACGCAGTGCTGGGAAACATGGAACTGCACGAGCGTCTGATGAATGGATCGATCGATTCGGGAGCGAGTCGGGGAGATGCCAGAGAAAGTGAATACTACGGATACGGAATGGAGGAGAAACGTATGCGCCTCTTTTTGTTTTATTAAGAATGGAGTGTACGATAAATTGAACAACACTCAGTAGATTATGTACACTAAATTAATTTGAAACTGTAATTTTTGCTGCAAAAGTTGTAGGAGAAGCGCCGGCTCCGCCCACATCGGCCCGTCCCACCAGCGAATTGGTGACCATCAAAATTTCGAAACAACGACTCAATAAAGATGTGAGTTTCCCCTTTTCTTTTTTCCGGAAAAATTTCCAGAATTTCCCCATTTCCAGCTGGTTCTTCAATGGCGAAACGAGAATTTGACGTCGAAAGACGAGTGGTTGCAGTGGATGATGAAGATTCGGATAGCCTTTCTCAAGGTACGGCAGATTTATATTCCGAAGCAAGTGAAAGTACTGCAGTTCGATAATTTTTGCAGTTTTCATGAAACTGGAAACAATTTATTGATTTTTTTTCTCGATAATGTTAGAGATATCAAGAGTTATATTAACAAAAATGATTTCAACATAATATTGCCTGCGTCTCTGCCTTTTCGCACGCTAATCGCCTCTCTCTCTCTCTCTCTCGTCCCCAGATGTTTTCTGTAAGCAATTTCTGAATTAACGCGAACCGAATCGCTCCTCGAAAATACCGAAAAAATAGTTTGTTCCCAATTAAAGAAACGAGCATTTGCAGAGTGGCAGCAGTCCGTCTCTGCGGGCGGCCTCAAGTCTGGGCGACACGCACCCGCACCTGGCCAGGGATCTCTTCCCGGCCGCCTTCATGTCCGTCTGGACCGAATTGGACTCGGACGTGCAGAACGATCTGACGGGCTCCCTGCTGCGAGCACTGGACACGGGCTACTCGGAACTCATCCAGACGATTCTGAATCTGGCAGAGTTCATGGATCACTCGGAACGCGGACCGCTTCCGATCGACCACAAAGCACTCGGGCACTGGGCCGAAATGACGAAGGCTTACGCGAAAGCGTCTCGCTACAAGGAGATGCAGATATTGAAGCGGACCGAGGAGGAGCAGGGCGGGGAACTCAAACTGACCGTTGACGACTGCCAGTCACTAATCACGTGAGAGCACTAGTGAAATTACACTTTTGTAATGAAACATCCAAAAAATTTACCCTGTAAACTATAGTTTTCTGCTGCCCATAGTTATGGAATAGAAAAGCGCACGACGCAGAAAGACAATTTGAATAATCCAATATTTTGTCAAAAACATTCCGCTAATACGAATGTTCAGTGAAACTAAAATGAAATCCTTATTCCAGATTCGCCAACAAACTGAACGTGCAAGAGGAGGCGGCGGGAGTGGTGCGGTACGCGGAACGAAACAAAATGAACATCAAAATGTGTGGGCGGTGGTACGAGAAGCTGAACGAGTGGGAGAAGGCGCTGAAGGCGTACAGCGAGGAGACGGTCGAGAATCTGACAATCTCCTCCGTCTCGTCGGCCACCACCGCCTCCTCTTCGATTTCGCCGACGCCGACGGACACGTTTGCGGTCGACGACGCGCGAATGCACGAGATGCGGTGTCTGGAGGCACTCGCGCAATGGGACAAACTCAACGAGAAATCGGAAATTTGGGCGAGGGAACGGGAGAAACGCGACCAAAAGGTGGCGGTGAGCAAGAACTCGCGACAGCTCGACCACAAGATAGCAGTTATTGCGGCCAGAGGAGCATGGGCCACTGGTCAGTACTTTTTTCTTCGTTTCTTCGACTAGAAAGACTGTTTTTGCAGACGATTGGAGCAGAATGGCCGAGTACGTGTCGGTGATCTCTGAGAACACTCAAGACGGAGCGATGCTTCGAGCCGTCGTCGCCGTGCACAAGTGAGCCTTTTCTTTCCCAATGTTTTTCTACAGTCGACTCATTTCTAGTGACGAAAACACGAAAGCGATGGGATTGATCGAAAAAGTGCGCGAAATGATCGACAGCGATTTGACGGCGATGGCGAGCGAAAGTTACGAAAGAGCCTACACTCCGATGGTTTCCGTTCAGCAAATGGCCGAATTGGAGGAGGCCATCGAGTACAAGGTAAGGGGAATTTCAGCAAAAAAGAGCAAAGAAATTGGAGAAAATTTAGTTGGAATTAGAAAAAGCCCATTTATTCCATTCAATCCATTACAATCTTCAATTACTCCTATGACAATCAGAAAACATTTCTTCTTCAATATTGTGCGGCGATCGCTTTGGTTACGGTTCCGCGCGCGTTTGTGAGCAGCAGACACGCGCCCTCGGCCGTCTTTTCGATGTAGACGCGACGGCCGTCGACGCAACGCAGCATGTAGACCATCTCCTTGTCCTTGCGCGTGATGATCGCCAGTTTGCCCTTGTCGGCAAGAGTGAACGTCTGTTTCGAGTCGCCGTGCTTGATGCTCATGTCCGGAGCGACGACGCTGCAAAAAATGAGCGATTCGGGGGAGAGATCACGTTCATTTCTAGCTTTTTCGCATACAAACAAACAAAGGATACAAAGTCGATCCATTCTCCAATTGCTGGCCCGCTGCGGATCTCCGTTTTTCTGTACACTAGGTATAACTGGTGGTGAACCGAGTTGAGCCTGATTTTAAGTTACGTCCGGGCTAGGGAGTGTAATCGAATAACAATATCTATCTTCTACCCAATGAGAGGCGATCGAATTATTGTGAGTGGGTCAAAAGTACAGGCCACACACATGCTCGGCGCAGCGTTGTCGTTTCAGAAATTACGGTGTTTTCCTACAAAAATTGGCCCTACGCTCAAATTTTGAAATTTCCTAGCTGAATTTTAGAGACCCCCATTTTTGTCGATGTTTCATTGCCGAAAGGCATATTCAGATCTGCCTGCGTTCCCTTTCGTTTCCCTTACCTCATTTCGGCGGAGAATAATTTCCCGGACGGCAAACTCGATGGAGCGGGCTAAAATTTGTGACGAATAGTGAAAAATCAGCTGAATCCAGTGTTGCTCACCGAGATGGCGCCGCCAGAAGAAGCGGAAGAGGGAGAAGCCGATCCGCTTCTCTTCGAGTTTCTCGTCGACATTTCCGACGAAGAACTCGTGGAAGACGAACGGCCGCGGCTGCAAACATTTCCCTAGAATGTTTTCCAGAAACATTTTCCTAAAAACGTACCGAGAGTTGAAACGAACACGAGAAGACGAGCACGACGAGCTCTGGAAATTGTTTCTTGAAAAATTTGTCGCATTTTCACACTTTTTCGACGCCTTACCGCGTCAGAATCGCGCTTCGGTTTGGCGGTCGCACGACGTGGACAACGGGCACTTTTGGGTCCGCGACGCGAATTTCCGGTCGGCATTTTCCGAATTGAGAGCGGAAATCGATTCGGAAACAAAACTGAACTGATATTGTCGGAATCTCAGGGCAATGAGGGGCGATTTCGGAGTAGAACGGGCCACGTTCGGGTTGAACATTAAAAAAAAGAATTTTGACGAGAAATACTGAAAAGAATACGAATAATCTGAAACGTTTTCTCAAGTCATGTAATTTGTGTGAAACCGGAAAATATTAGTTTTCTTTTTTGAAGTTCGAACCCTAATTTCTTGCAGACGCGCCCGGAACGTCGCCCGCGAATCGCGCTCCTCTGGAGCCGACGTCTTCAGGGCTGTCGTCAGAACGTGGAGCAGTGGCAACGACTGATCATGCTTCGCGGCCTCGTGCTCTCGCCGCAAGAGATGCACCCGCTCCGCGTCAAATTCTCGTCAATGTGCCGGAAACAGGGAAAGAATTCGATGTCGTGCGCGGTCCTCCGTGAACTACTATCGTTGCCCGCCGACGCGAAGCTCATCACGGCACGTCCTCCGTTCGATAAACCTCTTCTGGTGCTCGCGCTCGCCAAACAACTCTACCAGGACAACGATAAGGCGGCGGCGATCGGGGCACTGACGGAACTGGCGAACCACTGGGACAAACGCGTCAACCCGATTCCTCAGGTGTCCGGAAAAGAGCTCGTGCCGCCGGCGACGAAAGAGCCCGCGCGGATTTGCGCAAAAGTGCTGCTCAAACTCGGCGAGTGGACAGAGGTGATGACGAAGAATGCGACAGTTGGAGCGGTACGTTTTGCTCAACAATTTCTCTTACTTCTGGACACAGGCCGGCACAGTCTACGGGGGACTGGAGATTGTGAAGCTGCTTACGTATAGCGTGGCTCATTTTCAAAAACAGAATACACTTTTCAATGTATCAATTGTATGCTGCTGTTCAAAATGAGCCAGGTTACATAAGGCTTCTGGAAGAAATTACAGCTTCACAATTTTTTAAATAATTTTTTTCAGGCAGTCGGTGAGATGTCTTTTGTACGACAACAGATTTCGCCGCTTCTTCGTACCAAGGTAAATGCTTTTCGTAAATTTTCTAAAAATCCACATTTTCAGGAGCAGCGTACTCCGGAGACGGTCGCCTTCGAAAACACCATCAGATACTATCAGCAGGCGGCGAAATTCGATCCGGCGTGGCACAAAGTCTGGCACAAAATGGCCTCCACCCATTTCTACGCGGTTATGAGGGAACGCCCGAGCAAGTATGTCACTGCAATTTAAAACATTGTTTTTTCTCTTACAAAGAAGTTATAGGCAGCAATTGGACCCGGAAAACTCGTTCAACACCACGCAGAGATTCACCAAGTATGTGGATGTTTTGAACAATTTGAAAAAGAAAGATGCCTTCAGAGCCGCCAAACAGAAATTGCTGACTCCGACACCGGCTCCGCCCCCTCCGGCTCCTCCGGCTCAAACTTCGCCGCATCCGGCTCCGTTCCACACGGAAGCCGGCGGAATTCCGACCGGAAATCAACTGACGGGTACGTTTTAAAGTTTGTTTCAAATTTCTATATGATTTATGTCAAAACATTCTCAAAATCTGAAACGTCTCAAAAGTGCACCAAAAACGGCCCTGGAAGTGTTTACAGACTTTGCGGTTCCGCCGCCGCTGGGCTCCCTCGTCGGGCTCCCGTCCGTGCCCGCCCACCTGCTCTCCTCGGGATCCTCGGGCCAGCAGAGTCCGCCGTTCGCCCAGTCGAATTCCAACGGCACCGCCTATCTGGAGCACGCGAAGGAGGCGGTCGTCTGTTTCACGAAGGCACTGATGAGCTCGCCGGGATCTCGGCTCGAAGACACGCTCCGACTGCTCCAATTGTGGTTCGACTACGGGGACCACGATTCGGTGTACTACGCGTTGACCGACAATATCTTTGATTTGCCCGTCACCACTTGGTTGGAGGTGAGAGATTGGAAAACATTTTAGGCATTTTCAAAATAGTTCTTCCTTGCAACGTGTTAGATAATCACGATTACTGTTTTTTAAATTTTTAAAAATAAGGTGTTCTTGCAACATTGCTCCTTAAATAGTTCAAGAATGCCAAAATCGTTATCTTCTTAAATGTTCCTCGAATTCAGGTGATCCCGCAGCTGATGGCCCGTCTGGATCTGCCGGACAATCAGCGGGCGGTGCAGCTGATCGTTCGCGTGCTCGGCGAAATTGCGAAACACCGTCCGCAGGCGGTCATTTACGCGCTGACGGTTGCCTCGAAGAGTTCCGACAAACACAGGAGCAGGAATGCGTGCGTCGTAATCGAGAAAATGAAGGAATACCATCGGACACTCGTCGACGAGGTATTCCTTTTCAGGTTTATTAGCAGAGGGGGCTTTTCGAATTCCTGTCAAGGCCTGCACGTTTTCCCCACTTTTTAGAATATGATCGGACTGAATTGAAGTATTTTAAGTCCAAGTTTTAGACCGATCCCTTCAGAGACCCAAAAGGCCGGATTTTTAAAATTACCGCCTTTTAGGCCTCTGATACACATAAATCGGGACCAGATGGTCCGATCGGTCTGAAACTTGGACACAAAATACTTCTATCCAATTATTAGTAGGCTGTTAAGTCTGAGTCTGAACGAATTATTGGTACAGTAAAAAAGGCAAGGAATTGAGAAAAAAGACAAATGTTAAGTGCCGCCTGGTGACGGAGGAGCTCGTGCGTTGCGCAATTCTGTGGCACGAGCAGTGGCACGACGCGCTCGACGACGCGAGCAGAGTCTACTTCCACGTGAGTCCACCCTTTCCTGAACTAGCATTAAGGACATTTTGATGATTTGCCGATCTTTAAAAGTTGCCGCAATGACTCGTACCCAAAATACGGTCGAAAAATTCAATGAAACGTGTCAGAGACGGCTGCAGGACAACAACGTGCAGGCAATGTTCGCCGCGCTTCGCGACATGAACGAATCGATGCAGAAGGGCTCGCCGACGACGATGAAGGAGCTCTCGTTCCACCAGACGTACATGAGCGAGCTCAAGGAGGCCGGCCAGTACGTGCTCGCCTTCGAAAAGAGCGGAAACGTCAAGGACCTCAACCAGGCGTGGGAGATCTATTGTGCGGTACGCATCTTCTTTTTTGCTGCTGCTGCCGCTGCTGCTGAAAACGGCTCTCCCATAAAAACATTAATCAATAATGTTTTGCAGGTGTTCAAAAAACTGCGCGACCAACTGGCCACACTGAATTCGCTCGATTTGATGTACGTTTCGCCGAATTTGGTCAGCGCGAAAGACTTGGAATTGGCGGTGCCGGGCACTTATGACCCGTCGGCGCCCGTCGTCTCCATCTCCAGTTTCTGCTCCAAAATGAGCGTGAGTTTCATTTTTTTCCCTAACAAAACTGCTAAAAGACACGTTTAGGTGATCACGAGTAAGCAGCGGCCACGCAAAATGGTGATCCGCGGCTCGAACGGTCTCGAATACCAATTTTTGCTGAAAGGACACGAGGATCCGCGACAGGACGAACGAGTTATGCAACTGTTCGGACTGGTCAACACCCTGCTCTCGAATAATTCGGAGACTTGCCGCAGAAATTTGGCCATTCAGGTTTGTTCGCTTTCTTTTATTATCAATTCAACTTCTTCTCATTTTTAGCGCTACTCTATCGTGGCGCTGAGCAAGGATTCGGGGCTGATCGGATGGGTGCCGAACTGCGATACACTGCACACGCTCGTCAAGGAGTACCGAGAGAAAAAGGCGAAAATTCCGTTGTCGTTGGAGCACAAGACACTGCAGAAACTCGCGATGGACACGGAACACCTGACCGCAATGCAGAAGGTGAGTAATCAATTTTGTTTGAGAAAATGATGGGAAAAAAAATCTGAGGGCGAGAGAAAAACCATTTGGGCGGTAGAACACAGTTAAAGACGCATAGCATGACATTTATTTCCACGCGCCTTTAACTTTTTCGTCGGCGGCGCCTCTCTCTCTTCTACCGCGCAAATGGTATTTCTCTCGCCCCCCGTAGTTTTTTATCCGTTTCATTCGGTAATCCGCCCAGGCCTGCGTGAGCTGGAAACCCCAATGCGATTTCAATTTCAGCTGCAACTGTTCGAGTGTGCCCTTTCGGCGACGCAAGGAGAGGATCTGCGGAAGGTGCTGTGGCTGAAGAGTCCCAGTTCGGAAGTTTGGTTCGATCGACGCACGAACTACACGCGGTCCGTGGCCTGCATGTCGATGGTCGGCTACATTCTCGGACTCGGAGACAGGTAACCGCTCGAGTTGTAGAATACATTGACACGGTTGCTATTTGGGCGGTGATGTGTTTGCAGACTCGGATTGTCAACTGTAACCGCCAAATTACCACTTTAGCTGAAGGTTACTATTGACAGCAAGAGTCTGCAAAAACCATGCTGCAATGTAGAAATAATACATTGAGAAAGACGAGAACTCTTCATCTTCTCCGAAATATGACAAATTTGCAGACACCCGTCGAATCTGATGCTCGACCGTTTGACCGGCAAAATTGTGCACATTGACTTTGGAGACTGTTTCGAAGTGGCGATGCTCCGCGAGAAATTCCCCGAAAAAGTGCCGTTCCGACTCACGCGGATGCTCATTAACGTGCGTTTTGAGATCACTCGCTCATTTGTATGTCTGTGTTTGCAGGCGATGGAAATCACGGGACTGGAGGGTGTGTACCGGTACACGGCGGAAAGAGTGCTCAAAGTGCTGCGTACAAACCAGGAGTCCCTACTGGCGGTGCTCGAGGCGTTCGTCTACGATCCGGTCATCAATTGGCGCGTCATCGAGGGACTCAAAAAGGATCCAAAGTCGAAGAAGGAGCAGCCGCGAAATGCGAGCACCGTGCAGAGACCCTCCAGTAACACCACCGACGTCATCATGGACACGATCAAGAGAAAACTTGCCGGTTTGTGAAGAGAATGGAGAAATATGGAGAGAGAGAGAGAGATTTCGTGCATTTCAAACAAAAGTTTCCAGACGACGAAAAGATACAATGGCATACTGTAGATTGTTGTTGTTGTTGTTCCAATTGCTCAGCTTAAAAACATCGTGTTATTTGCAGGAACCGAATTCTGCGACCAATACGGCTCGTCGGCGTCGGTGACGGAGCAACTGGAGACGTTGATCGAGATGGCGACGAGCCACGAGAATCTGTGCCAGAGCTACATTGGCTGGTGTCCGTTCTGGTGATTTCCCCTCAATTTCCCGCTTTTTTTTTGTAGTTGTTCGCCCCGCCGAAAATCAATTTATTAGAAGTTTATAATTAGAAACAATGATTTGAATTTTTTGCGAAATGTTGCATACATTCCAAACAGAAATCGATTTTTAAAAAAGTATTTGCCATGACTCGGAATAACCTATTTTGCCATTCATTTCTATGTTTTTCCTCCTCCAATTATTCGTTTGTTTCTTCTTTCTGCTCATTTCACTTTTCCCCACCCCGTTTGGCAATAATTTTCATGTAATTCTCAGGATGTTCCTCTTACTCTCTCTATCTCATTCGTTAGGACCCAATTGTTTGTGTTGTGTACATATACTATTAGCGAAAAAGTGTTTTTCTAGAATTTTTGGCGATTTTTAAAAAAGGTTTCGGCCTTTGTGGATATTTTTTGCATTTTTTTGCAGTTTTATCTAAACATTTTTGCAGAGGGGTCGAAAAATGCGTCGAGCCCGAATTCAGATCAAACCGAACGTGGCGAAGGCGGCCAAACAGAGTCCGTCGGTGGTGAAACTGGAAAAGTACGCTTTTTTTCATTTAAATTAACGATTCATTTAAATTTAGAAAAGAAAACTGATTTTTTCGAGCAATTGGTTTCTTGCATTGGAACGATTTTTAATACCATAAAACGTTATAAACAAAAAGGGAAAATATTCAGTTCGCCCGTGGATCCGCCAATCGAAGCACCGCCGCCAGAAGAAGATGCGGTCCCGGCTCAAGTCGAAATTCCGCACAATTCAGATGACGTGGCCGCGATTTCGGAGCCGAATCCAGCGGAATTGCTGCATGTCGACGTGAAACCAGTGAATATAGCACCTCAAGTGCATCATGTTCATTTCAACGATGACGTCGTCGACCGGAACGAGCAACAACAGAATACGGCGCCGAGAGCACATTTGGAGTCGCCCATCGGGTACGGTTCAACCGAATCACTAGTAGTGGCTCAATTGCGACAATTTCCCGACAAAAACGTTTTGAACAATCGTGAAAGCGTGCTAATTTTGCGCCATTTCAGCCTGCTCTCGGGCCAGTCGAGCCCGCAATTCGTGGCCCCGCACCCGCCGTCCCGCATGATAACTCCCCGATCGAGAAATGTGTCAATGTGCGAGGACGAGGCCATTTTGCAACCGAAACAGTACGCTTTTTGAGAATTTCTACTGTGAACCGCACATATTGGAATATTGTCAATTGTAGACCGCGCGAGAAGAAGCGATTCACCGGAAAAGAGGAATTGGACACGAAGACGTGGAAAATGTCGGATTTGGTCAGATGGAACCCGCGAAATGATCAGACTAGCTTCAAGTGAGCCTTGTTTTTTTTCCGATTTTTAAATACAAAATAATGAGCTTGGCGCCCTTCTAATACAGTTATCAATTTTGTTTGCAGGCGAGAACGTCGCTCGTCGACGAGTTCGACAATCATCACAAAGTCGGAGCTCGGCGAGGTCGGCGACGTGGCGACTCCGCGCACGAACGCGCCGCAAGTGAAGATCGGCGCGGACGGACGGCTCGTCATTGACGAATCGAGTCTGCTCGTCCAGTCAGCACAGATCAACCACGAATCCGTGTGGGAGACCGTCGAGGAGGTACGCGTTCGGCGGATTCGTCGGAGAATTCAAATTTGTCCATTGTTCAGGGTCGAATGGGCAGCAAAATCACGTCGATGTCGTTCCGGAATCGCATTTTCCGAAAAGCGATATCGTGGACGGAACGAGAGACCGACCTCTTTTATGGTACACTATCCGAATCTTAACTGTCAAAAACAAACTGACTCTCCGTTCATTTAGCCACTCAGCCGAGCTAAAATGGAATAATTCATCTGAAAAATCACTTTTCAGAAGTACTCCGATGTACTGGACAGGATTTCGGTCTGATGCACCATTATCTGCCGCAAAGGTCGCGTCCGGAACTGAAGGCCAAATATAATCGAGAGGAGAAACTGAATTGGCCGCGGCTGCTCAAGGTACACAAGAAAAAAGCGTTAAGAATTTGATTTCCAAAGCAGCCAAAGCGAACAACCTTTTTTCGTCAAAAAAAAAACTGTAAAATTTAAAAGATAACTATAATTTGCCGTTTTTCAACGCGAATTTCACAATTTGGCAGGCGATAAGTCATCCGGTGCGTCTGGACTCGGACCTCGAGACGAGAATCGCGCAAATAATGGCGGACATGGAGGAGGAGGCGAAGTCGAAGAGGGAGCGCAACGACTACGAAAAGGCGGAGGAGAAGAAGATGCGCGAGCAGATTCGCGAGCAGAGAGCCACCGAACGCGTCGAGGAGCGCATGAAGAAGGCGCACGCGAAGGAACTCGTCAGACAGGTACGCACATTTGAAACAGGGCTCGGAAAATGACCATTAGCCGATCGGTTGGTTTGAAGAATCCACCTCGATCGTTTTAAAACCGATTTGATTAACTAATGAGGAGATTTAGTGGTTCTGGGCCGAAAGTCCTGGAATGCGCACGAACTTTTTGATTTGACCAATACCGTGCTTTCGAGATAGTGATAATTCCCTGCTGTCAAAAAGTGTTAGCTTAAACGTTATTTTATAGTGTTACCGAAACAGCTTTTTTTTGGGAATAATATATCATCCATTCGAATCGACTTATCTCAGCTGCCGGTTGAGATATCAAAGAGTTGTCAACTGACGAAATGTACAAAAATTGATAGTGAGCAATTTCTTAGTTGACAACTTTTTGAATCTTGTTCGCGCCGAAATTGCTTATTAAAAGGAATCGTTTCTGCAGGCTCGTGAGCTCGAAAAAGAGGCGCGCGTGGCGGCGAAATCGACGGAAAAAGCGGAGAAGGCGGAAAAGGCGAAAGAGAGAATGGACGCGAAGCAGCTGGCGAAGGAGGCGAAACGGATTGCGACCGAAGCTAAACAGATCATCCGGGACGCCCGGCAGCAGGAACTCGCACTTCGCAACGAGACAAAGAGGGAGCGCTCGGTGAGCACACTTTAAACATATATATACTATAGGGGCACCGCACAGAAATGGCGCTCTGTTGAGAAACTCTTTTTGCAGTGCAAATTGAGCAACCTCGGGGCCGAGTTTGAAAAGTTAGGCCACATTTTCTGTGAAAAATTACTTCGCTGCCTAGAAATTCGGCCAGGCCTTGCCAAAAGTGGGCGTAACCGTTTACAACCGGAGAAATGCACACAAATTTTGAGGAAGCATAACCATTTGTACATACTCTGATAGATCTCATCGAGCTTATGAGCATGTTATTTTCTGTATATGATTTCGGGAGCCAATTTTTGGCCATTTTTATGACTGCCAGCCCAATCTTCCCAGAATCGATGTCAAAAAAGTTTCGAATTTGGAAGTCAATCCTACATATTCTGATAGATCTCACTGAGTTAAGAGTTTGACTTCTTGGCAGATGTTCTATGGTACAAAACTACATTCATTAAACATGTATCACACATAGCTAGCTAGTCCGGTGCCCCTATAATACATTTGGAATTGTTGAATTGATTTCATTTAACACAATTCCAGACGGACCAGGACAATCTGGAACGCGAGGCGGAGCGAATCATCCGTCGGCTCATTCAGGAATCGCAACGGGAGGAGAAACGGAAGGCGAAGGCGGAGAGGAAGCGGAAGAAGAGCAACGCTTCAAAGCCGTCCACTTCTGCCCCTTATTCTCCTTCTTCTGGAGCTCTCGAATCGGAAACTGTGGATCCGCTGGCGTCGGGCGGCGAACTCGGAGACACCACTTCGGATTCTTCGACGACGGCATCGAGTTCCGACGAGGAGGCGCTGAAAATGAAGGAGGCGAAGCGGGAGAAGGAGCGGATGAAGGCCGAGCGGCGGAATTTGGAGCCGCGTAGGACCGTCATCGACAAAAAACCCGTCTACGTCGACAAGAATGGTAATTTCCGAACACGACTGACTAAAAGGGAGCACGGCACTGAAAAAGTGTCGGGAAATTAGCACCATTCGGTTCAGAGTCCAAAAAAGAACCGGTGGCCAGCTGTGAACAATTTTTTTTAATGTTGAGTAGGTCATTTGGAGGATTCAAGTTAGAATCATGTGGTGTTAATTTCTCGACAATAAAATTCCGGTTTCACAGGCATGTTCAATTTCAACAATACCGCTTTTAAAATTAATTTTGTACTGATTGTAGTTTAAATTATCAGAAATTTTTGATTTCTGATAAATTGGAGTTTAGGTTGTTTTTCTAACTGTTAAAACGTTCTCCTCACTTTCCCGTTAACCTGTTTTTTTTCAGATGCGAAATGGGCGCAGCAGCCGGTGTCCGAAGCGGTGGAACTCGTCAAAATGGCTAACGGAAACATGTTCGATAGTGCCGATGAAATGGACGGTTCGTCACTCTTTTGCTGAAACGTTATTGAAAAGAATTTCAGTGAAAACACAAAAATCACTGTTTCAGACTGAACCATTTATAGCAATTTTTCAATTTTCAGTCGTCGACAATACTCCACTACTGAAATCTTCGGCTCCAGATACTCCAGATGCCCCGGAAACTCCAGAATCGGCTTCTCCGGTAGAAAACGCGACGATTCCGAAAGCGGTTTCCGACGTGATCGAGGACATTGCACGGGAACGGAGCAAGACGCCGAAGCCCCATGAGCCGGAGGAAAAAGAGCCAGAAGTTGGGGAACCGCCCGCCAAAATAATCAGAACTGAAGGTATCTTCGTATTTTTTGTAAATGTTCTCTAAAATAATGTTTGCAGAAGGCGCGGAAGACGAAATTATAGATGTAGTGACGATTGAAACTGTTGCTGGTAATTGTTTCGAATTTTTTTCGGATATTATCCCCCTTTCTGAAATTGTCGATAGTTCCCATGATTCAGAAGTGAAAAACCTAATTTTGACAAAAAAATTGTGCGAAAAAGACGAGACTTTGAGCTGAAAAACGCTGGTGTAGATTCGGTGTAGATTTACGGTAAACCGTGCGTCGTGGAGCGGAGTGTCGTACTAAAACCTTTTCGTCGCGCGTGAAAATAACGTTTTTCAAAGTTCCAGATCACTTGATGGACGTCGCCGAGTTTGTCGACGTCGAAACCACTGATGGTAAATTTTTAAACAAAGCTTTGTGAATTTTAGGCTCAAAATCATAATTATTGCAGTTCCGAGCACTTCGACGGCACCTCCTCCACCGCCAAGACCGTCGGTGATCAGAAGAACTGTCAAGAAGCCGATGCCGATAAAAAAGAAGAAATAATTTAGAAGAAACGATTGATTTGCCCCCCATAAATTCTGTGAATTTTACCAACCTTTTCATTTACACTGTTTTTTGCTTTCCCTTTTCAAAACTTCCAATTTTTTGTATTCGTCACCCACTTCTAGTATGGTTTTTTTTAAAATCGCGAACGGGTTGTTCTAAAATGCTGAGGAAATACGCCTTTCTAATTTTTTAATAGCGAACCAAGTGTGCTTTGAAAGTAATAAAGTTATTTTGAGTTTTGAAATATTCAGAAAAATTGCTTCTTCACTCCTTCGTTGATAATTGAAAATGCGACGGGAGATTTGGTTTATGATAATTTTTAATTAACAAATTTTTACAGTTTCAGTCGTAACATATTCGAGAAAACGAACGATTCAGTACGTTTTGCAATATGTAGGCATTTTCTGCGAGTTTCTCGTTGCTGCTTGCGAGTTTCAATCATAATGAACTCCCAAAAAATTACGAAAAATGAATGAGTATTCTTCGAACAGCACGCATCAGAAGTTTTCGCGCGCGGAAAAACGCTTGGGGAGCGTGCCACCGGCCGGCGAAATCAGCAGCCGACAGTTCACGGGACGACGGCCGGAACAGTGTACCATAATTTGGGCGGTCAAATACGAAAGCTAGTTGTTTTTGGTCGTTTTTTCGTCGTTATGCTCGTTTTTTCACCCGTTTTCGATGCTTTTTTGCCCGAAATTCAGAAAAATCATGAAATGTGAAACATTCAGTATTTTCCATTCAGGCTTTTCTTTAAGAATATCTAGTCCTTAAAGAATAGAATAACAGAAGCCTTCAAGTATGACCCCCGTCGTCAGGAAAAAGCCCCCACTTTTTTTTTATACTGATGGGGGGCTTTTCTAAGGTTGATTATAACAGACTTGCCAAATTACGGGCCGAAAATTTGCTGGCCCGGCTCAAAAGGCGCGAATTCAAATTTTTGGGGGAAATCTATTTTTTCGTTTTTTTTTGCGTCTGTGAAACATCTTTCAGTACCGCCGGGTACCTTTTGGATAAAAGACGGACACGGCTTCATTGCGAAAGAGCGGAGCTTGTAGTGCTTGGAGCTCAAATCGCTTATAAAAAAGACAATAAAAACTATTTTTGAGAACTACATTTCTTTTTTATGCTCGATACTTGCAAAATGCGTTAGTTCTACGAAAAACAAACATTTTATTTAATCAATAGTTCAAAATTTGGATTCTTTTCTTGAATTTTCCCGCTCAAGGAGTACGCCAACGACGTCGGATTCCTTCGTGTCAAGTACGGGGCACCATTGTAAGCAAAAATCGTTCAAACAATTTCCAGCAATCGCTCCTGATTGCAAAAGAAAAAGGAAGGGACCGAAAGCGAGTGGTGGCGGTGTGCAACCAGAAATTCTTGGAGCCCCTTTTGACAATTGGCTTTCAAATTGGCATCTTCGAAGCCATGTAAAGCTCTGACTTTTCTGATAATGATGGAAAGAAAACGTACTTTATTGCAGAGAGTCTTTCGAAACCAATGTCTACTATACAGCCGCGTGTGAGTGTTTCTCAAACAATAATGTTGAATGTCAAATGTCAGGTGTCGTTGCGAATGTCGTCCGCGTCCGATGCATTCGCTTGTGGTCGTTGTAATTCCGTGCACTTCTTTCTTTTGCTCACCGATCCGCGAAGGAGAGAGAGAGAGAGAGAGAAAGAGAGAAAGAGAAGTCTTTCACACATTTTACACTATTTCTATCAGTTTATCACGACTCGTTTCATCCATTTCCACTACTATTATTGTCCTTTTGTTAAATGAATTTTCTGTGGAACAATCAAAAAGAGCACTGAAAATCAATTTTGGCTCGAAAACTAAAGAAAAGCTTGGTCTCATTTTGGTGTACGTTTGTTTGAAAAAGATAGTGATGAAATTTATAATGCACGGTCTCCAGAGCTGACAATGGGCGCGCAAGTGCGCCCCGCCCAATAGAGCGATACATTGGCGCGAAATTCAAATTTTAACAGCCAAATTTGTGTTTTTTGCCAGATTAGCCACGAAAAACTGATAATTTCTCATTTGTCTCTCGATAGACCGATTGTATAGGCTATTACAAATTTTTTAAGCGCAAGAGCGTCAAATTTGGTCAAGTCGCAAATCACATTTATCCGTTTGAAGGTTTTTGGCTAAAACTGCGTGCATTTCAGTTGCTTTTCGGTAGTTTTCGCGGTTCGAGCGCTCAAAATGCTTGTATTTACGTGATTTATCATTCTCAAAACCAATTCTGTCGGAAAACGGTCAAGAAAGCGCAAAATGAGAAGTGCACTTTTTAGGCGGCGAGGCGAAAAAGCAAAGTCCGCGAAAAATGCGCCAAAACGTCATTAATTCTGAGAATCAGTGTGTTTTAATGTCGTGCAATCATTTTTCATCGCCTTTGACCACAAAAATCAGAGAAAACGTGCTCAATTCATGAAAACGCCATTTGGCCGAGGACACGCCCATATTGTCAGCTCTGGAGACCGTGATAATGATATACTTTCAGATGTCAAATTACGCGAATTCGAATCTTCGGCTGCGGAGCGGAAGTGTGGAGAGAAGAACGAGCAACTCAAGGGATCCGGCACCCTATCGGACGAGTTACGGCACTGAAAGGGGACGGGTGAGCCACTTGTGTTTAGGAAAATTATGACTTTGAAAAGTAGCCGTGGCCTAGAAAACTTCTAGGCCATGGGATCTTTTTTGCGTTCGACCCAATCCTCAGACGTTGCCAAACGATCACACAAAATGAACAGATTGTCAAAGTGCAAGGATGTCATATTATCAGCAGGGAAGAGTTTTCACAATTGAGATTTCTAGGCCACGGGCAACAAATTTAAATGCGCGCTGTTCCGTTTTTAGGCATTTCTGACAGTTGGGACCATAGTTGAGCGGACTTGATTTTTTGAAAAGGCGGAAAGCGGAAAGCGGAAGACGGAATTTCGCTCAACTCTGGTTAGGACTCGAAAAGTTGAAAAAAGTTGAGGAATCGCCACAAAAAATGCGAAAAAATAGAGATATGAAATGGAATTTACAAGAAAGCAAGCAGAGTTTAGTGTAAAATGTTCCTCATTTCCTCCTCTAGTCTGAGAAACTAAAAATCGGTGATAAACGGGGAAAACCACTTGCACATGTTTACCGCTTTCCCATGCATTCCGCCCGTCTCTCCGATAAACTTGTCAATCACCTGGTCCCATGAAACCCGCTTTTCAGTTGGTCTCCAACGTTTTGTCGGCGATTTCTACTTGAGTGTCAAAATCTCACAAAAATTCCGAAATTAAATCAGAAACTGCGTGTTTTCAGCCGCGCGAGCTGCCGAGCGCCGGCTCCAGAATGTCGCGTGCCACGTCATACGATCCGTTCGCCTCTTCCAACCGATCCAGTTCAATAGTTCGAAGTACGGGCCTTGCGAGCAGTGATTACACGCCAAAGGGCAATTATACGAACAGGTACTGTATAAACGCTAGAAGAACACGATTGATATTTTTTTGAAACTTGAATTTCAGGTACGGTAGCACTGAACAATTGAGTTCGTACCGCCCGTCCGCCTATCGATCCGGCTCAATTTCTTCGGGCTCCGCCACGTCATCATCGTACACGCCGCGAAATGCGAGAGCCGGAAGTGTCAGTATTGGAGGTACGAGGAATACTGTACTTTTGGAAAAGACAATGTTTTTATGGTCAATCAATAATGATTTCATTTTGAAACTTTTACAATTTTAAAAAAAGCGAGTTCAGAGCCTTTCAAATTCAAATTTAAACATGTCTTGTGTAACAGAAGAAATTTAGAAAGTTTACAAACAAAATCGTGCTCACAAATGTCTCGGGCGGTGGGGATCCGTTGCGACCATCTGGTCGCCTTCCGTTTCACACGTGTTTTGCAGCATACGACCCGCCGAACAGAAGCCATTCGGACGCGCTCAGCAGATATCATCGACCCGCAAACACCGACACGTACACGCCGAGTCTGTCCCGTTACCGATCGACGGACCTGTCCTCGACTTCCGATTACTCGACATCCAAGTACCGTAGCCCAGAGAACAGCTACAGTAGTTCGCGGTGTTCGTCGACGGTTTCGAATCGATATTCCTCCTCCTCCTCTTCAAAAACGTCTCCATACTCTTCGCGAACGTCCACTTCGAGCTCCTACAGAAGCGATCGAGATTATCGATCGATGAGTCGCACTGAAAATGAGGTTAGGGCCACGGAAAAAGCAAAAGACGAATTTCCTTGTCGGGAATCGAACCCGGGGCGCTAATGCTAAACACAGTGCGCTCGTAAATTGCGGAGTGTCGTTGTAGCTTTTGAAAATTTGCAGGTCTAAAAATGGAGTTCAATTCGAGTTTACGACCTTTATTTCTATCTTTTTGTCTTGAAAAACGTCTAGAAACCAATATTTTACTGATTGGAAACCGTTCTTTACAGAATTTAGAGTTTTTCATGTTTTTAGCGTCATTTTCGCATTTCGTCAAAACTTCAAACCTTTATATTTCAGCTCATTTTGCATTTCATGAGCCCAGCGAACGATAAAAATGTTCGCTGAATCTTTCTTCATAAAATTCAGGTTCCGGCGGTTAGTTTTTATGAGCAGTTTTCGAAAACTATTCGAAAAACATCAAAATCCAGGCCAAAACCGTCAAATCGAAATAACTCGACTAATTCTCAACGATATGCGAGATTTCTGTTACCAAAACGTAGCTAGTGCTCTAATTATTTGGAGCCAGGTTCCAGGCGTACAAAAAAATAGGTGTATTGTACAGAAAACATGGAAAGAACGCGGCCTCCCGTTGAAAATTAATTAATCGGCCGCCGCGTAAATCGACACAGCCCGCCGTGCGCTCCATTGAAATTATTCGCGCCAGTGGGAGATCGTGCCGCGTGGGTGAAAAAAAAAACACGAATCCTAACCACTACACTACATGGGATGGAGGGCGCGCGCGAGGGCAATGCTATTATAATAGATTGCAGGAAGAGGACGAGGTGGAGAGCACTTTCCGCAAACTCTACCGCAAATACGTGACCGATAGTGAGCCGGATTTGAGCAAAAACGACAAGTTCGAAGGGTCGCTGGCTGAAAAAGGTAATTTTCTTGACATTTTAAGCGCTCGAACAACAACAAAAATTGCCGAAAAATAACTAAAGTTCATGCGCTCAAGAATTTCGCTTTGGCCTATTCAATTGTTCTATCAGAGCAAACATTGGAAATTCATCATTTTTCGCGGCTATTTATGTGAAAAACATGAAATTTGGTTTAATCGTTCCAGTTTCACGACGCTTCGAGTCGAAAAGTGAGGCGGAAGAGGAGGAATCGGATTTATCGATTTCCGAAGAGGACGACGATGAGATATTGTCGAAGTATCAGTCGAAAGGGCTCAGAAGAGCCAGCTCGGCGAGCTCGATCACTCCGAGAGCCTCGGTTTGCAACTCGCCGAGCAAAGATGTGACGCCCAAGTGCTCGCCGCTTCCCGCCAGGAAAGTGAGTCTATTCTCTTGATTTAAAAAATGCTTCGATGAAGAAAGCAGCTATCCAAAGGCTCCGCAGAAAAGCTGCCGCTGAGCGATAAGACAATTGTGTGAAACTGTGAAAATTTTCTTTAAAATTCCAGGATGCGCCGATTCCGAATCTGGTGTCCGAATCGGAATCAGAAGTCGAAGAAGAGGCGGAATCGATCGATATGAAGCCGTTGACGAGAAGTTTCCACATGCAAGCCACTTTCGGCGCGTTGATGAAGGATTCGGAGGAATTGCTGAGGACCGTCACGGCTTCCGAACATTCGGAGCTTCCAGAAGTCGTAAAAAAGGATTCCGCGGAAGCTCAGAAGACGTCCAAAAATGTGCAGATAAAGACATCTGACGTCTCCAAGGAATCTGAAGACGTTCTGAAGTTTTGTGAAGTTCAGAAAGTTTCGGAAGATGTGAAAAAGGACCCAGAATGTGCCAAGAAGAACTCTGAAGACGTCAAAAGTGTTGCTGAAGCAATTTTCCCAAAAATCCCGATTGAAACAGTGAAAAAAGTGGCGGCTTCCATAAAAATCAACGGAATTCCTGTAAAAATGGAAAACGGAGAAGAGAAGGGGGAAAAAGGAGCGGTTCGCATCCGAATTCGCGCCGATAAATCGCCCAGTCGAGACAAAGAGGTCGGCCTTTTTTTTTTGATAGCAAATTTCACAAAATCAATCAAAATCAATGTCCAGAAAAATGGGTTTTTCTTGCAGGTTTCTCCGCCCGAAAATCTCATTTCGACGGCGGCAAATGTGGTTTTACAGCAAGAGGACAGATCGGATGAGAATCTTCGAGAATTTTCCAAGGAAAAATCATCGGAAAGCGACACGACGACCACTTCTTCTCGAGGTTTTTGAATCATTGACTTTTTATCGAAAAAAAATTCGTTCGCGTGGGAGGGGTAATTTCGAACAGCTGTTGTGCTCCGCGGAGCTCACTGAGCCACTATGGGCTCACTTTTGCATCACAACAATAGAAAAATGAGAAGAGTTGAGTGTCTTACGAATTTTTTCGCTCAAAAAATTGATTTTTTTTAAAGAATCGTTTGATTGTCTTCGAATAAAACCATTTCTAGCCTCGAGCCTTCGAAAACGACGCGATCCGAATCGAACTCTTGAGAATTTGCAGTCGATTTTGAAAGCGGAAAAAATGAAGGATTCGACGGACAATTCGGAGGAATCAGAAGAGAAAAAAGTGGAGAAAACGGAAGAAAACGAGGTGAAATCCGAGGAAAAAGTGAGTAACAAACTTATGGCACAGTCACTGAACGCTGCGAATTTCTGAAAGTTTGAAGCCATACTTTCTTCCGTGGCACCTGTATTCAAAACATTTCTGGAACAGAATTCATCGTAATTTTTCAATAATTTTCAGAACATACGTCGCATTCCGATCCCCCTGGTCCTGATCACCGAACCTTCGAATCCGTCGACTCCTCTGGCCACCACTCCGGTCACCACGGCCGCCAGTATCTGTTTGTGGAACAAGAGATCGAGTTCGTCGACGGAAGAAGAAGGAGACGAAGACGAGTACGAGGTGGGATTTCCCTTCGAACCCTAATTGTTCGCAGAAAGAAATAAGTCGTAGAAGCTCACTGTGAGAACATTTTGCGATTCTTCGAGACTTTAAAACATGTGTGCTTTGTTGTTGCGGAGAAAATGACCCGAATTCTGCATGATTCTGCGCGATGTAATACCAACAATCCGTGTGTTCAAAATGAGCAGATTTAATTTTAGTTTTGTGCTCTCATTTCTCGAACATTCTTGCTGTTCGAACGCTCAAAACTCTTGTATTTACCTGATTTTTCATTCGCGACACTGATTTTGTCGGAAAACTGTTCGGTTCCACAGGTATCACAATTCCAGATACTATCAAATTAATAGTCTTGCCTCCAGTTCCCCGCCACAACGCGACCGCTTCGCAGTTGAAAAGACCACGCTCCTTTCTGCAAGTGCCGCACATGCTATGTGCAACCGTGCCGCACACCCTGTCAATTAATTATTTTTCTTGGAAAATACACAAATTAAAGTTCACAATCTCGTTTAAATCTATTTGTTTGCAAAGATAATTCTCTGAAAACACTCGAAAGCAATTAATTTCCATCAGGAGTAGCTTTAATTTGTGTATTTTCCAAGAAAAATAATTAATTGACAGCGTGTGCACATGGCATGTGCCTCACTTGCAGAAAAGGGCGTGATCTTTTCAGCTGCAAAGCGGTCGGGTTGCGGCGGGGAACCGGAGGCAAGATTATTAATTTGATAGTACGTCGAACATTCTCTCAAAACAACCTCGACTCGAGTACTACCGGGAAATGCGCTCTGTTGAGAAACCGCTCTTTTCGTGACTCTGGAAACAGAGCGCGCTCACTTTTAAATGCCCCGATAGTGATACAAAGATGACAAGTCTTATGAGTATCTAGAAATTTGAGGAAAAATTCTCACAACCAATACCTGTTTTGCCACGGTACTTCTCAAAACTTCATCATAGGCGAGTTCACAGTTCGACTTCCCTGCGCCCCTCCACAGCTGGCTCCGCCCCCTTTTCCTCCGTCTCCTTCTTGTTCTTCTTCTCTCCGTCGTCCCAATCACTGCAAATATCGTCCATCGTCGCGTACTCGGTCCTTTTTTTCCGTTCGCCGTCCGCGATCGCCTGCTCTTTCGCCGTATATTTCGGAATGATCGGCTTGAAATTCAACGATTTCTCCTCTTTCTGTTCCTCTTTTTCCGTGATTTCCTCCTCTTTTCGGTCTTCCGGGACCGGTTCCGAAGAGGCCAACGGGAATTGCGCGGGCGGAGCAGAAGAGGGAGCGAAAGAAGAAGAAGAAGGAGTAGGAGGAGGAGGCGGAAGCTTCAGAACTTTCGCAGATTTATCTTTTGTCTGTTTCGCCGCGCACATGTGAAGAGTACCTGCGTATGCGAAAATTGTTTAGAAGCTTACAAAATGAAATAGTTTAGAATAAATGTGATGATTATTCACCCATCAAAATCGCCATCCAATTGACCATGCACACCAAATTATTGAAGCTCTGATAGTCTGAAAATTCTAGAATATCTGAAAATTCTCTGGAAAAAGACGAACCCATCATTATGTTGTTGCTTTACGCGACGTTGTCCGAAGAAAGATGATTTTTGTGAAAAATGATTTCTCCTCGTTTGTGCCATGCTTTTAGGGAAAAATCACGTTAAAAAGGTTTCAAAAAAGTGCAACTTTTTTTCAGGACGAAGACGAATACTCGTCCGGAGATTGGACTGAAGGCGATGAGGAATGTGAGCAAACCAATTCTTGTTCAAATTTTCAAAAAACAAATTCCAGACGCTTCGGGCGAAGAAGAAGAAGAAGAAGAAGAGTACTCGGTGTCCCAAACGTTTTCGCTGAAAGACCACATAAACCTGGGCGACCTGTATCCGCTGGCCACCTCCGCTTCGAACACTTCGGCGCTCGTTTCCGAGTTCTCCGACGGAGACACCTTCTTGGCGGATGCTCGGAAAGAGGAATCGCGTGGCCGGGTGGACAGTCTGTTCGCTGTGCCGGCGCCCACTTTCACGTGCAGTGTCACCTACGACGGACAGATTCCCGGCGAGGAGGAAGAAGAAGAAGAGGAGGAGTGGTCCGATGAGGTGCACTCTTGCGAAGAAGGAGACGACGACGACTTTCGAGGCAAGAGGGCTTCACTCTTTCAGAAAATTGCTTTGATAGATGTCGAAACATTGAAACAACGCAACGCGTGCACCAGAGTTGAGCGGAAATGGAATTTTGAAATCCGGAGACGGCAGAAGGCAGACGGAAGAAAATTTTTTTTTACGGAACACGGAAGACGGAAGACGGAACAAAAAAATCCACGGAAGACGGAAGACGGCAGACGGAATTCCGCTCAACTCTGGCGTGCACTAGGCTGGTCGAACAGGCGATTTTAGGCGCCTGTTAGCGTGCACTTTTTTGCATTTTTTGACATCGTTTTGTGTCCCTTTGTTAGTTTACATAATAATGGACTAATTCCCAAAAAAGCAAGTGAAAGGTATCAGTATTTCTCCGACGGCACACATCCGAAGTCTCGGAACGCGGAGTGCGGCGCGCTCTCCAAGCCTTGTTCTGTGCGCCAAAACTTCAGATGCGTGCCGCCGGAGAAATACTGATTCCTTTCACTTGCTTTTTTTGGAAATGAGTCCATTATTATGTAAACTAAGAAAGAGACACAAAAAGAGCACGCACGAAACAGCCATATTTCGAAAAAAGTTGGCTTGAGTCTGCAGGGGCGATAACAAATTAAAAGAACCGTTGAAACAGTATCGATTTTCAGTGCTGCCGATAATCCGTGCGGGATCCTCCTCGCTCGGCGCCTACATGTCGCCCGGATCGATGACTTCCGAAGAGGATTACGACGGTCGGACGGTCGGATGCACACTGAAACTGGTGGATCGGGCGGCGCGGAAGGAAGAGGATTCGGAGGAGGAATCCGAATATTACGACGATGAAGAGGAAATTGAGGACGAGGAATCGTACGAGGATGAAGAGTATTGGGACGAGGAAATTGAGTATGAGGATGAAGAATATGAATATGAGGAAGAAGAAGAAGAAGGAGAAGAGGGAGAATTGGAAGAGTACATTGACGAGGAGGAGGAGGAGGAATCACTGAAAAGTGTCGAATCATCAGGAGAAGAAGAAGAAGTGCATGATTTATTCGTGACGCCGATGCAATTGATGACCGAAAGTCTCGTGGAGGAGATGTTCGAGGAGGCGTGCATCGGCGAACTTCCTGAGGAAACTCTTTTTGCGTTGGATGGAGTCGAAGTCGAGGATTATACGGTAGACTTTTAGAACCTGGGCCCGCGGATTCTCAAAACTGTTCTGTTAAAAAGTTCTATATTGCAGGGCACAAAAGACGTGCACGTGATTCCGACGTTCGTGCGCCCGACGACCGAGACGATTCGCGAAGAATCGGCGTCCCGGTTCGCCGCCGACCGCAAACCGCCGACGGACTTTGCGCGGAAGGCGGTCATCCAGCCGGCAAAGCTCGAAAAAGTGCAAATCGGATCGAAAGTGGACACGAAAATGGCGCCGAGTGAGGAGGAGAAACGGAAAAAACGGGAGGAAGAGCTGGAAAAACAGAAAAAAGAGACGGAGCGAAAGAGGAACGAGGAGGAGGCGAATGCTGCGAAGGTGATTCAGAAACTCTCTTTGTTTTTTAAATTCAAATAAACGTATTGTGAAGTTTTCAGTTTCAAAAAGTATTGTCTTCTGAAACGAAACAAAAAACTTTTTTTGCAGGAAGACAAATCGGCTCTGCGTAAATCGGCGCTGAACATGAAAGATGAGGACGCGAAGATAAAAGTGGCCACTGATGAGGTACTTGTTAAGAAAAAATATGAGGGTGACAATTTAATTTCAGAAAACCGCCGCCCAAAAAGCACGTCGTTTCGGCACAGTCTCTGCGATGGCCGGAAAATTCGATGAGCCAGAAATTGGGACGACGAGAAAAGAGGAAAAGAAGGAGAAAAAGGAGCAGGGAGTGCTGTGAGTTTAGCAAAAATTGCAATAAAAATCATTCATTTCTAAGAGTTCGCAGGCGGATCGGCGCCCGATTTCTTTTTGTAGACCTCACAATTTTGACGTAGAATTTCGGAGACTTTCGAGAAAGAGACTCGGTCGCCTGGGGCGTTTTGCACGGCACGCAGCACCGAATCCATTTCCGTCGGACTGATTTGTCCGTGCGACTTGAAATAGACGATCGTGCGCATCAGCAAGGGTCTGGAAATGCTTACGAGTAGAACTCTTACAACTAGGCCCGAATCTCACTTGGCAATTCCGACGTCGGCGAGTGCGACGGAAAGATTGTTCGAGAACGGCGTCTGTTTGTTTGTCAGATCGTGACGGTTGTAGGCGATCCAGTCGAACGCTTGCTGCAAGTGTCACCGTGTTTTTCTCCGACAATTTTTTTCAACGAAAGCTTACTATCGGCGGGGCATTTCATAGTGAATTGAAAACAGAGAAAATTATTCTAGAACTCATGAAAAACAATTGAAACTTGTTTTGCGGCTGTACAAAAAACGAAGATCACAGAAAGAGGGTCGTCTCAACGGAACGCATTCACTTTGAAATGCCCCGATAGTAGTAAATTTCCAGTGAAACAGACCTTTCTCTCGGCGGGCATTCCGAATCTCTCGATGTACATTCCGGTCCGGCCGATCAGGTCGCAGTCGACCTTCTTCATGCTCCACACCTGTTGAGTGTCTCCGTGGTTCTGCACGAAACCCTTTTCCGGAAGCGGACCGTCCAGATCGGAACGCATCACCACCGCCTTGTTCCGTTTGTCGGCTAAACAACTCAGATGTTCGGTTTTCTATAAAAATGCTCGTATTTACATTTGTCCGATTTGGGCGGGCTCTCCATCTCGGGCTTCAGACGGCTCGTCATTTTGCTCGGCGGTCCCGGAGCGATCGGCGCTCCCAAGTCCACTTTTTTCTTTTTCGGCGGCGATTTTAGTGGGGCCACCGGCCCGGACTGTGTCTTATTGAGCTCCAACAAGCTCGGTTCCTTCTTCAAAAGGGGCGGTCCGACCGCGTCGGGAGTCTTCGGTTCGTCCTCTTTCTCCGGGCTCACTTTCTCGTTGCTTCCCTTGCTCGGCTGCTGGGAAAGCGGAAAATTAGCTTGGCCGAGACATTTTCTAGGCCATGGCAACCATTTTTTCATTTTTGAGTGACCGAGAAAAAACGTACTTCGGAGCACTCGTCCAACAGTTTCTGAAGCGGCTTGTAGCGATTCTCCTTCGGTGGCGACTCCTTCTGCGGCGATTTTGAGATCGATTTTTTGGGCGGAGATCTGCGAGAAATATAATTTCATTAACAATCTGTCAAAAGTCTCCGCCTTGGAAGGGAAGTTTCCTTGTTCCGTAGATTTCAAAAATTTGAAAAAAAAAACACACGGCTCCTCCTTCTCCTTTTCGGGACTGTCGACACTTTTTTGCGTGGGCTCCACCGGGAGAACACCCTCTTTTTCGTCCCTTATTTCGACCGCCGACTTCTTTTTCTCGGGAGCCACCGATGAGAATTCGGGAGCGGTCGGCTCGTCCGTCGTGCTCATTTCCTTAATTTCTTTCGGTTCCTTCTCCCTTTCTTCCGCTTTTTTCACCGCCTCCGGCGCATTGAAAAGCGGATCGACTTTCGGAGAGAGCGATGATGATTTGTGCGGCTGTAAAAGTAATGGCCTCCTTTTTTTTTAATTCTGAAAAAAGTACCTTGGCCCTCTTCTTCTTTCCGTCTTTCCCGGGCATTTTCGCGACCGCGCCGCTCTTTTTTCTGGCCGCCGCCCCGTGACTCCGCTTTTTCGGTCCCTTGTCTCGCTTCTTTCCGTCCTTCGTTCGGCGCTTCAATTAATACGCATTTGACGACAAATTGCAGACCATTAATGGTGTGTAATGCAGACAAATGAGGTTTACAGTAGTTTTTAACGAAAAATGAGCCGAACCTTTCGATCCTTCCGATCTTTTTCTCTTTTGTGATGGCTTCTCACTTTTCCGGGAGTTTTGGCACCGGATTTCGGCACCGTGCTCCCTTTTTTCTTTTTCGGAGTCTTTCTGCAAAATTTTCGAATTTTTGGAGCCCTTTCAAAAGAAAAAAACTAACTTTTGAGCACTCAGCATAATCGCGAGAAACAAGTAGACGATTTGGAAATTATCCGCAAGATTTTTCGTGAAAATAAATGTTTCCTTTGAAGTTTATTCAATGTATTTCCATTTTCCGATTACAGATACAAAAAGTCGTCACGTTTGGAATCGAAAGAGACGGAAAAACCGAGAAGGACGTACGAGGTTGTCAAAGCGGTCATCAACGATGATTTCGACAAACAGGTGAATTTGTTTTTCAATATTTCAACTCAAGTAAAGTGTCTCAAACTTGCTTTAAAAAATGTTTTCGATTTCAGATGGAAGAAATCCGAAATCAGATGAAAAGCGGCTCAAATGAACTGCAAACCAAAATGAAAATGCTCTCAAAAGGCATTTTGACGGCGACGGAAGAGGCGAAGTGTCGGGAAATGGAGGAGAAACGGCGGGTGACGACCGAAAAGGCTTCTGGAGCATTCGGGTGAGCTCTCTTGACAAAAGCAACAGCTTTGGCAAAGTTTTTGACTCAAAAATTACGAAAAACAGGGCTGCGCAAAAGACCGGCCCAGGCTTTTTGAAGCCTGCTTGCAATGATCCGATCGGACCCAAACTTTGCAGACTTCTAGGACTTGGATTGAAGTATTTTGGGCCCAAGTTTCAGCCCGATCGGATCATCTGGTCCCTCAGGACGCCTGGCCTTGTTTATCTGGCCCGGCTTGCTTTCATGCCATTGCATATTATGTTTACGACCTTTCTCACTCTTTCAGAAAAGCGGAAGAAGAAAAGGCGCGTTGGAAGGCGAGCCGAGACGCGGAAGCGGCCAGGGAATACGCGAAGATCGAGGCGGAGAAACATCTGAAGCGAAAGAAGATTCTAATCGCTAAACCCACTGGGGAAACGGTGCTGAATCAGGAGAAGATCGAGCCGAAGCGGACAGTCCGCAGATGGAAACCGCCGCCGCCCGATCCGAGTGAGTCGAAACATTTCGGTGTTTCAAGAAAACAGTAAATATCGTTAAAAACAAATTTTAAACGTTGGCAGTTATAATGCACAAAAATGCGATAAATTTCCATTTCGGATTGCCTTTCCCTCAAAAAACTTCGTTTCCAGACGCCGTCATTCCCTCGTTCTCCTGCGGTCCCAAAGAGGCGGCCAAACCGAAAACGGTGCCGCCGGAATCGAAACCGACATCGAAACCGACGACTCCGACGGCCAGAAGAAAGAACGTGTCGCCTACAGTAACCCGCGATACTGTAGCAGTGGCCGTGCCCACTGGCACCACGGGAGTGCAGATTATTCCGAAGAGCGACGGCGCGGCGGCCACACGGATCAGGAACAGTGCGATGGTGAGGAGTACTGTAGGAGTTGAAGTACACGAGATTATCGATTTTTCGTGCGGCACTAGGTCGATTCTGTCTGCAATTCGATATTCTCACCCTGAGTTACAATAGTCTAAACGAACAGATTTTCGCTTTGAAAATGTTTTAACTAAATTTTATCTACTTCCACAACAGTAAAACTTTAAAGAATATCAGTAATTCCTTTCCAGACGGCCGCCCCGATTACGGTACCTCCACCACCAGCATCTACAGTAATGCCGACGGAATCGCCGAAACCGACGTCGAAAAGATATAGTTCGAGACGGAAGACTCAGGAAATTGTGAACGAATCGGCGGTCAAACCAAAGGTTGGTTTTGCTGGGAGTTTTAAAAAAATAGAGGGAAACGTACGTTTCAGAGCAAGCGACGGACTGAGAAGCCGCGCAAAAAACGCTTTATTCGCGAGGATCGTGACGCCGATTTGATGTTGGGCTTCCAAAAAGATTCCACTTTTGAACAGGTATTTTTGTAAACATTTACAAAAAATACGCGATTTTTCTCTTCCGCCACTGATTTTGTTAGAAAACTGTATGTGGAGAACGTCTCAAACGTTGAGTTTTAACGGAAAATGTCTTTTTTCGATTTTTATGCAAAAACAGCGAATTGCCTGAAAAATCGATAATTGCAGCTGGAACGATTCTTCGAACAAGCGGGCCGAAACCGTCGTTGCCTTGGAAAATACGAGAAGATTCGTCGATTGACGCCGTCGAAAATATTCATCAGCGACCTGACGGACATTGATAAAATCTACAAGTCGTCGGAAATTCGAGACATTATCGCCTCGGTTAACTTGATTTATTAATCTGCTTATTTTTCTGTAAATTTGAGTGAAAATGTTCATTGTTTGTAATTAATAGCCTACAAACTAGAAAATGATCTTATATACCCTAAGCTAAAGCCCATTATAGGGGGCTTTAGCCTAAAAGCTTAAGGCTAAAGCCCCTACAGAAAAGGGGGTTTTTAGACTAAAAAAAAACGTATAAAACTATGGCCATTCCCATCGTAACCCTCTCCCGAATGCCCCTATTCGGAATGTTCCAGTGGACAGTGTCTGTGCTCGGCTGCGTGCTCAACTTGCTCCTCTGCTACGTGGCCACTTTCCAGAGCCCGCTGCTCATCCGAACCTATTCGATTCTCACCCTCAACTTTGCCGTCACCAACTCACTATTGTGCGCTGTCAATTTTTTGCTCCAAGTTCGATTGATTTCCATCGGAAGAACAATGATTTTTGTGGCGTACGGACCGATTTCATTGCTCGGAAACAAGGCGGCCGAGCTTGGCGAATATTTGTGAGTGAAACACAAAGGTGCTTGAAAAAGAAGGATCCATTGCTCAGGTACTGCATCCTGATCCACCTGTACACGCACGCAATGTGGCTTCTGTGCGTCTCGTTCGGCTACCGTTTCCGCGTGCTCACTCGTTCGGAGCTCCCCCGCCGAGCCATGCACTTCCTGCTCTTCCTCGTTTATTTGCCCTCGTTCATCCAATGCATTCTCCTCATTTTCGAGTTCTGTGACCCCGAAATTCTGCGCGAAAAGCTCGAAACGCACCCGTTCGACTACTCGGACGTGCTCGCCGGGCCGACAATATTCGGAATCGAGGACACGATGGGCTGGAAGTCGTTGTGCACCGTCATTCACGTCACCGTCCTCAGCTCGCCCATCGTCGTCTGCATCTTTGTGCTCCGACGGAAAATTATCACGAAACTGGCCGACGCGCAGGGAGCGAGCAAACTCGGCGCCAGGACCACGGCCCTTCAGATGCAGTTTCTCAGGGTCGGTCGGCACTTTTTTGCGTATTTTTTTTTGCAGAGCTTGTCTCCAGAGCTGACAATATGGGCGTGGCCTCGGTGGCCAAATGGCGCTTTCATGAATTGAGCACGTTTTCTCTGGATTTTTGTGGTCAAAGGCGATTAAAAATGATTGTTCGGCATGAAAACACACTAATTCTCAGTAGTAATGACGTTTTGGCGCATTTTTTGCGGACTTTGCTTTTTCGCCTTCGCCGCCGATCGCCGCCTTCTCATTTTGCGCTTTCTTGACCGTTTTCCGACAGAATTGGTTTTGAGAATGATAAATCACGTAAATGCAAGCATTTTGAGCGCTCGAATCGCGAAAACTACCGAAAAGCAACTGAAATTCACGCAGTTTTGGCCAAAAACCTTCAAACGGATAAATGTGATTTGCGACTTGACCAAATTTAACGCTCTTGCGCTTAAAAAATTTGTAATAGACTATACAATCGGTCTATCGAGAGACAAATGGAAAATTATCGGTTTTTCGTGGCTAATCTGGCAAAAAAACACAAATTTTGCTGTTAAAATTTGAATTTCGCGCCAATGTATTGTTCTATTGGGCGGGGCGCACTTGCGTGCCCATTGTCAGCTCTGGAGACCGTGTGCCTAGCTGTTTTAAACGAACCGATAGTTTCAGGCGCTCACATTCCAATCGATAATTCCGATATTCTACATCATCGGCGTCGGCGCCTTCTTCCTCTGTCGTTTCGAAATCTACCGTGCCCCGTTTCTCGAGTACTTACTTTTCTCGGCCTTCCTCATGGTGCCTGTGCTCACCCCCGTCTCCTATTTCGTTTTTGTCACTCCGTATCGGCGATGGATGATAAAAACGATGAGAATGGAATGGAAGACGAACAGTACGGAGACGCAGAGCAGTCGTGTCGGGACCCGTGTTCAAACTGTCGAAAATAAATGAATATTGATTGATTGGAATTGCAAAGGAAATTGGGAAAAGTGACACAAGTCTCTTTGGTATTAGGGTGTGAAATGAAGGGATGAAAAGAACAAAAAGAATTGAGGGAACCATTGAGACAAAGAGTAAAGCTGGAGCAAGATCATCATCGGAAACCGCATTCTCATAATACGTTTTTCCTCTGAAACCGACAAATACTCTGTTTAACACATTTTTGGGGGCAAAGTTCGGAATTATCAAGGATGAATGTATACACGAGGGAACACTTCATGAAATCTTCCGAGCACATCCAGATATCCCTGCTTTTTTCCTGAAAATTAACTGATTTTATAATGGTCGGTTTATGAGCAAACTCACTGCCTTGTGCGATTCCATCCTTGAGCCACTCGTCGTAGGCATCTTTTTCTGGCTGCTCTGAAAGTGATCATTTGCAAACACCGATGTGTATTTGGTACTTGACATGTCCCCCCACATGCATCCAATCTGCAGTACTCCTCACAACTGACCTATTTCGCTCTCCTTCTCCACATTCTCCTTGTCGGTGCGGTCGGCGAGATCCGCTTCCCGCTCCTTCCTGTGTCTCTGGTCCATTAGAACCTGCCAGTCGTCTGAGCCGAACTGAGTGTACCTTTTCGCCCAAATTGGCACCGGCGGTTTGTATCCCGGCCAGTCCTGTCTGTCGCTTTGGCCGTTCATTTGGCCTCCACGCTTGGGTCCTTCCGGCTTCTGTTTTGGGACAGGGACCTGTTGATCCTCAAGCTCCACGGGCACTTGTTCCACAAGTTCCACGGGATCTTGTTCCAAATGTGCCTGTTCCACAGGCGCTTCTTGATCCAACATCGGGAATTCCTCCGCATATTGACGCACAGTTGGGCGTCTTCCTGCGAGACATAAGGATGAACACAGAGGAACTATGACTTCTACGACACATTTTGATTCAACATAGCCTACGCGACTAGATACTAACTAGAGGCAGCCAATTGTGCCAAAAACTATCAAATCTTGAGCCTCACAAGTAAGGAAGAGGATATCGATCGAAACGAAATGTTCAGCCTAAAATTAAAACAAAAGAACTAACCTTGCCACGCGCGATTGACGTACATCTTGTTGCTCGAAGTTGGACAGCGAATGAGAGTAGAATAAGGCTAGCGAGGGTTAATAAAGGAGAGAATCAATACGAGAAGGACGCGCAAAGATGATCGACAAAATTGGTGCAGGTCAACGATGGACACGAAGAAGACATCGGAGGACTCTGGGAAGAGGCGACGTAGCAGAGGAGCGAGTTGAGCACGCGACCGAGCACAGACACTGTCCACGGGGCAGTTGGCATGAAAACGTTTGTACGGGAGAGATGTTTTATACTCATTTTGCGGGAAGTGTAGGCCAAAGCTTTGGTATTTCATACAAATATAGAAATAAAAAATAAATGAAGAGATGACAAGAACAAAAATAGTTAGGAGAACCATTGAACACAAGTTCCAGTGGTCGTACGTACAAAGGAAATGGAGAAAAACGAATGGAATCATAATTATCTCCTATATTAACGATGTCGCCTTACAAAATGCCACGCAAACATGTCCGGAACCATTTGAACCGGTCTTTGTTCGCCTGCAAAGGAACTGATTTTATACTGATTGGTTCACGAACAAACTCACGTTTCCCTTGCGCAATTCCCTCTTTCAGCCACTCGTCGTAGGCATCTTTTTCTGGCTGCTCTGAAAGTGAATATGTTTCAAATGTCAAAGAATTCCAATAGTAAAAACTCTAGAAATTTCACAACGATTTTTGAGAATCATACCAATCCACCCCACAACTGACCTATTTCGCTCTCCTTCTCGAGATTCTCCTTCTCGGTCCGTTCGGCGAGACCCGCTTCCCGCTCCTTCCTGTGTCTCTGGTCCTTTTGAGCCTGCCAGTCGTCTGAGCCGAACTGAGCGTACCTTTTCGCCCACATTGGAACCGGCGGTTTGTATCCCGGCCAGTCCTGTCTGTCGTTTCGGCCGTTCATTTGGCCTCGACGCTTGGGTCTTTCCGGCGTCTGTTTTGGGACAGGGACCTGTTGATCCTCAAGCTCCACGGGCACTTGTTCCACCAGTTCCACTGGATCTTGTTCCACAAGTTCCACGGGCACTTGTTCCACATGTGCCTGTTCCACGGGCGCTTCTTGATCCAACATCGGGAACTCCTCCGCATATTTACGGACAGTTGATCGTCTTCCTGCAAGACATAAGGATGAGCACAGAGGAACTATTACTTCTACGACACATTTCGATTCACCATAGCCTACGTGACTAGACACTAACTAGAGGCAGCCAATTGTGCCAAAAACTATCAAATCTTGAGCCTCACAAGTAAGGAAGAGGCTATCGATCGAAACGAAATGTTCAGCCTAAAATTAAAGCAAAAAGAACTAACCTTGCCAAGCGCGATTGACGTACATCTTGTTGCTCGAAGTTGGACAGCGAATGAGAGTAGAATGAGACGAGCGATCGTTTAATAAAAGAGAGAATCAATACGATACGAGGAGGACATGCGAAGATGATCGACGCTATTCGTGCAGGTCAACGATGGACACGAAGAAGACATCGGAGGACTCTGGGAAGAGGCGACGTAGCAGAGGAGCGAGTTGAGCACGCGTCCGAGCACAGACACTGTCCACTGGAACACTCCGAATCGGGACAGTTGCGATGAAAACGTTTGTACGGGAGAGATGTTTTATACTTGTTTTGGGGTGAAGTGTAGGCCGAAGCCTTCGTATTTCATACAAATAAAGAATTAAAAAATAAATGAAGAGATGGCAAGAACAAAAAGAGTTGGGAGAACCATTGAACACAAGTTCCAGTGGTCGTTACTTTAGCAGTTTCTAGCTGTGAGTACGTACGATAAAAACGAAGGGAATCATAATTATCTCCTATATTAATGACGTCGCTATCCAAAATTTCACTGCCACGCAAACATGTTCGGAACCGCTTCAACCGGTCTTTCTTCGCCTGCAAAGGAACTGATTTTATACTGATTGGTTCATGAGCAAACTCACGTTTTCCTCGCGCAATTCCTTCTTTGAGCCATTCTCCGTAGGCATCGGCTTGCGGTTGCTCTGAAAGTACTCTTTTTGCTTGCCATGTCCCCCCGCATGTCTCCAGTCTGCAGTACTCCCCACAACTGACCTCTTTCGCTTTCCTTCTCCACATTCGTCTCCTTGGCGAGGTCCGCTTCCCGCTCCTTCTTCTGCCTCTGATCCTTTTCCGCCTGCCAGTCGTCTGAGCCGTACCGGGTGTACTTTTTCGCCCACTCGGGCACCGGCGGCTTGTATCCCGGCCACGCTTGTCCTTCGTTTCGGCGGTTCTGTTGGCCTCCACGCTCCGGCCTTTCCCTCCTCTCTCTTCGCACCCGGGGCCGTTGTTCCGGTTGCTCCACGGGCTCTTGTTCCACATGCGCCTGCTCCGCGGGCACTTCTTCCACACGAGCCTGTTCCACGGGCTCTTCTTCCACATGCGCTTGCTCCACGGGCGCCTCTGGACCCAAGCCCGGGAACTCCTGCGCATATTGACGCACAGTTCTGCGTCTTCCTGCAAAAACACGCCTAATCAAAAACTATGTAGTATGTAGACAATACAATTTGAAATTATACAATTTGAGCCTTGATATTTTTAAAAGAAACTAATTCTCAAATAAAAGCAAAAAGAACGAACCTTGCCAAGCGCGATTGACGTACATCTTCTTGCTCGTTATTGGGCAGCGAATGAGAGTAGAATGAGGCGAGCGGGGTGAGCAGGTGACGGCTAATAAGGGGGTGAATCAATGCGATACGAGAAGGACGTGCTAAGATAATCGACGCTATTGGTGCAGGTCAACGATGGGAAGGGACGGTCTGTGCATCTAATTGTCCATGAATTGTCCAGAATATCGCGGAGAAATACGGTCGGAAACGCGATTTTCTCGAATCACAGAGCCATTTCCCATGGAAAAAGGCGTTTCGATTGTGTAGGTGCACACTAAATGAATGGGTAAAAGTGAGAATAGTGATTTGGAGTATGTGACACCGTCAAATCTCATTATAGGTTATGAGATTTGGCAGCGACACTCACGGAGACTAACTAGAGAATGGCCCGCACTTACCTTGGGATTTTGGAATGGGACCTATATGATTCGAAAGAGAATTTCACGGAGAATCCGAATCTGCTCTCCATTTTTGCTAACGAGCACTGGCTGCCTGTTTCTGCCACATTTTCTAGCAAGTTCATCTTCGGCGACCTGTATCTCAAGAACCACGCGTCCGTTGCAAAAGTGGTCAACTAGTAAGTTAACGCAAATTATCTCGTGAATAAGTTTGTAGTTGATCGTCTATTTAAAAAACAATTAGTTTTCGAGTTATGAACTGTTTTCCTAGAGCGACAAGAAAAAAACGACGATAACTGGAAAAGTGTCAGAAACAACGTATGGATCAGAGATGTTGGGAATAAAAATTTTACTCTACGGAACACGGAATACGGAAAACGGAAAATTTTTTTTTACGAAACACGGAACACGGAAAACGGAAAAAGCTTATTTCTACGGAACACGGAACACGGAACACGGAAATTTTTTTTTTACGGAACACGGAACACGGAAAACGGAAAAAGCTTATTTCTACGGAACACGGAACACGGAACACGGAAATTTTTTTTTTTTACGGAACACGGAACACGGAAAAAATATTGCAAAAAAAACGCGGAACACGGAATTCCCAACATCTCTGGTATGGATTGAGCCTGGCACGGTGCCAATTGATGGAAATGATGAAGCGATAGAATACGACTGTTATCTGAACCATTTGTCGATTTTTTACAGAAAAATGAACGAATTTTTCAGACTTTTAGATAATTGTATCATTGGAAGGCAAGTCCCCCTCTCTTGAAATGTCTGCGAAGCAACACGAGCGGTTTCGGGTGCCGTCCATCAAAATTTTATTAGCGTACTCGCAAATATCAACCGTCCTTTTGATTTTGACCGAATTTCGGACCATCTGTCGACAGGTACCACGAGGAACAACGATTCCGACGGATTACTGTAGTTTTTGAGCACAGTCGACAGTTTCCTGAAAAACGTATCACGTAGCAAGCACGTCCATTTGTCATTTATTGCGATTCCGAATCATTTTCGCTCTTTACCAACACGACAATATCGTTGAAATCCAATAATTGTCGTCGTCGTCGGCCACACAAAGACGGCGTCAGAATATTCGATTTTAATGGATGGGGAAAATGAAGACGGATTACGGTAGTTTGAGTGGGATTTCATGCGATTGGATTATATTATTTCTGTGGAGAGGGAAAACTAATTGAACAAGAAATTGGATTGAATTCAGAAGAAGAAGAAGAAGAAGAAGAAGAAGAAGAGTACGGTGGATTTTTGAAGAGGAAATCGAGTTCGTGCCGACACAAACTCCCTCATTTCGCGGCTCATCATCGGATATTGTACGCTTCGACAATTACGTAACCGCACACATCGATGGCTCCTTCCGGACTGTTTGCTCAGGCTCCAGTCCATTGTGTCCCCCCCCGCGTGGATTACTGTAGCAGTTGTTAGTAACAAAGCGGTCATTTTGGACACTTGAACAAACATTTTCACCGCCTTCTCCCTTTTTGCCGGCCGAATTCTCGCGCCCCGCTAATTTTTGCGTACCAGTTTGGCTGAAACTCGAAAAAACACATACGTGGCACATCGTGATGCCACTTCACAAAAGTACTGTAGGATTACTGTAGTTACAGTACTCCTGTTTTTGCACTATTTTCCAGAACAGTCCGATCGAGATATGGTAACGTCGTTGGAGTATTGTAAGGCCACTGTGTTTGTGTGTGTGTAGTTATCGTTTCTCATTTTCCATGTCAAACTTGAATATGAATGGTCTTAGGAGTACTGTACCTACAGTAACCTGAGGCTATGTATCGATTGAATCGTATTACGGTAGTTTTCTCATCATTTCATCCACTATTCCTATCATTTTTCGCGTGTCAGTCACACATTTAAAGTCCCTGGAGACGGTGAGAAGTACCAAATGACAGCTCACTTATAGAAAGTATCCGTGCAAAAGTTAGGCCACAAAAAACCAATTTCTCTGCGTCTCTCTCACTCTCCCACTCTCTCTCTCTCTCTCTCTCTCATCCAGACTTGCAACGGGCCGGGCCGGGCCGGGCCAAAATTGGAAATTTTCCGGCCCGGCCCGGGAGGATGCACCTAAAAATTCAAGTTGACCGCCGTTTTCTTCAAGCACTTTGTCTTCGTCCATTTTTACCCACCAAACTTTGAAAACGGCCTACGTTATCGTCGTTTTGCTTCAATTTCGAAGATTCATTGTAAAAACCAGCAGAAATAGAAAAAAAGACGAAAAAGGCAATGTTATAGCATAAAAACCTGTTAAAAAATAGAAATTGCTGTTTAAAGTCGCAAAATTTTCACAAAAATTACGAAAATTTTCTCAAGAGTGGGCGGAGCGATTGATTGCAACTCTGGCACGCCATTTTAGCAATTTTGCCGCACGCGTTTTCCTCTTCCTTCATATTTTTTTTGCATATTTTTTTTGAGGTCTAACTTCCGGGCCGACGATTTGCTGGCCCGGCCCGCCGGGCCGGCCCGGGATTTGGCAAGTCTGCTCTCATCGAAGTTTCTGGAAGATTTGAAAAGTCCCCGATGTTTCTGTGATCCGAATTTCGGGTAGACACAGTAATTCCAAAAAGGACACTATTTCGATTGTGAGTGTGTGTGTTTAATGTGACACTCTGATGACCGTTGCACCGCCGAAAATAGAAAATGAACGGTTTTTGTCGGTGTTTTTAACGGGGAGCGGTGCCTAATTATAGACGTTGAATTGATTGATTGATGAGCTCGAAAGTAGAAGACCCACGCAATTCGATTGACCCCTTTTTCCCGTTGAAATCAATCTTCTTTTTCGCGTTTCGCTGGAAAATACGATAAAATCGTGTACATTGGTCCGTACTTTATCTTTTTTAGAAAATTGTTTCATGGAATGTGATCAACTGTCGAATTTTATAGCAAAGTGAATTCTGTTCATAGAAAAATAATTGTAAATTTAGCTTTTCATACAAAAAAGTTAGTCGAGTTGTTCCGGGAAAAAAGGAGGGCTAACGGAAGACGGAAGGACATTTTCACGCAACAACTCGAATAACTTTTTTGTATGAAAAGCTAAATTTACAATTATTTTTTTATAAGCAGAGTTCACTTTGCTATACATTTCGTCAGTTGATCACATTTCATGAAAAAAATTTCTAAAAAAGATAAAAATTCTTCCGTGTTCTTGCGTTGAGTTCTTCCGCTCAACTCTGGTCCGTAGCAGGGGTGTGCGGAAAATTTTTTTCGGAAAATTTCGGAAAATCGGGTTTTCCGAATTTTTTTGTTTCGGAAAATTTCGGAAAAATCGGAAAAATCGGAAAACTCACTTGTTCATTGGTTCAATAAAGTGTTTAAACAACGTTCTAATACAAAAAAATGCTTATTATGATTTGAAATCACTTGAGTGGGCGGAAGCCAAGCAATGGAATATTTTTTTGCAAAAAAATTAGCCGAGAGAAGCTCTCCGGGTCCAGTGTTTTCCGATTGTCAGTGAGAATGAGACGCGCGGTTGAAAAGAGTCGCTCCGTGCGTAAAATTTAAAAATCAAATTTAAAAAGACGCTCGCTTCTAGACCCTTCCAAAAATTTTGTGATGCGCCTTTAAAAAGCATACGGTGGTTTCGGACAAATTGACCTTGAATCCACACTAATTTTCCGAAAATTTTGCGAAAATTTTGCGAAAATTTTGCGAAAATTTTCGGAAAATCGGAAAATTTCGGAAAATCGAAATATTTTCCGCACACCCCTGGTCCGTAGGGTCCATTCATCGAACATTATGTCGTATACTGAAAGTACGGCTCATTTTTCGCGTGTTTCGACTATGTACAACTACAGACTCGGTCCTGAGCATCCAAGTTTTCGAAACAAGTGCCTGAACTTGAAAAGATACTCTTGAAACCCGATTCCAGAAGAGGCCCGGCACCATTTGTCTGCAAATCGTCCCGGCTCCTTTGCTGCTCGGCCGTGCTCCCGGGCGTGTTCAAATACGAAAACAGAACAAATATTGTCGGTTTTGTCGGCGCGGACTCAGAAATGTAGTTTGATTAGGTGATTAGGCCGGCCAAAAAAGAGCAGTAGACAGACGAAACGGGACGAGTTGGTGTGTGATATCATTTCGGAGAAGAAAGTGACCTTTTCCCCCCTCCCGCTGTTTCTACAGTATTCTTGTTTCGTCCCAATGTACACCCCGATCGTCCGGTCCTCTGATGTCCGCCCCGAGAAGGCCCTTCTTTCTCTCTTTGCTCGGTAAGGGATAGTCCTTCCCCCCTCCACGAAGAACTCAAAACGATGTATCTCGGCTGCCGATAGAGATACCAAAATGTGATCAACTGCAAAAATGTGCACAATGTTTTCACAAACATTGTAATAGTTGACAACTTTTTGATATCTCTACCGACAGCCGAGATACATCGCTTTGAATGAACAGTGTTTAAAGGATCAGCTCATTTCAACTTTCCGATGCCTGGACACCAAACTTGGAACTTTCCGGGTCCTATTTTCAATCCGGAGATGTGTGGATCAGAGGCCGAAAAGGCCGGGTTATTGCGGCCTTTTCGGCCTCTGATCCCCAACACAGATATCGAGACGGGGGAAGATGCTCCACTGGGG